AGAACCCAGGAACAAATTGGGGCCGCATGAATTCATTAGACATTACGCAGACACGATGTTGCCGGAGCTCTAAGGGTGGAATCGTGACTTGTTAACGAAAACGAAAAACTTTGACGGGCAGGTGTCAAGAGATATCATGTTTTATTCAAGTCTTGAGCGGGGCACGCCATTTTATATCACTTTTCCGGATCTACTTTAAAAAAATCGGCGAGGATTCAAACCCTCAAACAATAAAAAAAATGAAGCTGGAACTGATAAGATTTTATTTTACGCGTTTTGTAAATAATGCACCCTTCTAGAGTTTGCTAAGGAATGATTTCTTCTGTAAGATACAACTAGATATTATGTTGAGAGTTCTGGAGAGTTCTGAACCATCGAGGTGGTGGTCTTCTGGTAAAATTTGCAAGAACAAAAACATCTTTCAGCGATGTGAAGAATTAACTTAGCCTTAATCTTAAACACCCCGAAAACACCGATTAACAATGTGTAATTGGTGTTGCCTAAATGTAATTATCGTTTTAAAACGATGATCATTTGGTATGATATACATAGAAGATCCTTGGGTGGAATTTTAGGTGTAAAGCGAGTAAAAGTATCCATCCATGATCTTCCAAATCTTTAATAGAGTACGGAATTCCACAATTCTCCTTCGCAAAATTCCAATCGCGCATTTCACTCGGCGCCCTTTTGACCCAACATAGATAGGAGAATAAGTAGCTTGGGCCTCGTCCTCGCCGTTTCGGAGGAAGAAAAGAATCGCAACTTCATCAGCGGTTTCTGCGGTCGGGTCCGTTGCCATCCGATAGCGTTCGATCAACTTTGCGGTCATTCAGAAATTACCGTAGATTTCGAGGCGGCTTCGACCCGGCGTTTTCTCTTCTCCTCCATCGGCTACGTGTATATACGCGTCGCAATTAAGCTAAATTAGATTCCCGGATCGATTCCGGCGTATCATTATGCCTTTCGTTGAAAAATCACGCCTCCCGGCCGTTTTTACGTAACCGCTACCTAATAACTATCATTGCATTGTTTAGTAGCCGATGTGCTTCGTACCTACGGGATCGCTGTAATGCCTATTTAATATTTATGTATATACAAAACTTTTCTTACCTACAGTCAAACTCTTATAGCTGAATACCTACTCGCGAGTCTCTAGATATTTGTAATGGTTGGTAGGTAAGAGGAGAGACCCGAAGATCGGTTTTATTTTAATTTATACCTAACGTATAATATAGGGAAATTCGCGGGGAAGCGAATTTATCTATGTACACAGCGGCAGAGCGGGCACCCTCTCGTTCACCCTCTACGCCATTCAAATCCGACTAACCCTCCGCGACACAATGCGTCGGCCTCCAGACGTAGCCCGGGCGCTTATCTCCGCTCCCAGAGGAGCCGCTGGATTTCCTCGTGTGTACTTTGAACTGCATATCGAACTCCGCCAGGGCTGGGGCGGCGCGGTCGCCCCCCTTATGTACGAAACGAAACGACCCCCGGCCGATACCATCTGTGTTAACGGCCGATCTACGGCGCTGATACCGTTTTAATGCCGATTTGATTTATATTGTTGCTAGTCGTATGTGTTGGATGGCTATCGGCGAAGTGCACGAGGTGGTGGGTGATATTTTTTTTCTGTTTTTTAGAGGGATTCGGAGGATGGGGGTGTTGAGGTCAGAAGGAACAGACGTCGGAGGATAGAAAGAACAAAAACAAGTAATATTTTATTGCATATGGGAGTGTGTGAAGTTGGTGGACAAGCAACTTCAGTTTTCACTACTTCTGACTAGATGTTCGGGTTTGTTTTAAAAGTTTTTTTGGAGTCCAATAAAAGATCAAAAATTTTACAAGTTCCGGAGTGAATTTTTTCGAAACTTCTCGTGAGTTCTTATAACAGTTCTGAGTAGCAATCGGCGAGTTCCATAACAAACTTTTATACAACAAAAACGAACTCCCAACTCAAATCAGAATTCAAGTCCACTCACACACCATCTCACTTCCTACAAATACTCATTAACTCATTTAAACGCACAATTATACGTTTAACTCGCAGAAAGGAGAAAAAAACGAAGACAATTTATTCTTACAACATTCTTATCGCGAAGCTCCGAGAGAATCCCCCCTTCGAATCGCAGTCGTTCCGATTTTTTTTCCAACCCCTAATCGCGGCCCCTAGGCCTTTATGGCGGAGGTCCCACGTGTCCCGCTCGCACCCTTATGCCGAATTCTTTTCTAAAACATTAAACAAGTATTTCATTCGGCCACCAAAACCTGATAAATGATCCGGACGGAATATCTGGCACTCGCATTACTGATCGCAGAAAGTAAATTCCGGTCGGGTAAACTGGCTAACGGTAAGTTATGCGGAACGTTCGTAAAACGCTAGTGTACGCGGAATAGCCGAAATTTAATTTACTATATAATTAACGATTAGTTGTAATTTCGCTTTGTGCATGTTAAAGGATATGCATACAGAGTTGGGCAAAAGTCCGGAATAAAATTATTATCTTTTGAACCAGTAATTTAAACAAAAAACGCCGAAACACGTAAATTGATTTTAAATTGTACGGATTTGTTGCCAATAAAATGATTTTTTTTTCTTCAACCCCTTAGTTGCAACCCTACCCAACTTTATTTTTTCAAATGCAAAGGTATGTCGTGTGTAGGGTCATTGAAAAGCCCGTGAAAAATGGAATCTAAAACATACCTTTTTTTTATTTTTCTCATGTTGTTATTTGGAAATGAGCAAAAATTTCTTTTAAAAACAAAAAAGTTACAAATACCTTTTTAGTGCTATCGACGTAGCAATGTTGAAAATGCCCTTCACCATCTACTTGACAGGCTCCCAGCCGTTGGTAAAACTTAATATCGATAGCATATCTTTAATTCTGAATGACTTTTTAATAAAAACAGGCGAACCTTTGGTAAAAAAAAACTTGTACAAAAATGCAACACCTGTTTTCCTTTTTGAAGTTCACTGATCAACAATGGCTTAGATTTAAACCCATTTTATGTTTTTGTTTTTTCTTTAAACATAAATTTCAACGAATGTTGTTGCTAAATTGCCTTATCAGTTTTAAACGGTAAATCAATAAAATTTGGTGTGCTGCCTGACCAGGCTCGCCTGCTTTTAATAAAAGTTCATTCAGAATTAAAGATAGGCTACCGATATTAGGTTATACCATTGCCTTGGAGCCTGTTAAGTAGAGTAAGCCTTAATTCACACGTCGATACCACTAAAAAAGTATTTGTAACATATTTGTTTTTAAAAAAATTTTTTGCTCATTTCCAAATAACAACATGAGAAAAATAAAAAAAAAGGTATGTTTTAGATTCCATTTTTCACGGGCTTTTCAATGACCCTACACACGACATACCTTTGCATTTGAAAAAATAAAGTTGGGTAGGGTTGCAACTAAGGGGTTGAAGAAAAAAAATCATTTTATTGGCAACAAATCCGTCCAATATAAAATCAATTTACGTGTTTCAGCGTTTTTTGTTTAAATTACTGGTTTAACAGATAATAATTTTATTCCGGACTTTTGCCCAACCCTGTATAGATAGAGATTGTGTTAAGAATTCGGCTACTTATTGCACTATTATTTATCATTTTTTTCTGGTTATTCTGGAACCCTCTAATACAGCCCTTCGTGTTGGATCAATCAAAAACTAAACATTATTATCGGATCCCGAAATCTAATAATAAAATTGCCAATTACTTGTCAAAATAAACGACACGGGAACATCGGCACTCGAAGGGCATTGGTCGGGAAAACGAACGCGGTGGAAAGAGAGCCGGTGGAGAGGAAAAAAGCACCCTCGCCTGTTTTCGTATGTATTTTTTTTCGTCGTTGGATCGAGGCTAAGTTGATTACGCGGCAGAAGTCACGGAAGTGTGATGTTCCCTTTGGAAAATCGGGAATTAGCGGTGGAATCACGACCGGTCTTTATTATGTGGGGAGTTTATTGTAATTAGTGGATTTGCGGAGGGAGCGATTTCGCCGTCTTTAATGACAGACATTTTTATGTTTGTTGAATTAAAGCGAAAATGTTAGAAATTTTTATTAACAAGACCTCTCATAGGTAAACCAAATATCTACACTAGAGCGTTTTCACCACGGTGCTATAAATTGCAATAAATTGCATTGATAATTCTTATTAACGCTTGTATAAAAACTGCAACACAATTGCAACAATTTATTGCTATTTATTGCAATATATTGCACCGTGTGAAAACGCTCTAGGACCCTAAAAAATCAAGAAAAACTCCTTTTTCGAATTACCTACCCTGTCTTAATTACACATCATGATTGATCGCTTTCATGGAAACGAATACTTGCGGTCGAAGGGTAATTAACCCTGCATTGAAAAACCGCCCTTGAACACTTTCGACTATATGACGTCATGTTTATTTTGTACACGCGGTGTCTCTCATCGAAATTCGAAGATAAATTACAATTACCATTACGAGCATTGTGAATAAATAACGAGCTGAATGTTGGTTAGTAATGTAAGGTGTAAACTTCACACGGTTGGTTATTTATTAAAGGGGAGGATTGTTCAATGCGGAATGAAATGGAAAGTCGATAAATGAATGAATGAGTGGATTTTCTTTGCCCTAAATAAATTGTATTAATTATTGTAGAGAGTTTCTTTGTAATTTGAATTTTTGAATTTGACAGATTGACAGTGAAATAATTGACAGTATTATGACGTTTCATATTTTTTTATATTTGGTCTCAACTGTTGGAGCTATTCAACTAGAAATTTTGACCGTTTTCTTGTCAGGATATGAGGACCGTTGTGTTTGTAGCTAATTTCATGTAGAACGAAACAGTATTCATTCATTTAAAATTTATAAACCTTAAAAATATAAATTTCAAAAATAAAAAAATTCATAGTTCCGTAAAAAAGTGACAGATCTTGCTATCTAGCGGAATCCGTTGACACTTGATAAATAATATCGACTTTTTTACAGGTAACTGTAATTTAATCGTACATCATACGTCAAAAACACCTAACCTAAAATATTACGAATCACAATATCACAATGTTTTGGTAAACATTTAATGAAATATTGCGTTATTTGAGTTATTTAAACAGAAATTATGGCCAAACAGTAAGTAAAACATAAAAAGATAATTAATAAATAAATACCGAACATTATTTAAAATGACCGAAAGCACAAAAAACGTTTAAAATGACCGATTAAAATTAAATTTATCATTTCACCCTTTTAACTAAGAACTAATGGATACAATAACCCTGTCTGTGTTTTAGGTACGGTTTAAGCTTCCCCAAAAAGAACATCGGACACCAAATCGGTCAAGTATCCACTGCGAAACCATCGATATTCGACGAAGACTCCGATCAGGAGGAACAAGTGGCTCGACCTACTGGCATTAGCGTCATTAAAAGACAAGACTTAATAAATCAAGAGAAAGCCGTGGCTGATGATCCCACTGTTTACCAATACGATGAAGTCTACGAAGAAATCGAGAAGAAACGCCAAGAATCCAAACTCGCTCGAAAAGATTTAGACAAGAAACCCAAATACGTTAGTAAACTACTAGCAGCAGCCGATAAGAGGAAAAGAGAACACGAACGAAGGATCGAAAGACAAGTCCAAAGAGAGAGGGAAGAGGAAGGTAATAAATTGGTTTTTATTCTCTTATCTTTCTATATAATTAGCACAATTTATGTACATAAAGTGGGATAAAAGTGAGTAAATAATACATTTTTTTTTGTTGTTTTACAGGCGACGCTTTTAAAGATAAAGAATCGTTTGTAACTCCTTCTTATAAGAAAAAATTAGAAGAGATGAAACTGCTTGATGAACAGGAAAAAAGGGAGCAATATTTGGAAAGTATCGGGGATGTAAGGAAACAAGGCAATCTGGATGGATTCTACAGACACTTGTATGATCAGAAGGTGAATTTTGAGGAGACTCCAATTAAAACTGAAGTAATCGAGGAAAATAAAGAGGACGAGATTGATCAAGATAACATTGAAGATAAACCGAAAAAGTCGATTAAAGAAAGAAAGTATAGATCAAAGAGGAATTCGGAAGATGCTAGTAACAGCGAAGAAGAGCCGGAAATCAAAATGGAACATTTACCATCCAATTTAGATGCCGATTCTGATTTTAGTATAGATTCTTCAGATAGCGAAGAAGAAGGAAGTAAAGAAAAAACGGATAAAGTTGATGTTAAAAAGGAAGAAACTGCTACTAAAGAGCCTACAACAGAAACACCAATTACAAACGATGAGCCTGTCAAAACTGATGAGAATATCGTAAAAATAGAAAAAGTAGAAGAAGTTAAACCGAAAATCAAGAAATTAAAAACCGATATTTGGAAAAAACGGACAGTTGGAGAAAAATTCGACGAGGCGCTGAAGAGGTACATGGAAAGAAAAGCATTAAGAGAAATGGGTCAATAATTCTATTAATAAAAACATATAATTAAAACACACGTAGCAATTACATAAAATTTCCTCTAACGTAACATCGATTAAACATTTAATCGCCCCAACCCAAAACAAACAAACAAAAAAACCTTTCCTTTCGAAACCGAAATGACCCTGTACCTTTATAATCTGCCCGCCTAAGATAACGAGTTACTTGTACTAAAATAATTATCAAAATTAAAATGTAAACAACGTGAAATTCTGTTCCGATTCACGAGAAGGAAACGCCAGTACCAGGCTCGGCGGCGTCGGCGATCGCTCGGCGCGAGAAATGCGATTCTTTACCGCTGTAACGAATATTTTTGCGGCTTCCTTCTGAAACCGACACCTTCAGGTATTAGTATTTGCGTAGTTCGATTTATTATTAGTGCACGTTGCATCGATGAGCCGCTGCAATGGCCGATCCGACGATACAAACTTTCTGTTGCACCCATTCGAATAACACTGATGTAGCTTTCAAGATTATGAATGAGTTCGATACGGATGCTTATAATATTGTTTGTATCGTGTCTTCTACTTTGGGCATTTTAGGAGCTATTTATCAGGTGAGTTTGTTACTAATTGGGCGTCAATTTTGCTGGTATACTGGGTGGCCTGCATAAGAACACAAAGTTACAAGTCTGAGTAGTTATAGGCCCTCAAAGGGGGAGTTACAAATTAAAAAAAGTAATAACTCAGTAATACTCATACTTAAAACAACTAAATTTGTGAGTGCTAAGAATGCAATCGATAGTTTATAGGAGAGATCAATAGATGTATTTCAAAGGGTTCATAAGGGATGATGCTCACTTAAAATGTTACAGAATTTTTGTACCTGATGGATGATTTAAAAAATTATTAGTTCATTTCATAGGCAATTTCATTTTAAAACCTTTTTTATTCTTTTGGTTTTTTAAAATTCTTTGTTGTTTTGATGAAAAACGCTAAAAAGTAAAGCCATGTACACCATCAATTTACTCGATAATTCAAAAGTTGGCTGTATTAAGTAATAGTTGGGTGCAGCATATTTTTAGGCTCCTTTACTCCCAGTGTCGGTTCTTGTGCAAGACACCCTGTATAATAAAAATTACTGTTTTTTCCTAATAAATTTTAATATGAGCACAATTAATTTCAGATTTTACCAAGAGAAGAGTTCACACACAATCATAAGTGGTTCTCATTATCCGCCAAAAGAGGTAGAAAAATAATCGTTTGGCTAGCTTTCGCAGATCTATTAGCATCTTTAGGTATTTTTATCGTACACAACAACATTTCTATTAACCTTTACAAATAATTCAATCACTCCAGGTGTATTCATACGCTCCACAATATGGATAAGCTACAAGAACATCATGCCTTCGGTTAACGATGATTCAAGCGTAGTATTTTGTGCAATATCATCAGTAAGTCACTTACAATATTTACCTACCAGAGAAATATACAAACATTCGTAGGCTTTAACACAATATTTTTACACTGCAACATGGATATGGACGTTGTGCTACGCCTTGGATATGAGGCGCATATTAAAACAAAAAGAAAGCAAAACTTTACTATACCACTTAGTATCCTGGGTAACTCCTGCAATTCTCACAACAATTGGCCTACTTCTACTCTACATTCCCGATGCCGAGTAAAACAATTACAAATTTAAAGACACAAACAGCGAATTTATTTCGCTTATTTTTCAGTTGCTTCACGCCTTCTCCATACAGCGTCACCATCCTCCGATACCTTCCAAATTACCTGGCTACTTACGCTCCAATCGCAGCGGTGATGATAGCGAACCCGTGCCTGTACAGAGCCTCCACCAGGGACATGGAGGAGTTGATCACGAGCGCCTCCGGCCAGCACACGATCAAGGAAAGGGAGATCATTCGGGCGATCAAAATCAAATTCTCTGTGATTAATATAGTATTCTACGTGTGCTGGCTGCCGAATTTGCTCAACGGAATTTTGATATGGACGCTTTGGTTCCATTTCGATACGAGTATTACTTCAATTTGGTATGTAATGGTAAGTACAAATTGATCATGTGTGAATGTGTATGTGGTTATTTTTTCTTCGAAACTCTTTATTGGAATCAAAAACAGGATATACATTGATATATAGGATTTCAATTTATAGGGAATCCTCTTAACTATTAAGATGTTTGTTTTGTTACTAGGCGTTGTTAAACCCATTGCAAGCGGTGTTCAATTGCATTGTGTACAGAAGATGGAGTAGTGGTACGGAAAGGGTGATTTTGCCGTGGAGGCAAATCGTGGGGGTGGATTCAGTTGGAAGCAACGGATCCTCCAAGTCTTCTCTGGACGATACTGTGCGAGAGGAAATTTACCCCCTGTTGCAGAACACACCAACGAATAGCGTAAATTTGTACAAAAGTCTTTCGTAATAATTGATATTTATTTATTCACTGTTTTTTGTGACAGTCGAGCTTTTTTAATGCTTTTTTGTGTAAGTATATGTAATAAATCGATTGTAATTTTATCAATATTTTATGTATCCAGATGTTTTTAAATAAATGTTGTTCGGTATCGATCTAGTATGCAGTCTACCTATGTACATTATCGTCGCCCAAGTATAATACTTTGACAAGTATCATATTTTGCAAAACTAAAACTTGTGAATATGTCTCACAAAACTTCAAATGTTAAAGTGTAATTCTGATACTTCCGTAATTCTCGATAAATTGAAATACTTACTCACTATTCTTTACATAATATAATACATACTAGTAAAATATTTTCGTTTGCTTAATGACGATAGTTATATTTACGTTTAAATAAATACCGGTGCTTCCCCAATTCTCGGTAAATTAAATTACCCACGCGCTGTTCTATAAATACAATTCCTGTTAAACTTTCTTTCGCTTACTGAAGGATCAATTTTCAAAATCTTGCTGTTATACTTTTGTAATAAATACATTTGGCTAGACCACATACTAGACCGGCACCGGTTGCTCCGTTTCAAACTCCAAGTATTAATAAAAAAACACTTTATTGTCAAAAATATCTACATAAAACAAGTAAAACTCAATATCTCACGGCATTACACGAATATTTCCTGGCATTTCCCGTTGTTCCCTATCCTGGATCCCTCCGGGCACGTGTCCTTCGCGTCGATAAAATTCCTGCTACCGATTTCAACCGTCCCGTTTTTCCTGGTACCGTTCGTCGGCCTCGCGCTCGCGTGTTCGATCCTCGGCCGTCCCCGGAACCTGCGATGCACGCCGCCCACGGTCTCCTCCTCGGACCCCCTGCTTTGGTCCATCCCGTCCATGTCCAGGAACCTCCTGCCGCCGTCTTCGTGCGGATTTTTGGGCACCAAGTCCCCGTCGGGGAAGTAGATCGGCGACTCCTGCGCCGGCCTGCTGCGCCGCTCGACCACCAACCGCACGTCTTCCTGCTGCAGATCCCGCTTCAAGTACAAGCAGCACTGGCCCTTGGCTTCCTCCGTGTCCACGGAGAACTTCTCGCAGGTTTCCGGCGCACTTGCCACGCTGCCCAGGAAGAGCAACGCGAGTAGAGCGAACGTCTGCATGATATCGCACTGTGCAATGCAAATTAATTATCAACAGCTTAAAGGATTGCAGTGGAATGAGCGGAATGGAATAGACGTATCCTTCGGTTTTTCGCACTAGAGAATTTTTTATAATTGTTTCACGGTAGTGGATAATAAAATAAGCTGTGAAGTGTTGAATAATGCGGAGAGCATTGCGAGCGTTTAAATGGCATTGTGACCCTGGACTTGAAGTGATTCTGTATATTCGGTAGGCGTGATTGTAAATGAGATGTGAATATGAAATACAATATTCGTACGCAATGTGTCGGGTATTAAACGATAGTAAAACGCACTGCAATTTATGGTGGTGTAGGTTTAGGGATACAACAGATTTTCAGCACTCAGTAACCTACTTCATGTTTTATTGAAATAATTTATACATATAAATATAAATGATCTATGAATTTTTAATTACTCATCATATATCCTCTTTACTATTATTGTTTTCCATTATGTACATATATTTCAATAACAATAGATAGTATTTTTAATGACTAGGCAATTATTGCAAATTATAATGTCGTTTAAATTACAGAAAATTGATGTAAACATAGCAAAATAATTTCAATGTAAGAATACTAAATCAATTATTTTGATACAATAAAAATGAAAGTATGAAGATGGTTCGACTAAACGATAAGAAACATAGTCGATGCGCGATAAAATAGAATAGGAATAATTCATTCCATCGTTGTAACTATGTTATTACCAAACAAAAAGTGATTTTTTAATCTTATTTTTTATGATTGTTACGATATTTTCACAGAATATGTATGAAATAAAAAAGAGAGCAGTGATTAACTTATAATCTATTTATCATGAGGGAAATGCAATTAAAGAGCTAATTTGTGTCTAAAAGAGAGCTTAACACAACAGAATAAATTCAATAAAATAATTAATCAAACGATTAAAAACCAAAATATAGTATAGTATTGGACAGGAGTGTAAAATACTGAGAAAAACCCAAAAATATTACAGACAATTATCAAACAAATCCATAGATTTTATAGATAACCTGTAGTATAAAATTGCAAAAATTACATACCTATTTGATCGTAAATTAGTCGTGAATCTTTATTCTCGCTTGTATAAAATTCACTTTTCGTTTAGCGATAGAAAATGAAATTGAACAAAATAAAAAAAAACGGATCTATCCACTATCAACCACAATAGCAGATAATAAACATAAATAAACTGCTTTACGCTAAAAAAACCAATAACAAGGAGAGTGTATTAAATAGCGAATCGAGTAAAATTAGACAAACATTTCTCGATTCCCATTCGAATAATAAAAAACTATCCTCGTAAGCTGTTTTTGTGCAATTACCACACTAGATCGAATAAAATAAAAAAACAATCCAACCAAAAAAAAATACACCATTCCACAAAAATCCATCATTTATCAAGAATCCCACCAGTTTCATTCCCTAAAGTAACCTTCGTAATATCCTTAACGATCAACTCGGCCACCTGCCACGCCATCTCCTCCTTCTTCCGATCGTCCTCCTCCAAACTGATCACCTTCCGCAGGACGTTCTTGAACCTGAACTGCCTCCTGTCGGGCTCCGGCTCGAACTCCGTCTCGTACTTCCCCAACTCGCTGACGCGCCCCAGCGACAGCCGGTGCGCCTTCTTCCGCTTCCACAGCGCGTCCGGATCGTACAGCTCCCTCGTGTCGATCGTCATCTCCTTGCCCTTGTCGCGCCCGCGCTCCCGCGGCACCTCGAACGCCAGGAACGTGCCCTGGCCGAAGCTCTTCTCGCTGCTGCAATCGGACGCGGCGTGCTTGTACTTCTCCACGTTGGCGTAGCTGTTCGATTGCACGGCGTTGATCAAATCCGATAGGTATTTGTAGAACAGCTGCGATTCGAGGAACGGTTTGAGGTGCTGCTTTTCCAGCACGCTCTCCACGATTTTCAGCGGTAGATGGAAGCAGTGCAGGGTTAGCCCGTCCTCGCCGCAAATGCTTTGTTCGACCGCGAAGCGGACTTTGTCGCTGAAGCCCAGCGGGCAGAGGGCCTGCAGTGAGAAGTATTTGTCGTATAGCACTACGGCGTCCGTTTGGGCTTCGAGCGGATCGAAGAATTCCTTTTGGTCTTGTATTTGCTGTTGGAAGTTCGAGGCGGCTATCCAGAACTCCAGCAAGCAGCGTTGGTTTTCTTGTTCGAGGAACTCCATGAAGTAGAAGAGGGCGGTTTCGTTGTACAAGATGTCGCTGAGGACGACGTTACCGCAGGTCAACAAATCGATTTGGTATTTACAGAAATGGTCCGATTCGAGGAAAGCGTTGAAATAATCGTCCTCGATGGTTTTGTACACGAAATTCTGTACGGCGTCGAAGCAATTCGTCGACAACACTTTGGTGGTGCTGCAAATGTTCTCCATCACCTCCTTCCTCGAATCCTCCGTGCATTTTACGTTGCAATCGGACTCCAGAGCGATGTACTTCTTGAATATGTCCAAGGCTCTGTCGATAGTGTTTTGTACGATCCTTTTATCATTAGAAGACTCCTCGTTTTTTAACCTAACACTACTATCACTTCTTTCTGTATCACAAGGGCTATCTTGAGGGCTTTTGCCGTCAGATATGTAGTCGCATAAACTGTTCGAGTCCGCCGTGTACGAATCGCAATCGGTACTAACGGAGAGACTGTCGTGGTCGATTTGGCTGTGCGATTGTGGGGAATGCGGGGCCGCTTTCGTCTGGGCTGAAATGTCTTCTAGGTAGAGTTTAAAGGCTTCGATATCGAGCCAACAGAGTAGGTACGAAGAGGCGTTCTTCGATTCCATGTATTGTAAAAGGTAGCCCAAAGCGTTTTTATCAGACGTAATGTCTGCTAAGGTTCTCGTTAGTCGAGAGTGCTCTTTCGAAGACTCGTTTTCACCTACGAATTAATAGTGATTAAATGTTAATTATGCAGTATAATCGTAGGAGGATTAAGTAGATAATTTCGAAATGACGTCAAACGTGATACATACCTATATCGAACAAACCCTCATCGTCGAAGGACGATAGAGGTAAGGGCGGCGGAAGTCCCGTTTTGCATTCCCGATCGGCCCTCAAATTTTCGATTTTTTGCCGCTCAAGCGAAGACACGACGTTGTGTTTTTGTTGACCTATAAATAGTTTTTATAAACCAAACGTTAACGCTCACCTTATCGCAATTTTTATTGTTTACCATTTCTGCTGCCTTTCTTTAGAAATTGTAACATTGTACATATTAACGCTCAATGTCGCAATACGTAATTATTTTCGCAAGATTAAATAGAAGTGCATCGTTTTTACTGGCAATTCCGCATTTCATAAACAAAATATTATGAATTTCTTGTGAGTTGACAATAATGACAGGTTGATTGACGTTTGACGAACGTCATCATTCAAAGCCTCTTACTAGTCGAGTATACGTTCTAACTTCTTTATCTCTTCTTTTAGGTTGCGTTTTTTAAAATTTCGATCATTTTTTATTATTTTTTGAAAATTTGAAAATTTTTTAACGCCTTTTTAATGCAAGACTAAAGTGTGTATATTTTTTATCAACTATATTATCCCAATGTTACGAAACTCTTATAAGTTATCAAAGGGCATTACACTTATTTATCTCTACCTTTGGACCTTATAAAGTCGCACCCTGATTAATTCGGGTGCCACAAAATAAATAGTACTTTTAAGAGCTTGTATAACAGTGATTTGTAAAAACTTTTACATTTTTTTGCTTCATTTCTTCCAAAAAATAATTACACACACTAAAAAAATTATTGAAGTGGTAAGTACAATTTTTATATTTATTTTTTTAATGTTGTATAATGTAGTTTTTTTACAAAAAAATTACTCAAATACGACTATTCCGTTAGCGACTCAATTGTAATGAGCTAAACCCGTCGTAATCTAAAAATACACGTAAATATGAATATTTTTAGATCGTATTGGAAAACAACTTGTGGTGGTTAGTTGCATAAATTGTCATGGTTAATAATTCTCCTCCCTCGAAGTAAGCCGAAAATGAACAGGGGCTGCTGGAAAACAGACGTTAACGACGAAGGTAAGCTGTTGTTGCATTTATTTGCATTTGCAATTGGTTAATAACTATTATATAGAGTCAGCTATTTCTATAGTATTTGCCGATTCAAAATAGACCAAGCTCTCATTGCAACTACCGGTAATTTTATTCGTATGCATTTCTGATACGATCTAACATGTATCATTTCAATTAATTTCCCAAAAAATAAAGCTCTATCAGGATATTGTTCACACATTTTCTATCTTTCCTAATTCCTGCAAAAGACCTAATTTCTCTTCATTTAATCATATATTCTTCTTGATTCTCTCGATATTTTTCGATTCCTCTTACACAAGCGCCGTACTGTTTGTGTAATTGAAATAAACTCAGTTCCCAATTAACATGTTATTTTCAAATATTTGCAACTATAGCTCGTCTATCGAAATCCGACCGACACCACGACTTCTCTAAAACATTGTACACCGAGCTCTATTCCTCGAAAGATACCGGCTCTAAAGGTAACAGTAGTGGCGCTCTAACAACACCTCCAAACCCGAGCAATTGATGAGACTCGATCGGGTTATGGAAACAAACGTGCATTGAACGACACACTGTATATTTTTTATTATACCGTATAGAAAATTAATCTTGTAGGTTTGTAACATAGCGTAAGAAATGTGGTCTCAGTCTAAAAGACACGATCTCAAACCGGAATTATGGGCAGAAAGGTACAAAGAGAGAGAAAGCACTGACTCTAAAGGTATCAGTTTTGTATTTGATAAACGAGTGAATTTTACGCATTAACATTGCTTGTTGGTTTTGGCATGGATATTCTGGTTGATCTACATGCGTATTTAAACTTTTATTTCTATTTTAAGCTGTGTACATAGACTTTGATGTAGACGAAAACGATGAAACCAATACGGAGTATTCGAAATGGTCCGATCTGCCGGATTTGCTCCTGGAAAAAATATTCGCTTATCTGGGAATCAGGGAGAGATATTATGCCAGTTTAGTTTGCAAAAATTGGTATACAGCTTTCCACCTGCCCTACGTGTGGAACCGTTTTATTTTGGAAGATAACACGTTGACTAGAAGTAGATTTAACTACTACAGCGGTTGGCAGGTAAACTACATTTTTATTAGTATAAAATTTGACACAAATTTATACATTTTTATAGTACGTTTTGGATCATGTGCGATGCCAAAGTTGCCTCTCAGTGTACGGAAAACACTTCAAACATTTAACCATAAGACCAATGCTTAACTTTTATAATCTCTACGAATTTATGAACATGGTGTCCTGGTACATCGAGCAAAAAGAAACCAAAGAAAACGTTGAGCTAGGAATAGCCAGTAATATTAGATTTTTTAAGTTTACTTTTCCTTGTAACATGACTACTAGGGACGATTCGGAGCGCATTCGATTATTCGGAACAGGTGGTAAGTTTTATTAAGGATACAATTTTGTGATAAAATCACTAATTTTTTTATTTGTAGGCAAGTTACTACAATCTATTAAAAGACTGATGGGTAACTTGAAGAAATTGGAAAACTTGCAGTTAATAGACCTGATGCTGGACCCCAAAGAAGCTCAATATTTACTAGACGAAGTCTGCGAATCACAATACATGACTCTAAAGTACCTCTATCTAATAAACACCACTAAAGTGCAATACGAGTTACTCCACGTCGGGGTATTTTTAAATCTAAGGGTATATACGAAACTCCCCACTAAATAATTGGAATTATAAGATGAAACTTTTCTAGGAATTGCATATAAGTCCGCAGAATTTAGGCGACGATTTAGTCGAGCTCATCGGCAACACGAAGCTAAAACACCTGCACATAGTTCAAAATCGGTACACCTCCAACGATTTCGTCATATGCCCCGTAGGGCGATGGGTGTGGAAAACCTGCCGCAAGAGCAATCCAGGCTTGAACGTCCATCTTCAGCTGGAAAGCGTCAAAGTGAAGCCGCTGATATGGCAACCGAGCGCTCCAGTCAGAACCATTCTCTACGATTCCCCGCACATTGGGGTACGTAATTGTTCACCGCTCGAATTTATTTGAAGCCACATTGTATGTTTCAGTTGCGTACCGATTCAATAGTAACCGCTATCGATTTCTACAAGAACGATTTGCGTATTTACGGCCACCTAAACGTTCCAAAATTCCACATGCCGAAGTCCTTCCGGGATCGAATGGACGAAAGCCTCGTCATGCTTGTGAGACAATGCACCTATTTATCGACACTAGTAAGCTTTTAAATTCATTTCGCTTCTTCGAGGCATTTATACCATTCTCCTGCAGGTGATTACCGAAAAAATTTCAACCGCAACAGTCCTACTGATAGCCTATTACGGCAAGAATCTGCAGAGGTTGCTGGTGAGAGGTAACGCGGTGATCATCAAGAACGATTGGCAGAAGAATCCGGAGTGGACGGAAGAGTTTTACTCGTGGTTGAAATCCGGCAGCAGATCGTACGAGACGGTGGAGACGGAGGTGTCGCAGATATTAGGCAAGAAGTGGAGGTTTCTCACGGATAAGGCGTTCAAGACGTTGGAAGTCGATTTGCACGATTTTTGAAGGAGGAACGGGGCAACGAACAGTATGATATCGTTCGGGTAATAGGCGTTTAAGTTTAGATAGTTTATCTTGTTTGTAAGAGATGTTTTCTACATAAATATGTATTTTTTTTAATAGATTTGTTGTTACGGAAAGATGAGTCGATAGATTGATTTTTTTCTCTTTTAGTTACTCCTTATAAAGTTGTTAATAAAACATGTAGGTAGTGCAAAATATAAACGATATTTATTGATATTCAAAATTTACAAAAAATTCACGAACTTTTCTTAACAACCTGAGGCTTGAAATCCATTTTTGTGCTTCTGTTTAATAGCTCAGCGTACATTTCTAGTCTTCTAGTCATCTGCAACAAGAACAATAGATCATTAATTTACAAGCGTATTATTTACCGGATTCTTACTTGAAATCCCCACACATCTCTCACTTGCCGGCACATATTGAGATCTAATTCAGCTATCAAAAGACCGTTCCTTGTCCTCGACAAACCCTGTAAGAAACGACATTTTTTGCTTTAAAGGATTCAAAAACCCATCGAACTTACGGGACTTCTGGTACCATCCGGAGCAGCCACGTAACTAGATCCGTAAAAATGCCCGAAATCTTTGTGAGCAGGTCGCCCATCTCCCGAAGTAAATTCGTTTTTGAACACCTCAGTTCCCACCCTGTTAATAGCGCACGTGTAGTACGAATTCGCTATAGCAGCATTTCGGGCTTCTACTCCCCATAGAGGTTCGCTCAACGCTCCCACCTAAAGAATATAAACTTTAAAAGAATTTCCAAGAATCTCAGAAAATTCTTACAGTAGCTGACGGGTTGAAGACTATTTCTGCTCCGTTCAAGCCGAATCCCAGCCAATTTAACGGGTGGTGTCTACCATAGCAGATGTTCACGGCTATTTTGCCAAACTCGGTCTAGAAGAAAAGATAACATAACGATTGGATATAGAAAATCAGAAATATCGAACCTCAAATACGGGATGCCCGGTGTTCCCTTCGAAATAGTACGTGGATTCGTTGAAATCTCCAACGCGAGGAATGTGATTCTTCCTGTGCTTTCCCAAGTAATCTCCATGGTTATCAATAATCACAGCGGTGTTCCATAAAACGTCGCCATGTTGGACATCTCTTTCCAAAATTGGTGAGATTATGACCATGTTGTACTGACCAGCCAGCTAAAACTCCCACAAATTAGATAATTTTCCCGTACTATAGTTCACATTTCGTACTTTTTTCAAGAATTCCGTGGTAGGCCCAGTCTCGGCTTCTTCAGCGTACTCGCACCAAGGGAACTTTTCTCTCGTACAAAAAGCGAAGGGCATATCTGAAAAAATGCATATTTTTTAGCCAATTAACCTCTTTAGAATCTCAAAGGACATACTCCAAGCTTCCTGGAAGCAAAACACGTTAACACCTCCCGCATGGGCGACTTCTAATACTTCCTTGGCCATCGTGTACATGGCCTTGCGCATCTCTGTAATGGGAGCCCACGTATCGATGGGTAATTTGTTCTGCAGAAGCCCCACTGTGACCTTTCTGGGCGGGCGCAGCTGCTCCTCATTGCAGCTGAACTGGCAGGAGACTATCTCTAAATCGGTTACGGTTTTTAAACTGTCCTTGCTGGGACCCAATCTATAACTAGAAGCAGACTTTTTTTGTTCATATTTGACATATGGCTCCTATTCCGGTAAAATGAGTGGATTTTACAATATAATTGTGCACTTATTTTTAATTTTTGTTAATTAAATGTATTACCACATATCTATACATTTTTTGCAACTAAAAACTAATCACGCAATTAAATGGAATGATAAATGGGACGAGCACAAACTGCGGAATTATGTTAATTTGTTTTACTTACTGCGGTAATCTACCGTATAGCACTTGCATTAAAAAATTACGATCTTTCGTGGGTAATTTGTTCAAAATGCTTTCCACACTTTCAACTTCTTTGGTCGACATTTTGCAGTTCTTTGCGCTAAAAATATTGGAATAAATGTATTTTAAACTTGATATGTCGAGCAAAAATAAGCGTTTGCAAAAACAAATACTCGTATACCTATCGTTCGTTATCGCTCTATAAACATACATACATATTTATAGTGCGGGTCTTTAGGATAACAATGGGGAAATTTTAATTTTTATTTCAATCCATCGTTTGTTATTTTATGAGACATAATAATTATAGAGGAGGTAAAAGTAAGAATTTGAATAAAGAGGCATTTGTTAAAAGACAAGAAATTAAATTGGCTGGATATTGTCATTATAGTACATACCCAAATGCTTAAAAAAGAAGAAATTATTTCTACATATCTAGGTCGTTAATTTTTTTTTTAAATTGAATTATAATCTTAACAAAGCATTGCAATGAACTATTAAAACAGAACGAAAAGGGAAAAATGGTATAATTTTAATAATAAACAGCAATTTGAATATAACATTTTAATAGATAAGATAATATAAGGCTATAATGTAAGAATTTTTGTTATACATATCTGTAAATTAAATTTTATAATCACGACTAATGCCATTTATAAAATAATTTAGAACGATACGAATAACTTGAATAATATTTTAGTTCATTCGTTACAAATGATGTATCGAATTTACATTAATTTGATTGCATTCGATCTCAACAATATTGGCCGAGTTAATAAGAACTCATAAATTGTATATTAAATATTTAAATAGAATAACAATTTATTTTATGGAACTTAAATAAAATAATCGTAGGAAAATAATTCAGCCCATTTCGATCACATATCCGCTTCACAAAGTTTAAGTAGAATTAAAATATTAGAAAAAAGATTTGAATAGTAGAAATAAATTTAAAAGTATACATACAAACGTTACAAATATAAGTAGAGATATTTTCGACGAGAGAAAATGAAAAATGGCCCAGCGGGGATTTTCCTTTCTGTGCTGTCTAGCCTTGTGTTTCGCACCTAAAACAATTATTTTTTTCAGAACCATTGATGTTTCGAACAAATACCGGAACAATTTCAAATCGATTATTCCACTACCGTAATAAAATCGAATTTCTACTCACTTCTCAGATGAATTTCCAGTTGAATTTCGCTATTCGCTATTATATCGCATAAATCGCATTTGAACTGCTTTCCTTGCCTTTCGACTCGCAATTTGTGCTTCCTTCCTTCTAAATGCCTTTGAAATATCTTCGCACTGGTGACTTTAACCCTGCAAATTTCACAGCTCAAACCCTGAAATTAAAAAAAAACTTTTACTAGTGAATAATATAAAATTAAGTGAAAACATAATGAATTTTCAATTACTTTGTGAGGTAGAAACTAACCTGCAAGCTATCATTAGAATCCTCTGATTCATCGGTCTTCTTTTCATCGGCGTTATTATTATTGTTGGTTTTATTAGGAAAAGGCAAATCTTCAACGTGATTATGAATTTCACCTGACATGGCGACAACGAGCAATTTAATCAACGAATATAGAGATACCATTTTCTCGACTTCGAAATGTACCCAACGGAATATCGACGTTAACAAGTTTTTGTTCTGCCGCAGAAGGAAAAACTCGCCTTCGGTTTTGTTTCGTCAATTTCGAAGATGATAACTTTGGGAATTTAATAGATTTTAATGCATTAAATTTTTGCAGCAATGGACTCAGCTCAAAAACAATAATTGTGTACTAAAAATGCAGCTTATATTTTAACTAATTTATTCAAAATTACAGCGAAATTAATCAAAACCACGAACTCCACCACCTTTCCTATAATCCGCGTTTCCGTAAATGTAATATTGGTCTGAATACAGACCGCATATATTCGATTTAGTCCCCTTTTCCATGGTATGACCTATAGCCTCGAGACCATCGATCACCTCTCGACCGATACCATTCTCATAAAACACCTTCATGGGCACCAACTGGTGGTGAATCCTAGGCGCATCTATAGCTTCCTTAATATTATTATCGAACCACAATACGCGCATAATCGCCAAAGCTACAGCGCTAGTTATTTGAGTACCACCCGCCGCCCCAATCACCAGTTTAACGTTACAATTTTCGTCCAAAACCACGGCGGGCGCCATCGAAGACAGCGGCCTCTTACCGGGCAGCATGTGGTTGCTAGGCGAACCCGGCAAACCGAAGTAATTCTTCATCCAGGGATAAGAGAAATCGTCCATGTGACTGTTGAGAACGACGCCGGTGCTCTTCGAGGTCATGCCCGCTCCGAAGTAGATGTTCACCGAGCTGGTCGCCGAGGCCACGTCTCCGTTCGGAGCCATCACGTTCAAATGGGACGTTCCGTGAGTATCATCGCCGTCGTAGAACCGGCCTCCGTAGTGCAACGGCTCCGCGTACGTTCTCCCGTCTTCGATTCTTCTACCGATCGACTCCGCGTATTCGTTCGAAGACAAATCCTCGAGCACATGCCGCATGTCTACAAACTTCGGATCGCCCAGTTCCGTTCGTCTGGCGTAAGCGTACTTGAACACTTCGATGATCCGGTGGAGGGTCGCTATTGTGTTGTTGGTGCCTTCCAGGTGCTCCGGAGTGAAGTGCAATTTATCCAGAACGTTGAGTATTAGAGCTAGAATTGGACCGGAGGCGGGCGGAGGTGCTGTGTACAACGTATCGCCGTTGGTTAGTTTTACTTTGTAAGGCTCGCTCCATTCTATTCTAATTAACAAGAAGAGTTTTTATAGTTGTTATTAAATTCTACTTGAGCTTACTGGTAATTGTTCAAATCCTGTTCGGTGATGATCCCGCCGCTGTCTTTGATATCCTTCAGCAGGCTCTTCGATAGCGTCCCGGTGTAAAAATCGTTCGGGCCATTTTTGGCTACGGCTTTCAAAGTTTCGCACAGTTTGGTTGGAACGATCCTGGAGCCGGGCAATTTGAGCTGGCAGTCTTCGTCGTAGAACCACTGCTTGAAATTCGGGTCTCGCTCGACCAGCCCCTCGCGCAATTTCACCGATTTGTACTGGTGCTTGGTCATGATGTAGCCCCTTTCGCAGAGCTCTATCGTCGGCGCTACGAGCGCTTCCCACGGAAGCTTCCCGAATTTCTGATGAGCAGCGTAATAGCCTAATAATTATGTATAAAATTGTGGTATAAAGTAATTTTTGTAACTCCAAAACAACCTTTAAGTTCTCCCGGTACGGCTACGGAGAGTATTCCATCGGAAGTGGAGTTGGGATAGATTTTGTACAAGCTGTTCTTCGCCTTCGCCGGCGCCGTCTCCCTGGCGTTGAGCGAATACACCTTGTGTTCGCTCTTCTTGTAGACGAGCATGAAGAAGCCGCCGCCGAGGCTCATGCTTTGCATGTTCACCACGCCGTTGCAGATCAGGACGGCGATCATGGCGTCGACGGCGGTGCCGTTGCGCAGCAGCGTCTCCTTGCCGATGTCCAAGCACTGGGCGGCGTCCATGGAGACGGCGCCCTTCCTGTAGCAGCGCAGCTTCGACGGCGACGCCGGCGGCGCGCTCCGCTGGGCGGCGGCGGGCGAGAGGCATGTCAGCAGCAGCAGGACGAGTAGGGTTTTGGAAAAGGCGTCGCGGTGGTGGAGAGTTCGGGCGAAGCTGGACGAGGTAATGGCTGGTGCAAGGGTCGGCATCGGTTAGGCCATTGTTAATACGAATTTGGAAAGAAACGCCAAAGTTTTTGTCAATTTTGACGTTGAATTATATCAGTAAAATGTAGGTAATTTTTGCTGGTGGTAGATCATAAAAGCTGGTACAATTTGTGTGTACATGAAGCGCCAGATTTTATTTTTGTATACTCTATATACTAGAAAATATTTCAAAAATTTTAATCCTCCTTCTGTTCAATTATTTCCTTGACTATTCATGCTTAAACACCGAGTGCGAATCCAAACTTGGTATAATATAAAGTATGAAAATCTCCCATGTATCCATTTATCCGTTACATTCTTTTCGATTTCTGTAGAGGCAGCTCGGGTAACAGGTAAAAACGAACTGGGAATTCGTTCACGACATATTATACGAGTCAGGTAAGAACCGTTGAAAGTGAACAAGGGCGTACTAAAAGGTAATAAATATTTTCGAAATTTACTAATAGTTTTATTGACTTTCTAAAAGTTGGTAGTTTTATTGTTGCACAGTTATTACTGTAATAACATTTTTATATTGAAGAAAAATAACACAAGAGTGTAAAAAGAAGTATTTAAAGTCAATTTTTACAAAGTAATAGATTAAAATTTAACCTAGGTGCAAAAGAAAAGTAATATGAAACACATAAAAGAAACATACGTTAAATAAAATTAACATGAACAATTTTCAACCGTTATAATTCCGAAGAAATAAATTGTTTCTGTACCCGTTAGCCTTCACCTTCCGGCGCTAATGAAATTGGCTACTGAAGAAAATAACAGAGAAATCCTTGCTTTCTAATAACAACGCATTGCTTGAGTTACCTACATGTCGAGGAACTAAATTAACGCGTTCTCGGGCAACTGGAATTCGAGTTTTCGACAGTAATTTTCGAGGAATTTTTAGTGAAAAGTACTAATGAAGGTGTCTCATGCGTTTTCTTGTGCTATTTACGTTGATTTCGTCATAAAATGATGACTGGTTATTGGTCAATACTTCTTTTCATACGTAAGTACTGATTTTACATTCATATGGCGACATCGACAGTAAATACTGCTCATTAGACTGACGTCATTAATTTTAAATGGTAGAAATTAAAATTATCAAATCAATGAGCAGTTAAAATCAAATACAATGCTCCAAAAGAGTTAAAGTTACTCATAATTTTCGCATAAATAATGCACAAATTGTACACATACAGTTTGTTGTAGAACTATTTTTAGAAGTATTTTTAATCCTCAATTTCCTATTTCAGTTATTCAACAATCTACCTCACTAACATTGAGAAGCTACATATCTTCGAAAGGGCTTCATGGTACAATAACCTTCACGAAACTCAAAGATGAAGTGATAATAACCACCGATTTGCAAGCGACGTTGGAATATCCTAGTCAAATATGGTCTTGGTTCGTCACCGAATTCCCCGTGGATTATTCCACCGTGGAAGACCGCTGTCAGAATTTAGGCAAGACTCTAATCAACATGCAAGAGGTGTTTGGATATTTAATTATACCCGACAATCAAACGAGCCAGCATGTCACGAAAGATTTACGCGTAGACGGAGATATGGGCATTTACGGTAAAAGTCTTTTATTCAAAAACAGCGACACCGATCAAATTATCTGCTCGTCGATCGTCATGATCGACAAAACGAACGAAAAAGTCGCCGTAGCCCGATTTAACAGCCCCGTCGCTGGCAACGTTTACTTCCGGTGGTTCTCGACCAAAGATAACCAAAGCGATCTTCTGATCACGACTGATCTCTACCACGTTTACAACAAGGAAAACGCCAGCAGGTTTGTGAAATACAGCGAACATTCCTGGAAGGTTTACACCACCGATATATTCGATTCGGACGAAAACAGGCACGTCGATAACTGCAACATTCTGCAATTAGTTTACGATCCCGATGGCAAAGGCGAAGGTAAATCCACGGGCGATATCGATTACAGAATAGGCAAAGTTAAAGTATCCGCCGATCACACCAAAAACAGATACAAAACTTTATTTAGAGATGCTGAACTGGCATCAATGTCTGACGAATTGAGCGGATCACAGAGAAGACTCTACTTGGTTCTGTTCGAAACAAAACACGAAGACACCTTCTTAGCTTGCGCCAGAATCCAGTACTACAACCCTGTAAACGCAAGGTATTAAGTTTCATCGAGCACCTGCAGATGAAATACCCAGATAATTCTCTTTTTTAGAGTCGTCATCCAATCGGGCGGCATCAAAGGCGACATACAAATGACCCAACGCACGAAATTCGAACCGACTTTCGTGAAATTCAATCTGACAACTGCCAGAGGAGACGTAGAAACCAGAATCGTGTACAGCTCCACGGTGTCCGCCTACAAAATCCACGAGTTACCCATCAAGCCCTTCCCCGCAGGAAACGAGATCGAAAATTCCTGCTTGACCACCAATTTCGTGTACAATCCGCAGAGCGTCAACCTGAACAACGTTCCCCCCAACGGTAACTACAGAACGCCCTGTAAGTTTCTGTTCTAATCGATTTGCTTGCTAAGGGTTCGGTACTCAAGACCAGTACGCCATCGGCGACTTATCCGGCAAGCTCCTGGGAAGAAACAACAACAATTCCACTGTGAACGGCGGGCAAGAACTCACCGGACCTTACTGGGACACTTACCTACCTCTGGAAGGACCACATTCCATCATTCACAGGTCTTTGGTTATTTACAAGTAAGTACAAGCTGATTTTCTTACACCAACAACTAACACATTGCTGGTTTGTTCAAGATATACTCAGTACCGCTCGTCCGAGTTGATAGCAGAGCCGTGGATCTGCGGCGATGTGGTACTATACGAGGCGAATTTCAAATACGCCAAGCAAATTTTCACGGCCCAAGTGGTGTTTCGGTACCCGCTGGTGGGCAGGGTGCTGCTCAGGCAGGCGAGGGACGAGCCCTGGGCGGACACCAGCTTGCTGGTGGAGTACCTGGTGCACGCCGACGGGGCCGCTCTCAACAATTCCGCCGGTCATCGCTGGGCGATACACCAGCTGGCGCCTGGGAAGGATTTCTACAGCTGGAAGGAACGCTGTTTAAGCGCTGGAGATGTTTTCAATCCGTACAAGGTGGGTTGTTTTGGGTTTGTGAAATTTCGGAATTAACGAGTTGTTGTGTTCAAGGTGGAGGATGGTAATAAAACCAACAAGTGTAGTTTGGACGATGTTGGGCTTTGTAGAATGGGTGATCTTTCGATTAGGCAAGGGACGTTAGATATTGCTGGAAGATTAGTTGATAGCGATATGGTTTCGAGGAAGATGTGGACTGATTCTTTATTACCGCTCAGCGGATTTCACAATATCCTAGGGAAATCCTTGGTGATTTACGATGACCACGGTCCCAAAGCTAGAGGTGAAAGATTAGCGTGTTCAACGTAAGAACAATTATCTTATAATAACAAAACACTTTCTAATTTCGCATCAAATAATTCAGTATCAGCGGAGTGTACAGAAGAAAAGCCGTAGCCCGCGACTGGTTCCCCAACGGTTTCGATCTTTCCGTTAAAGGTAAAATCGAATTTCTACAGCAAACCGAATACGACATTACCGACATCGAAGTGAATTTAGAAGGACTTACCTTCCTAACCGGCTACCACATTCACATGGTGAGTAACTAACTGCTCTATGCGAGTACAATGATCGCATTTTTGGATTTTATTCCAGACGCCAGTAGAGGAAGATCTAGAATTTCCCTGCGAATCGACCACTTTGTACGAGACTTGGAACCCTTTCAACGTGGATTCCACGTCGTCCCCGCGGAGCTACCGGGGCACCCCCGACCAATACGAGGCCGGCGATTTGAGCGGAAAATTGGGGAACTTGCAAAATCGCACAGTCGATAAAAGATTCTACAACGATACTTTACTGACTTTGTTCGGCCCAAAAAGCATCCTCGGAAGGTCCATAATTATTTACAGAGAGGTACTTTTTTATAATAATATGCATAAACAATCTGATTCGATAAATTTTTTGATAGAACATAAAACGTTGGGCTTGCTCCACCATAGAAAGAGGCTACAGCGCATCGGAAGCTCGAGAACTTAGAGCTATAGCATCGTTTCACAATCCGATGGGATTTGTCTTCGGGTATGCTAAAATGGTATGTTCATATTATAATTCCAAATTATTCACACTATTTTAATTCTAATGGTTCTATTCCAGAGACAATTAATTCATAAAGACGGTAGTGCAAGTGATACTACAATCGAACTGAAACTTCGGTATCCAGGGAAAAATGATAGAAATAAAGTATTATACCAACAAATTCGTAATGATTTGTAAAATTAATTACCAATTATTGTAGACAAGAAACCACCTTTGGCAAATCTTCGTTAATCCAGTGGGAGTGGACGCCACAGTGAAAAGTACAAGTGCTAGATGTGTGGCAGGAGGTTACGTTTGGAATCCATATTACACGCAATTGGCTGATCCTCTCAACGTAAGTCTTTTAGCTCAACAATACTGTAACTAATCACTAGTATTTCCCCTCAGGAAGACCTCTATAGACAAGAATGCGGCCCAGAGAACCCTCTGAGATGCCACGTAGGCGATCTATCAGCTCGACTGGGAACAATAGACATTGGTCTACGCAGGAAGGTTTTCACCGACTCCAATTTCCCGCTGGAAGGAGACGTATCAGCTGTGGGAAAGTCTATTGTTATTTTCGGACCGGAAAAGAGCCCCTTGAGATTCGCTTGCGCCAATATCGAGCCCGATTACGATATCATTAAATACGCTAATATTGAAAAACCGCCTCGTTTTGTCGTGTAAGCACACTCTAACACACACAAGTAATTTTAATTAAATTACAATTTATTCTAGAGCTCAATTCATCGAAGATGTCCGCGATGTTATGGGAATACCCGAATGGTTCTTAACAGTGGATAGCAGGAAAACTAAATCATTGCACAACGATGCTTGCGTTCAGTTATTGCTACACTTTAAGGGTCCGATTTCCAGCAGAATAGAGCAGGATTTCAATAGATTAATGACGACAGGTAGACTGGATTCTCCCAGCTTGTACATACCCGGATTTATAGACGAGAAGAGAAAAGTTAAAATTGCCTATAAGCTGTGCGGTACCAAAGATCCCAATGAAAAAAGTAGAAAGAGAAACAGCTTCTTTTATAGATCACATTCTAATAGGTTACATTCGACTGGTAAATTAATTATATTTGTTTCTTTATTGATGTTTTATTTGTTGAAATAAATAAATTGAGTTAAAAATTGGGTTTTAATAATAATCCCTTAGTAGTAAATACCTTGTAATTTCATCTAAGGCTCGAAGAAAAATCTAATCTAGTAACTGTTATTGGATACTACAGATATATCGGTTAATAATATTTCTTCAATTGGGCTTCTATTTGGGGCGTTTTCAGCTGCGATACGGGAAGATGGTCGACGAGAAATACCGCTCTAGTGTTTCAGCGGGCGAATGAATCGGCGCGGAATGACCGGAACGAATGAAATCTATTCCGAGAGGGAGCTAAATAAGGTAAGCTCAAAAAATCGAAGCCACGACGCCCGAACGAGAGCCGTTCGACGCCCGACGCCCGTCGTCAGATGTTATTTAAGTAAGAATAGTTTTGGAGGCTATTTCAGTCGCGGGTGTTACTTGGAGAGTTCAACTTCGACTGATAAAATGGTGAGTTTTTTTTAATGAAATAATTAGGTTTTTTTCGAATTTTTAAATAATGTTTCGGTGGTTTATTGTTGTTTCGATGGAAGTGAAGATTAACAATTGGGAAAAGTTTAGCAATTTTGTTATTATTTGCGGTGGTTTTGGAATTATTTTAAATATCGAAGGTAGAGACATTAGTCTTGAATCGTTTTTTTTAAAGAATTTTCAAAGTTCAATTCAAAAATATCGTTTTTTTTTCTAAATAATTAGACAACAAGCTAATCAAGCCTTATAATTTCTGATGTATTTTGCAAAGATTTTTTTAATTGTTGGTTCCATAAGAAAAAATATTACCTACACAATCGTCCTAAATTTATTACCTAATCATTAAATACAGTAACTCATTAAATATAAAAAAATCTTAAGTAGTATATTATAAAATATAGGTATACAAAAAAATAATTGTATCTCTAATAAAAATAAATTTGTATCTCTTGCTTATTGGTATAAAATAACTAAATATTAGATGATTATGTAATATTTGAGTGATCGAAATATACGAAAATGTGCGTTACGAATTGCGAACTGGAAATGGATTATTTTTAACTTCGAGATATAAATAATTTGGAATTCGGCCAAAAGAGAAAAACGATATTAGGCGCACCTCGAAAGTCAAAATGTTTATAATGAATTGTAAATAAAATACTTGCTGATGCTAGATTGACGTTCTAAAGATAAAAATAAAAAAAAAAACTCGAAAGAATTCTGATGGGCTAATTTTAATTGACCTGGTATTCTAGATTTAAAATAGGTCATGTGCTATTTGGAAAACAACTATCGAATTTTCAATCAAAACTCACTCGTCCTATTCTCCTCGCCTTTAAACAAAAAATACATTTTCAGGCGGACAAGGAAAAGAAGGTTAAGAAGAAGAAGAAGGAAGAAGGAGATGCCGCCCCAGCACCGGCACCCGCCGCCGAAACCAGATCATCGTCGAAGAGCTCTTCCAAGAAAGCTAAAAGATCCGGCTCCAATGTATTTTCCATGTTCTCCCAAGCTCAGGTAGCCGAGTTCAAGGAAGCCTTCCAGCTCATGGACCACGACAAAGACGGTAAACACCCCATTCATCTATAATAACAACCACCTCTTCTTCGAATTTATTAACCAACAATAGGGTCCTTCATGACCTTTACTTGCACGTTTCCGGTGATATATTAAAGGGAGTTATTGTTTTGAAGGCATCATCAGCAAGAGCGATTTGAGAGCGACCTGCGACGCCGTCGGCAAGCTCGCCAATGAAAAGGAATTGGACGAGATGGTCAACGAAGCCAGCGGCCCCATCAACTTCACCCAGTTGCTCGCCCTGTTCGGCAACCGCATGGCCGACTCCGGCGGCACCGACGACGACGAAGTCGTCGTCGCCGCCTTCAAGTCCTTCGACGAGGGCGGCACCATCGACGGCGAGAAGTAAGCCATTTTTTCGGTACACGCCGATCGTGATTCACGCGAGCGAATTTTCGCAGGTTCCGCCACGCTCTGATGACTTGGGGAGACAAGTTCACCGGCAAAGAAGTCGACGACGCCTTCGACGCCATGGAAATCGACGACAACAACCGAATCGACACCCAGGCTCTCATCACCCTGCTGACCGCCGCCGAGAAGGAAGAGGGCGAAGGCGAGGCCGCATAAGCCGCAACATCTACTGTACTCGCGTCCGAACGAATGTATTCCAAATATGTTACCGGTGTGGTGTGTCCGCAAATTTACCAATGGCGGAATGTGTATATACGTTAGTGTCAAAATGCGTCTTGTATTTCATGTATCGCGGTTACTCCAACATCGTGTAACCCAAAAAACAATTATATTATTTTTTGTTTCATAAAACCAGTGGTATTTTTTCCTACCCGAAACCTTCCTAACTCCAACGGAACCAGAATTTTCGTAAGGTAAAAAAAATCTTTAATGAAACTTACGTAAACCTACGAAATATATTTACATGAATAATCCTCTAATAATCCTTATAGCTACCGATTAATTCCTCTTCGATCCGATGCTTCCATTGACACCATACACATAAGCTACGTTATTTTCGTCTAAAATATGCGGACTAACGGCCACGTCCGTCTGCGTTCCAGCCCCCACCAAAGCCGCTTGGTCCCTCACCATTTCCCTTCTGATGACCGAGCAGCAAACGAACCCCGCCCCGTCGTCGTCGGCCAGGCTGAACATCTTCGCCTTGCTCTCCATCTCCTCCGACACGTTGATCGGATTGAACTGCAGCCGCTTCGAGCGCGGAATGTCCAGTATGCGCACGCTGTTCTCCTTGATGTCGGAGAACGGGGTGAAGCGCAGCAGCGAGTAGAAGTGCTGCTCCTGCCTGGGGCCCACGGACAGCACCGTGCCCTGCCGCCTGTCCGTGGTCACTTTGGATATCTGGTCGGCTTCCAGCAGGTGCGGGTGGACTTTAATGATCGTCTGCGCGGAGGCGTTCGCGGTGCTTTTGGACATCTCGTGCTGTTACCATCCTTCGGTAGCCGCTTTCGATAACATCGGGATCTGAAGATTGTCGTGGAATGACGTTGACGTTGGTGTAAAGGTGGTAACGCATGTAACACAGTCATCCCTGAGATGTGTAATTTATACAGCGTTTATTATACAATGTGGATTTCTTTTGAAACGTTGAAAGAGTGATATTGTGTCACATCAACTTTTTACTCTGACAACCGTTATATTAATAATCTTTCTTTGTTCGGCTCATAGAAATGACAATATTGCACACTGAAATGAACCAAGATATGTAGGCTATGGGTGCGATAAAGGCAGCTGCTATTAGACATTTATAAAGGAAAAAGAAAGAGTGATATATTGTTTCATTGCAACTTTTGACTCTAACAACAGATATTATAATAATCTCTCTTTGTTCAACTCATAGAAATGACCATATTGCAAAATTAAATAAACCAAGTTGTATGTATAGGCTATGGATGCGATAAAGACAACTTCCATTAGACATTTGTAAAGGAAAAAGAAGTGAAATTGTGTCATTGCAACCTTCTCACTCTGACGACTGTTATTTTAATAATCTTTCTTTGTTCAACTCATAGAAATGACCACATTGCAGACTGAAATGGACCAAGGTGTAATACAAGTGCAAGTTTATTAATAATGTTTATTTATTAATTCAAATTTCATCACAGTAACCTGCATATCGACAATATCATTAATGCAAATAATATAAATTTACGTTAAGACTAATTTAAATCTATGAAGAATCCTACTTTGGTAATTTATGTCACTAAAAAAAATCTAAAATAGAAAAGAATCACATTAGTACAGTAATGAAAAAGTTTTCTACTCGCTTCTAATTGAATTAAAATTACCTGTTAAGTTTTTATTAAAAATTCTAGTAAATTCTTAATTCATAAACACATCAGCCATCAAGGATTTGCAGTATCCCAATTTTCTGCAGATCGTCCTTTTATCAGAATGGTCAAAGGCCATCGTCAACATTTCATCACCATTCGTTTCGACAATATTCGTACACTAAAACAATTTGAATTTGATTCAATCCCTTTCTATCTTCATCTTAGCAATTCAACTCACTTTTTCTCTGTATTGCGGTAACAAACCCCTGCAAGTCTTCTCGATGACGTGCATAACGTTATGGTCCACTTTGGGATTCGTTAATATCCTAATCATATTGTCGGCAGCCATTTCGCAAATGGGACACTCCGAAATTTCAACTGCAACAAAAAAATGTATGAACGTATGCGATCAAAATTGATTATTCGGCGGTTACCTCTGATCGTTTCTAGATTGTTTCCGCACAGTTTCATCATAGTGCAAATCTCGGACGGTTCCAAAGCGGCTATGAGCAATTGGATGATCATATTGCCGTTTTTGTCGATAAAATCGTCACATTCCTTCCTGATAGATGACGGCATTATTTTGCAAATGTTCTTTACAGCGTTCTCAATTTCGTCCTTTAAATATTATAATTAATGAGTAACTCGATTGATGGAACTAAGAGTAATTTAAAATTATTGATTTCGAACAGAGTAATCAGGAGAACGCTACTTGAAAAATAACGATTATTTTGTAACAGTCGTTACTGCACCTCTATACCGAAAAATTGATTCCCACCTCTATTAAACTTATGTGACATGAAATGTCATTAATGTCAATTTTGAATTTTTCTTATGTACCATCGAACGCATCTTAAAGTCCTACTTAGTCCCTTACAATGCACAAAAATGAAAATTTATCGTAGCAAGTGGAATTCCGGTGCACCTTTTACTAGTGCTATCAAATTAACATAATAACTTACGGCAGTTTTTTTATCTTTCAACTCATCTTCAATTTCTTTCATAACAAATTCGCACAAGACACATTGCGGTTTTTCTTGCACAGTGCCATCCAAATTTTTCCCTATTATTTGACCGTTTATCGTGTTGTCGGGTATTACATTAGTTTCTGAAACAACAAACAACGTAAATTACAAGTTTTTTTCTTTTACAACTACATTTTTAACTACTCACCGATATTTCCTTCGACGTGCCTGAAAACGTAAGGAGGCAATTTACTAGCGGGCCTGGAATCGGTGCAAAGCTTCAAAGCGACGCAAACTTCCTCCGGCTTGAAGTCGTCAATTAACATTTCCACTAATTGCTTAGTGTAAGTCGTGACGAAATCATCGCATTCATTGTCGAGCGTTTGCGGTAAAGTACTGCAAACTTTCTTCAGCGCCTCTTGTATTTGCTCCTGCACAACAAAACATCTCATTCAACACAACTAAGCTCTATTTATTTCCCGTTAATACGGAAAAAGTAACCGATAAGGAGGTATTACAGAGGAATGGAGAAGGAACGTGGAATATCTATGATACATAATGAGAGGAGAAAAATAGTAATTACTGAGGCTTAGTAAAGCGTAGAAGGGTTTCGAGGCTAAGCAATTTGAGCAATTAGAGCAGCAGTTGGTAAAGTAAGGAGATGGAATTGGAAGAGAATTATAATAAGTACCTCGGTGTTGTTGTTCTTGATCAAATCCTCCAATTTGGTAACGGCTATGAGGCACAAAGGACATTTCGAATCGCTCTTGGCTTGCATGAATACCTCCACGTTGTGGCTATCAGACGACGGGCAAGCTTTTATTAGAGGACAAACGACGGAAGGATCGACTTCTTGCGCTAAAATGGCTATCAAAGCCGGCGCGTAACTGTTGACGAAATCGACGCAGGTTTCGTTCACCGACGTGGGTAATTTATCGCAAGCCTCATCGATAACTTCGGCGATTTTCTCCTAGAAAAGACAATCACGAGTTAATGTACGTGTAGTTAGTTCACAGTTTCACAAATCGTTACAAATTTCCACGTAAAATCAACGTATTTATTGCGTACACATATACATTAAAACCCTAACGAAACGTCTCATTTGGATGCTTCGATCGCTTTAGGAGGACGGGGCGGTACAAAAGGATCTTCTACATGCAACGCCGTATACGAATATCGCGTCCACGGTCTAAACTCCCACGGCATTTGCTCTTCGACGGTTCGCAATTTCACGCCCAAATCCTTCAACGTCGGCACGCCCGCTTTGACGTCGTCGCTGAGATGCTCCCGTTCGATTTTCTCCCAATGCAAATGGCCCAACGGCCAGCTATACGACAGCTTCTGCGTGAGCGTGACCCTGAGCTTGAACAACGGATCCAAACGCATATCGTACCGCACGTAATCCTTCTCGTCCGCTTTCATTATGCGAAAGAAATAATCGACCAGCTCCGACAGCTTGTAGCGCTTCGGCCCGACCGCTTGGTACACCTTCCCGGCCGACGCCGGATCCCGGATGGCGTTCAAAACGGCGGTGGCTACGTTACCGACGTACACCGGCTGCTTCTCGGTCTTCTCCCCTTTGTGCCACAGCGGAATAAAGTGGGCGTTGCGCCGCCACACGTGCGCGTAGTACTTCACGAATCTGTCCTCCTGTCCGTAGACGTCCGACGGCCGGAAAACGGTGGCGTTTTCGAATTCGTCGAGCACGGCGTGCTCGCCTTCGGCTTTGGTCGCCAGCCATCGCGAACCGCCGGGCAGGACGCCCGCCGATTTCGGCTCCGTCGCGGCGTTCAACGCCGAAAAGTGCACGAATCGCTTCACGCCCGCCCGCTTGGCCAGCCTCGCCAGCGTGGCGGCGCCGACGACGTTCACGTCGCGGAACTTGTAGTTCATCGTCTCCCAGTCCCTGCCGACGAGGTTGACGGCCACGTTCGAGTACTTGAGGCACTTCTCGATGGAGCGCTCGTCGCGCAAATCGTACGGGTGGAAGTACACCTGGCCCAGTTCGCCGGTTTGCTTCAGGCGAAAGGGGTCGTAGTTGTCGCCGCGGTAGGGGACGATGATTTGCGAGCCGGATTTGCCCAGTTCGTTGCACACGTATTTGCCGATGAAGCCGGTCGCGCCGAATACGGTCGCGACGATGCCGCTGAAGCTGTTCCGGCCGCCCGGGCCGCGTTTCAAATCCGACAAGTTTAGCATGGTTTTGACAATGTTCGCCGGGTCGAATTCATTAGGGCGGGTTTTCGCGAAAACTTCAAATTCAAATGCCAATTATTACATATCTATGTGCCAATTGTAACAGGATAACTTAATAAGGGGGTAGCGGCATTAGGTCGGACTTTAGAGAAGAGGGCGACTGAGGTAAGGGGAACGCAGAAGTCAAATTAGGTTGGCAACAAACACTACAAACAGTGACAAATGTGTCAAAAGTTGTGACAAAAGTGTCACATTAGAACTGTTGGCTAACCTTTTTAATGAATTTGAATTCAAAAATGGTTCCTAAGGTTGTGTTTTGAACATTTATAATTGCTTTTATATGTGCGTTGTGTGTTATTTGACTTTTATTTATAAACGAATAGAAAGATATTGGTCATTTATCGTTTACATGAACTATACAATTTAAATTTTCGCGCCAGATTGACGTTTGCGACTTTTCATACGTCACCAAAATGGAACCCTCTTCCACCTCGAAATGCCGTTACCCCCTTATTAAATAATCCTGAATTGTAACAACATTTGGCATATTTTATGTCAAATTGAATTTATACAAACAAAAATTCTATTCATTCCATAATATACTCAAAAATTACTGAAGAAATTACCTATTTAACACAGTACCTCTACGAACCGAACCATCATACTTTGATCAGGAATAACTCTGTACGTTTTTGAATAATTACAATTTACAATATTTACCTCTGTTTTAGGATCCGTTATGGCGTTTTGCACGTAATGCAGGAAATATTCGCAGAATTCGCACACTTGCTTGTTGTACAATAATTCCGTGTGGGGCATCATCGTATCGATCGGTAACTGTTGTTCGGCGATAATAGCGGGATATACTCGAGTGTTCGATACATCGCTACTCAATTTAATGTGAACCAAAGGCTTAGCTTGCGAATTGGATATTTCTATTGCTTTCTTAGCGCTTTCGCCGTCTGCCGGTAGTAATGGCGCAATAAAGCTCTCCTAAAAACAATTACAATATTCTACATACTCATAATTTCTTCTTAAAAGAATTAAAAAATTCGTTACACTATTACCTAATAAATCTTTATTATTAGTAGCTTTTTACAGGCGTATTTTGATGGGGAAAAAATAATACTTTCGTTTCATACTAACGTACCTGATGTTCTGTTACGCTGCAAATGCCAATTTCCTCGCACACCTCGGTGGAGTTCAAATGGGTGGTCAAGAAGTTGTACACCTCTTCGTAATACTGATCGACGAGTTCGGTACATTCGCCGGAGAACTGACCGGTCTGTTTGCACAAACCTTCCAATACCTGCTTGAATTCGATCTCTGTCGTATTGGCCACCAGCAAGTTCTTCAAATGGTTGACCAGTTGCTCGCAAAGCGCGCACGGCAAATCGTCCTTTTTGTTACTACAAAAAAAATAAGACAAAATCGTGAGGGCGTTTCCAATGAGCTGTTTTATCGGGATAGATTCTATTTACCCGACGGAAACGTAGCCGATGTGCGAGTTGGGCGTTATCTCGATCCTGGCTCGATGCTCGTGGAATTGCGCGCTGCACTCTCCGGACATCAAACAAACTTCGTTGGCGTTCAAGTGAGCCTGAAGATGACGGTAGATTTCCTCGAAATACGTGATGATTATGTTGCTACATCCGTCGGAGAAGCTGCTTAGTTTACCGCAAAACTACAAAGCAAAACGTTAGTCATTAGCACAATGATATCATCAAAATTACGAGTATTGTTCGATAGAGAAAATTCGTTTAGTAACCTGCAAAAATCTGTGCAACAAATCGTCTTTGGTCATCTTAGCAAAGCGATCTTCTAGAATATTAACGACCGTATGGCAACCCTGGCAGGTGTTCGAGGCGACTTTCACTTGGGGAACTTCATCGGAAGCTTCTATCATTTGGTGGATCTTTTCGTTGTTGCATAGACCGGCTACGGAACAGACCAGCTGCGGGTTCATTTGTGAAGCCAACGTATCGATTAGATCCGGAATATAATTATCGGCGATTTTGTCGCATTCTTTCACGATCGGTTTGATGCGGAAGTAACTGCATTCCGTTTCGAATACCTCTTTTATGAGTTCCTGCGAAATGGCGTATAAATAAAGTCATTTTACGAGTATAGCGAGTGATGATGTTACTTGGGTCTCGTTGCTTTCCAGTTGATCTCTGGCCTCTTTTACCATTTCCAAGCAAATCTGGCAAACGCTGCTATCGTCCGGTTCCAATTTCTTGTGCATCCACACAGTTTGAATGCAGTGCTTCGTTGCATGGCAATCTGCAGCGGAACTGTAATGAAAAAGTATCAATCAACCGTTGGTAGTTAAAAAGGTACATTTGAACTCAAATTGATTTATTGTTCTATACATAAATATTTCTAAAAAATAAAATGATGCATTATATAAATCTCTATCATCGATTTCAATAATTTAAAAATATTTTATTGTTATTTATATTATTAAAAAGAATAAACAAATGTGTTTATTGAAAATATCGAGTTTGATTAGATAAATTGCGCAAATATTTTCATCGCGAATATGTAATTCTATTTATCAACAAAGAAATTGTGAATAAGCATTTAGATAAATGGAAGAAATGAAGTGGATAAATCTGGACATATTATTATAATAAAAAAACACTTCACGTTTAAACAATAAAAACAAAGCATAATTGTGCAAAATCTAGAACAAAAATCTTAGCAAATTTAACAAGCATTTACATTCTTATTCAAGAATTTTTTTTAATAATTTCTATGTTACATCATAATATTATTGTATAAGAATTTCTCTAAATATTTCATATATGCATGTTATCAGTAAGTCGAACATTATTTCAAATAGCTCGGTTAATAATTAGGCCAACATAACAGATATGTATTTAACAACAATTTTAAAATATTAAATCCACAATACAGTTAAAAGCTAATGGTTTCTAAACTTTTGCCACAATTAAATTAAGTATTGATCAATTGTTCTGCAATCAGAACTTCATACAACTGAAAATGGAATACCACTTACAGAAAATATATCTAATATATTTACAAGTTTTGCAAATTAAAGTAAATACTTACGTTAAATTCTGACACCAGTATCCAGGTCCTCTAGTACATAATTCGGAACCTAAAAGGTGCTGTTTCTTATGCCCAGGTCGTGGAGGAACAAACACTCCACTTACTACTACTGAAAGAAAATCAAATAGTTCATTATGTGAACGTGGTATTTTCAAGAAAATTAATAATAATCGTATATCAGAATTTTTCGAGTGCTCAGTGAAAAAATACTTGGTTGTTTAAATAGCGTACAGAAATAGAAATATCAATATTTTAAGACGACCTCAACCTTATGGGGTCATTTTGAGGCTCGTGAACAAAGTTATACACTAAAGATTCTTAAATGAAGTTCAATAATCTACCATTGTTTTGTTATTTAGTACTTTAGTTATTGGATAATGAAATTATGTTACAGTTTTATTATTCCGAAGCCAATCTTTTCTTTGAATAATAAACATTAATATTTTCCATTTTTAGATTAAATTAAAATAAAATTAAACGAAATGTAATGTCGTCATTGCAAATATCTGAAAACAATTATTCTATAAATAAATACAAAACTACGCAAAAAATATAACATGGCAATAAGTGAAAAAAAAACAATTTAATAAGATCTGCAGCAATTACAATAAAATAATTAAAATTCTTACCGAAAACCGTAGCTAATAAGAAGATATAAATCTTCATTTTCAATCTTCACCCTTCGGTATACAGCGTGTTGTTAATTGTTAGCACTGTTAGCAGTGTAGTGTATAACTGTCGAATGTCGATTTGCTTAGTTTTTTAAAAGTTAAACTCTATCAATGAGATTCGGATTCGAAAATGATAAACCGATTGATTATTTCGACGAAAACCGCACGAATGTTCAATATGACTCATAAAGAAATGTTGATATGAGAAATGAGAATCACAATCACAGAATTACCATTGACAGCAACATGAAACATGACAAGAATAAACAAAAAAAATCTTGACAGCTGACATTTGACATTCACATAATCATTTCTTTTACCTTATAATGGTCTTTGACTTATGTAGCTATTCGGTATATATTCAACACGATTTTTAAAAATAAAAAAGAAATATGTATTCCGTTGGCGCTGTAGTTGAATTTAGAAATATGCAATAATATAAAAATGCTTGTTATAACCTTTGATTTTAGTTTTTACATTAGGTGTGACCTGGTGTCATTTCCTTCCTTGATGGATAAAGTCAGAGCCGTATTGAAAATATTTGTGAACCAAACTAATACAGGACCGTAATTGGAATATTTTAACTATGAATACACATACAAAAATATTATTAAAGGCTTATGAATACGTAAAAGTCTAGTTAGACACAACATACTAATTTGATTTCTTAACTAAAAATCATCTCGTAAGTTCATGTCTAAATGTTAATTGTTAATTAACACGTTTCGATATTTTTTTTGTATTTTTTAACACCGTGTATGTTATTTGTGACATCTACATATTTTCTTTAACACATATGAGTTATCATTTAATTAAACTTCTGCAAAATGTAATGTAAATACATTTGGTTCAATTGATATGATAAAATATATCACTCAGCAATATATTAAACCCTTTCTGTCAATTTTTAGAAGACTTTTAAAAATAAAAATGGCATGTAAGTATATATCAACATTCAAAATAGTTTGTTTCCATTTTTGTAGTTTTCTTTGCAAAAGAAATGGCTCAAAAATCAAGTATATTTCTTCTACTGGTGGTCTACATTGGATTGATCTGTTTTAAGGTTCTACCGAAGATTACATTGAAGAAGTAATTTGTGAAACGTCCGATATACTAGAAAACCATCCGAAAACGTTTAAATTAGGAGAGGGAGAGATTCTGTTAATTAAGCAAAATAACGTGATAAGTGCATTAGGTTCGAGATGTACTCATTATGGAGGGCCTCTAGTTAACGGTGCTTTAGGAAACGGCCGAATAAGATGTCCCTGGCATGGTGCCTGTTTCGATTTGACCACCGGAGATATAGAAGATTTCCCAGGTCGTCAATTACTCACCTATAATTCCACACAAAATTCACAATGTCGCTCGTTAGGTCTGGACTCCTTGCCCTGCTACAAAGTGACTGTAGATGGCGAGAATGTTAAAGTCAGAGCGTCGATAGCGGATTTAAGGCACAACAAGCGGAAAAAAAATATGGTCAAACGAAATAGGGTCTCGAACGATTCGGTTGTGGTTATCGGAGGCGGTCCTGCGGCGGCGGTTTGCGTAGAAACTCTAAGACAAGAACTTTACGACGGCCGCATTACGATGATATGCCAAGAAAAATACCTTCCTTACGACCGAGTTAGTTGTATAGAAAAGTATAGGAGTTTACCGATGAGTCATTAACAATATTTTTTTGAAGACGAAGTGTACCAAACAAATGGATTTCACCATTTGCGATGGACAACTGAGAAACGGCCCGTTCTACCACTCGCACGACATAGACATTATGAAGAGCGTGGAAGCGGTTTCGGTGAATACCAAAACAAAAACCGTAAAATTGAGCAACAACAAGACGCTTCAGTACACGAAACTTTTCATAGCCACGGGGAACTCGCCGAAGAGAATTGCCGTCAAAGGTGAAGATTTAAAAAACATTTTTTTATTGAGAAATTACGACCACTCTAAGTTAGTATATGCGCCTTTTCGTTGCCAATTTAAAAATGATACCGTTGTTATTTGCAGGATATTGTATTCCGCTCTATCGAAAGACAAGCGAATGGTGGTTATCGGCGGCGGATTCATCGGCATGGAAGTAGCCGATTTTTGCGCCGATAAAGTCAAAAAGATAACTCTCGTTATGCGGTACGATAAGCCGTTGAAATACGTTTTTGGCAACGAAATTGGCGGCGTCCTCATGAAATTATTCACGAAAAAGGGCATCGAATTCGTGCCAAATGTCAACGTTGTGAATTTTATCGGTTGTGACAAAGTAGAAAGCGTTAATTTATCCGATGGTAGGTTATTATTTTAGTTTGTATTTCTCACCAAGTGGTTATGATAACCATAGTATTTATCTTATCAAATACCTAAAATTTATTTTATTAAAGATTGCAATAACTTAGGGTGGGCTATTTAACTTTTGGAATTTGAATCTGCTATAAAAAAAGAGTTAATTAGAAAAAAATCCGAATATTTTCATTTAAGAATGAAGCATAAAATGGCCAAATTTTCATTGTTTTATGCCCCAATGGAAACTTGTTTTCGTGTTAATCGTTACCTTAAGGGCTCCCCAAAAAAAATTCAAAAAACTTTCGCCAGTTAACCAGTAGCTGTAGTTCAAATTCCAATCGTTCAAAACCGTTTGCTTCACCATAATTAGTAAATTCTCTTCGAGGATCCAGCTTGCCCGCCGACTTGGTGGTGATCGGCGTGGGCGTCGAGCCGAATTCGGCGTTCCTGGAAAATTCCGGCATTCATTTGAAAAGCGACGGTACGATAATAACGAACTCCCGCTTGGAGACCAACGTGCCCAACGTATTCGCCGGCGGCGACGTCGCCTGCGCCCCCATTTGGTCTCACAACAACGAAAAAGCCTCCGTCGGCCATTTCGCTCTGGCCCATTACCACGGTCGCATAGCCGGCCTAAACATAGCCGGGAAAGAGACCGAGCTGCGCTCCATACCATTCTTTTGGACCAAAATGGCCGGATACTCTATACGGTAAGAGGTGCCTAGTTATTCCTACCCTCTTCAATCCAAGCTAGTGGTAGAAAGACCTCATCAAACCAGGTCCAGTAGGACCCCAAGTTTACAGATTTGGAGATGAGTATATCCAATTTTTTTGTAGTTATTGCGGGTTCGGAAACTTCGATCACATCGTGGACGCGGCGGGCAGTTACGAGGAGATGAAATTCCTGTTTATTTACCTGAAAAACGAGAAGGTGGTGGCGATGAGCTCGTGCAATATGGACCCGTACGTGTCCAAGTTCGCGGAGCTGGTGCAGCAGGGCAAGCATTTGACCAGAGCAGACGTCTGCCCGTGCGATGGCATCCTCAAATGGGCTTCGTGATTTATCGCAATACTGTATACTAATTCAAGATTATAAAAAAAATCTCATATTAATGTACTGTGCATTTTATATTGGGGAATTATGGAAACGAATAGAACAAGATGCTCGCTATAAGTAGTACGAAACAATTTTTTTCATTTATACTCAATAGGTACTTCTTTAAAAGCACTGGAACGCCGAAATTGGCCGTCCTTGTTGAGGTAATCCAGCCACATTTTGCACTGGTCTCGGCGCGCGTTTGTGGCCGTTGCTGATTCTTTGTATCGACAGGGAACAATGTGCAATCTCTCGTGAATTTTCGTGAGGCTGTGCAAAAATAAAATTGCCCGCGTTTTATTCTTTCGAATCAAATCCAAACTTACTCGTAGGGTTTGCCGGGAGGTATAGCAAAAGAAGGTATCGGCTTCATCACAGAACTCCTCTTCTTGGTAGATTGAAAATCTTCGTTCAACAGGGGATCGAGGAATTTCTTCGGAACGCCTAGTATACCCACCCCGACGAATAGTTCCTCCAACAGCTCTTCGGGTGCTGTGTATGCTATTTCTAAGAAGGTTATTCGATCGATTCGACTATAAAATACATTAAATTATTTTAGCACAACAAGAGAATATTTCTTACTCCTCAATGTCAGTTACTCCAATGGATAATAAGCGATAATCGTGATCGCCATTAGTTAACTCTTGTATGCACGGTGACCTATGCAGCAATTTGTCTTCTTCAGTGAAGGCTTTTCCTCTGAGGATTTTCTCTTCGTCGGGCAAAGCAACGTAAGAACCTCGTTTAAATTCGTCGTGCTCTGACGGGCTAAAGTGTATCGTTCTCGTAAGTTTGTCAAACTCTTTTTCTGAAAAACTAATAGTAAATTTTTTGAAAAATATATCACTACAACTCACCGATAAGCGTGAGGTTTTTTCGTTGCAAAGCCACCCAAATCACGCGTACGCTGACTTTAAACAGCAGCTCGAACCGCCTTCGATCCTTCTCCGAGAGGGACATGTTGTTTTCGCCTTTCATGTGATGGTATTTCCTGAATTCGCCTATTCCGGTCAACAGGCAAGCGTAATTTCTGGCCACAACGCATCGGAGATCGGCCAAATCGTCCCTGAGATTATCCTCCCAGATGTCCACGCTCGGCTGGCGCAATTTTCTCGCCGCCTCCGCTCTCCTATATTGCAATTTATTCCAAACCTGCATAAAAACGCTTGTTGGTACGCTAAAATTATATTAATTAGGTAGTAATTGTTGTTATCTTTTACCTGTAAATAGAATTGGAAGTAGACAATTAAGGATCGCAGGAAAATATCGACGTTTTTGGTATGGAATAATTTTATGAATTCGAGATTAAGGAGTTTCACGTCTGTGGAGTAGAGAACAACGTCCTTGCAATCTTGGAGAATTACTACGTTGGGATCGTCGGGTTTTACTTTTCGTTCGAAATATTTGGTGAATTTCGCCTAAAAATGTTGGTTTAAAATTCGAATTTAAGTGGGGTTTCAATGAGGGCGTTTGTAAATAGACCTACTACGGCCGCGGTGTGGAAGACTTCTTTAAATATACTATCTTTTTGGACGCGAGGAGGTGCTGATACTGAAGCTGGCACCGAAGTAAATAAAGGTTTTTCTTTTTCCGTGTAGCTGAATGTAAAGTAAAAATTCAAAAATTTGCTTTTGTAAAAGTTAATTGATGTATCTACCTGTAAAACACTAAACCTTTAATTCTGTCGTCCCAAATCCATTCTCCTGGTATCAGAGAAGGCATCCGATCTCGACTCTCTAAATCTTCCTCGTCTAGATCTTTTAGGCTTCTGTCCATAATTTCAAATAGTTCAAATAAAACAAAAATTGTAATTAAACGTTGTTGTAAAAACTTTTTGACATATTTTTAACTGACATGATACATGATGCAAAATGGACAGAATGGTGGATTTTTCCTCGACCTTCTCGCCTACAAGAAATCGCCTTTCAATCACCCTAATAAAAAACAACCCTTATATCGATTCAAAAGAAACTTTTTTATTGTGAATTACACCATTATTATGCTTTACAACCACCGTTTTATTCTTAATTTTTTTAATACGTCCTTATATATTTTTTTAAATCTGTCACTAATTAAACATTAATGGGAACCCATTTCTTAAAATAAACTAATTATAATCCGGCGTGAAGAAGATCACTTTTAGCAACCTTCGCACCAGCACTTCAAACTGGGACTGCAATGCCCGCTGACTCTTCCTTCTTCCTTGCAAATTCTACGGCAGGTTTCATTGTCCCACACAGCGCAAGGACCCCCGTATTTCCCTGACAAGCAATCGCCGAAGGCCAGCTCGGTCGTGATGGTCAAGAGAAGAAGAACGAAGAATATGAAGTAGCCCTTCATTTTTTACTGAAAATTGAAATATACCTAATAAAAAACATTTTATACACGTGAAATTTCGAGTATCGATAATATCCAGAATCAGAGGAGTGTTTTCAATAGAAGTGCTTAGATTTTAAAAGTATCGAACGTTTTGGAAATATTCTCTATTTTTTAAAGAACAGGTGTTCCTTAAGAGTGAATAACATTATTCAAAATTTTTGGAAAAATACAATTTTTATGTATCTACAAATATTTAATACTTACATTTTATTGTAATGAGAACTAATAACTTGGTATATAAGCTATTCGGGTAGTCGTGACTTGTAACAAAAAATCTGAAATGCATGGATTTTATACTTTTCCGAGTTATCGGAATTTCCCTTACCATTTCCTTATGCACCAATAACAAATATGGAGTACCTAAAGAAAAATTTGAAAGTATAATTTATTGTTAGATTATATTAAATGAATTGATGTCACTGAGTGGAAAATCCTGCTAATTGAGCAGATTCCATAAATTTATGCGTTTTTTGTTTACTTCAAAAAATATCTTTATAATACGATGCAAAAATGTAATAGTTCCAGATAAGCTTTATAATACCCTTTTTGAGTTCTGAAAATTCACACAAAAAAATAATTTATCTACCAATCATATTTTTTTTATTTTGCTCTACCTTAAATCTGATTTATTTGTGACATATATTGTCACATTGATTAGACATGTTGACATTCCTTCATTAATGCCATAAGTGTTGTGTACCTGAGGGAAGGGTTTATTAATAAAAGGCAAATTCTGTGGGTGAAGAAGGGAAGGGTACATGTTTTTGTACATGAATTTAAAGGGCTAAAAATAAATTAGCAGTATACAATGTCAGAAATTGTCGAAATTGCAGATAAAAGAGTTAACAACGTGTTACACGAGTTGAAAACGCTGCTCAAAGATGAAGAAAACGAAGAATACACGTACAAAATAAGCGAAAACTTTTACAGGTTTTACGTAAGTTCAATGAAAGCTGCATAAAGCGCCGATTATCTTTTGAATGCGCTTTAGATAAGCCTGCTTTTGTACGACCCGAATTGGAGCATCGCTGTTAATCTTCTACAAAGAACGAAAATTGAGGAGTTTATGAAATTTCTAGTAAGACAAGTCAAGCTCGAGCAAGAACTTTCAATGGTTGTACTCAAATTGCAATACCACACGAGGAAAACCTTCAATCGCATCCAAACATCCGAGGACAAGATTGAATCGCAACGTTTAATAAGGCTAAATTCTAAGTTGTATCCATTAAAAGTATCCATTCTAAGATCCAACCCAGGGGATAATCTCAAAGCGGTGTTTTACAGATGCGTTGTTTATTTTTCTCTACTGACCGGTATGGGAGATTTCAAATATGATAAGGTAAAATTTGCATACACTACAAGGAAAATTGTATAATATGCAATATGATATATTTCAGGAATATGCCGTAAACGCCCAAGTGTTGAAAAGCGTTATGAATTTAGACGAATTGAAAGAACTCCTGAAGCTCCCTTTTCAAGATAAAACAAAACGTTTCGAGCAAATCATCGAAGTTTGCACGGGTATTAGGATTTACAATAAAGATTGCGGATTGCTCTCCGACGGCCTCAATGATAGTACACAAACATTTCACCAGAAATTAAAAATTATTTTATCGAAATATTTTTAGTAATGAAAGATCTAACAATGATGTTACACGGATTGTTGTTACAAACGCAAAAGGATTCCGATATACTGCAAACGAAAATTACCAGAGTGACGGAATTTCTTCGCAAGTGCTTCACCCTTTACGAAATCGAAGGAAACGTCCTAATGTCTACAAATTTACACCCGAAATTGTCTCAAGATATGTTGCCAACGTACATGCACTTGCTATTGCTTTACAAGCAAAGCTTCAGAGACATGCAGTAAGTTTTGTTCATTTTCGATAATTGTTGCAAAATAACAATCGTTTGTAGGGTAATTGATGGTATTTTAAAAGAAATTCTGGACAAAGTTTTGGTATTAGAACAAAGAATGTTTAAAGAATTGGAGAGAATACGAGAAATAGTATCACCTGAAATGTTAATCAGCGCCGACCTAATATTTGTAAGTAGATATTTAGGTAATTTTACTGTCAATTTATTTTTTATAATTCACAGCCTTACTTCGAATATTTGTCATTTTTATGGAACAAACTAAAGGACAAGTACCTCCTGGTAGAATACGTGGTTGATCAAGCATTAACGATTGTTACCAAAGTAGAAGAATTTAACGGTTTCTACAGCACGCTTTTTTACAATTATGAAGATTTTCAATCTCTGCATAGTAAAGGGAGCGTCGTTAGTACGATGTACAGGAATTCCGATTGCACGATGATTGTATCTGATCCGGTAGAAAACGATGAATTAGAAGTAAGTTATTTTTTAGGTATTAGTTTCAATTTTATTGGACGATTTTGATTCAAGTTCCGCGGTTATTGCTGCGTTATGTTGACGTTCACTAAAGGGTTCTTAGTCCAAGGGGAGGAGCAATTCGGAATAGTCAAATACAAGGGAAGGTGTTACATATTTTCTTCGAAACTCGCCGTGACCGCTTTCTACTCGCAACCGGAATAGTAAGTCGGAAAATCGTAATATTTCTTGCTCAATTTTGTTTTCCAGTTTTACGAAAAGCGTGATACAATTGGCGCGTACCCATTGCGGATTAATACATTATCTCGATATAGAAAACGAGCTAGATAAATTGAAATATGAAATAGAGTAATTATTTATTTCGTCTGATTTTTTCGAAACATTTTTCGCCTTCCACGTTTCAGTATAGTCCCGGAATTACCGAGTAACGTACTGACCTCCGACGCGAGTTGTCAAGCTGATGGCGAAATGATGGAAAAATATATCAACAGTCAATATTCCTCGAGCCTTTGGTTTTACAAGCAGCAAGCCATACGAATGGTATATTCTTCGTTAGTTGTTGATTATTTTTCGCGAATATTCATCGAATATTTTCAGGCGAACCTGTCGCATTGCGAATCTAAATCGGTGAATACCAGCAAGAAAGCCAATATAGGGGTAATGTCTACTCAAATATACCGCCGGAAAGACAATTGTACTCAAACAAGGGCTGATCAAAGTACCAATACGAACAAATGTTTGTCTTTCATATACGGTCTCAGAGGCGTTAAAAATGACAGGCAAATTCAGTTGTTATCTAAATTGTAGTACTTATAAATAGAAATAAACTTTTGTGGTAATTCGATTTATTTCTCAGTTTTTATCGTTTCTTCAAAGCTAGTAGTTTTGATTAATAATTGTATAAATAAATATTGGCAAATAAGGTTAACTTTGAGAAGTAATTGTTAGAAACCTTTTATTAATTTTTTATGTCTCTACTGCATAGTTTATTAAAATATCTATGTAAAGTTATAAATGCAAATGCATTAACTAAACACTTTAAGGTCGAAAAACATTCATATTTGACGCATTCGACTTCTTCAAGGAATTCGCATTTAAATTCCCTACCTTTTCTATATTAACAAAAACATGTAATTAAATCGTTTAGTACCTATTATTAATATAAAGAATTGTAGTCGGTGAATTAAAAACCAAAAAACCCCACCAAAAAAATCCACTTTATTCGCAACGAAATTAATCTTCACAATCACAAGTATTCCTCTTCGACGAAGAAGCCCCCTTCAAGCAGTCCTCCTGCTTCCCCGATTTCTTCACCGACAGATCGGCGCACGGTTTGCACTCGCAATCGACGATATCGGGTTTCAATTTCCTCTGCTCCGGATCGACGCACCATTCGCACTCGCAGACTTTGCATTGGCAAATCGGCTTCGACTTCGACATGTCCTTGCACGGGTTGCACCTGCAATCGGGGCAAGTGCACGGGTCCAACACGGCCTGGCTCCGGGCCGGATCGCTGCACGGGTTGCACTGGCACTCCTTGCACGAGCAGTTGGTGGATCTGCCGGCCACCCTTTTCGATGGGTCCTTGCACGAGAGGCACACGCAAAGGCAACATTGGCACAACGGTTTCTCCTCCTATGCGGAAACGCGGCGATTATGGAGAAATCGATTCGAATGAAATTAACTAACCTTAACGATGTTCGTGATGGCCGGACAAGGATCGCACTCGCACCGCTTGCAAGTGCAGGGTTTGATCTTGGTGGGGTCGGAGCAAGGGTTGCAATCGCACGGTTGGCAAGTGCAGACCAGTTTCTTTTTGGTGGGGTCGCTGCACTTGAGGCAATTGCACTCCTGGCATTCGCACTTCAGTTTCTCCTTGGGTTTGGCGAGGCAAGGGGAGCAATCGCATTTTTTGGGTTTCTTTTTATCGCCACTTGTTAGACTTGATAGGGATAAGCGGTTAGTGGCAGCTGGGGCGCTCGTGGGCCGCTTCTCCAGGATGCTTGAGCGGGCCTGCTGCTGAGGCTGAGGCTTTCTCATGTTGGGGTCCTTGCACGGGTCGCATTTGCATGGAATGGGACAGTCGCAGGGTTTCGGGTCGTTTCCGCCGCTCCCGCCACCGCTGGTGCCGCTTCCTTGCATTTTAAAATTCAAAATATTGTTGAAATAAAAAAATTAAGGCAAGAACTAGCTGTGTGTAATCAAGGAGATTTTCTAGAAGCGAAATAGAAAAGTGAAAATCTCTTACTTACCTTTTCCTGGCATGCTTGAGCAAGTTTTGCACTTGCATATTTGGCATTTACAACCCGGCGAACCCATGGCGCATTTGCATGGGCTGCATTTACAAGAAGGAGGACATCCTCCGGGTTTTTCTTTGTTATCATCTTCCCCGCTTTCGGTCACTTTTTCGGGTTTTTTATCGTTTACTTCGAACACTAATTTACCGGTGTAGCCAGACGGGTGTGGTTTTTTCATTATCTTTGAGTTCTTATCATCATATATTACAGTTTTTTCATCATAACTCACGGCTTTTTTGGCCGATGTTTTCTCCTTTTCCTCCAAGTCCAATTCAGGTTGTTTTTCATGGTTATCATCACACATAATTTGTTTGATTTGGCTTTGTGTTTTTTAATTTCGTTACTCAGGATTATTTTGGGGGATTTTTGGATTTTTAGCGCATGTTTCTTGGTGGTGATTAAATGATTTTGGTGATTTTGAAATTGATAATTTATTATAAATGAATGAAATGAAATGGAATAAAATGTTTATGCGTCAAATTTTTTTTGGTAAAATATATTGTCAAAAATCTTCTTTTTAAATTATTGATTTTTTGAGTATGTTGTTTAAACATTTTGGGTTGTTCGTTCAAAATTTAATACTGCAATATTTCATACTTTAATACTTTAATACAGAAGATCTTATTATTTACGATCTCTAGGTAATTACGTTTAATCAGAGAATTGGGAATCAAGGACAACGAAAACCGCCAGTGACCTTAACATCAAATAAAAAATAAATAAATTATTAAATTGATAACGTTCTACGAATTCTTACGCTAAAATTATTTACAAACAGACTTCAGTCTTTTAGAAGTGTGCATATGCATTTGTATAGCTCGTCACAACCATTATTACAATTATTGTTTTATTTATAATCATCCAAAATGTTGATTGTGTTGATTGTGACCGCAATTGGTACATTTATTTGGTTCCTGCACTATAGAATGAACTTTTGGAGACGATCGGGCGTTCCTCAGCCCTCGTTTCGGTTCAACTTCATGGAAATTATCCACTTATTTGCACAAAAAAGGAGCACCGCCGAAACGATAGAATTGATGTACAGCATGTTTCCCGGCAAAAGGTAAATATTAAACGTATCACATTCAGAATAATCTTTACGTGTTTTTACTTGCTAAGATACTGCGGTCTGTACTCGTTCAGCTACCCTATGTTAATGATCCGAGATCCGGATTTACTGAAGGAACTCACGGTGAAAAGTTTCGACCACTTCACCGACCACCCCAGCTTCATATCGGAGGAGGCCGAGCCCTTGTGGGGTAAAAATCTCTTCTCCTTGAAGGGTAAACAAATTAAACATTCGAATAACACATTTATCGAAGAACCGATTTATTAACAGGTAAAAGATGGCGCGACATGCGCCCCATATTGAGCCCCTCGTTCACCAGCAGCAAAATGCGCGGCATCTTCGTGCTGATATCCGAATGCGCCAAAAACTTCACCGATTACTACCGGAAATTCGACGGGAGAATCGTGGACGTGGAGCTGAAGGACAGCTTCACGCGCTTCACCAACGACGTCATCGCCGCCGCCGCCTTCGGCGTGAAATCGGATTCGCTAGCCCACAAAGACAACCAATTTTACCTCATGGGCAAGGAATTGACGATGTTCAGCGCCAGCATCTCGGCCACTTTGAAGATGGTATTGTTCTTCGTCAGCCCCAAGCTATTCAACGTGAGTGTTAAATTAGTCCATCGAGCTGGAATTATACCAACTATGTTGCAGTTATTGAAGTTGAGGCTGTTCAAAAAGGAGGTGATGGATTTCTTTATACGCACCATAGAGGACACCGTGGAGATGCGAAAAAAGGAGGGTATAGTTAGACCGGATATGATCCATCTGATGATAGAGGCTCAAAAGGGATCGTCAGGAGGTAATAAAGAAGCGGAAGTGGAAGATAGGAGCTTCTCCGCTCAAACAGAGGCCGATTTAGGTGAGAGTTTAAATATTGTACTACTTAAAACGCCTATATAATCGCTCTTAGGAGGAGCACCGGATGTTCAAAGGGGATTAACAAATGTAGACATCGCCGCTCAAGCTCTGATATTCTTCTTCGGCGGCTTTGAGTCTGTATCCTCATTGATGTGCTTCATGGGACACGAGTTGGCCGTCAATCAAGATATCCAGGAGAGATTGAGAGAAGAAATACTCGAAACTTTAGAGGCTAACGATGGAGAATTAACCTACGATGCTCTTGTTAAAATGAACTACATGGATATGGTAGTATCCGGTAAGATAGATAAGAAAAATATATTAAGCGAGGTATTGTTTGATTACTAAATTTGCAGAGGCGTTGAGAAAATGGCCCACGGTTACTGTAACCGACCGGGAATGCTCCAAACCGTACACCATCGAGCCGAAATTACCCGGCGAGAAGCCCGTTCACGTCAACTTGAAGGACACCTTGTGGATACCGGTCTTCGGTATACATCGCGATCCCCTCGTTTATCCCGATCCCGAAAAGTTCGATCCGGAGCGGTTCAACAGCGACAACAAGGGCGACATCAATCCGTACAATTACATCCCGTTCGGAGCTGGTCCCAGGAACTGCATCGCCTCCAGGTTCGCTCTGCTGGAAATCAAAACCGTATTCTTCTATATTCTGCTCGATTTCAAGTTGGTGCCCACCGCTAAATCGCGGATACCGGTGAAATTGTCGCCCAATACCTTCAATCTGACCGCCGAGGGAGGGTTTTGGTTTGGTTTAGAGAAGATTAATTAGATGTCTACAAGAGTAAGGTGAAAAACAATGAAATGCCGCGATTTTCAGTTCATATATTGCATTGTACTCCATGTTTAAGTCGAAATCATTAGTTCTAGATGATTCAGGCCGAGAATTTTTCACCCTACCCTTGTACGAGTTGAAAAGGATGGTTATTATTAAAGTAACAGTGGTTAGAGTGTGAAAGTTGCAGTTTATACATAAAATATATATTTTTAGATTAGTCCAGTTTGGGCTATAGCAGACCATAGCCTTTTCTTGACGCACGAAACACTAACATTTTTTTAAATATTTTTATTAAAAACCACAAACAATACGCCTCCTATCTACTATACAAAAAAATTTAAACACAAAATTACACAAAAATATTATTACACGCCCAACTAGCTGATTAAAGTAATATTATTATATACAGATATAGAATAAAAAGATACCACAAAAATTTCGTCGACTAACAACTAAAATTTTCTAAAAATAAATTTCATCATATTGCGTTTAGCACCAGTCATTCCAATAAAAAATATCATACGTAATTCAATTGAAATTCCAAGTTATTGTCTAATCTAAAGGTGTTATCCTAGGCCCCCTTTGCTGTATCGCCGGGAAATTATTATAGGGCAGAGGTTTGTTTATATACTTGCTATAAGAGGGATCTATTATGTAATTATTACAAACGGGCGCTGGTTTACGGTTATCTGTAAACAAGGCGTATATCAATTTAAACAAACCGAAAATTGTGCTACCCACTAAATTGATCACATTTATAACAATCGGAGTAAAAGCTCTCGTCAAATTCGAGAGCTCCCTGATGAATTTCAAAAACCATTCTAATAAATAATTTAGAACGTTAAATACACCCGCCAATAGAGCTGCAATTAAAATAGCGAAGAACTTTACAGTTTCCATAAAGTTCCTCAAAGTTAGCATTTCGCTTAAAAAATAATGGATGTTCCTCTTGAATTGCGTTTTCTTCTCCTCGATAATTGCGCTAAAATCCATATTCTCGCTGGCATCTCTCAATGGAGTGGTTTCCCTTTGGTATGGACGAACTATGTCTAATCTGAGGCGAATTTCTCGATCCAAAAACTCCACTGTCTTCACTCGATACCAATATTTACCGAAAACTTCTTTCGGAAGCACAACCCACAAATTGTAACCCACGGGAGCCCCTAAAAAAACAAGAAAATTCTCCACTACTTTACTATAAATAGAACTTTAAATTTACTCACCTATTGTACTCGGCTCTGTGATTCCCACCCAAGCTTTGGTAATAACCTCTCTTTCTATTTTAGTCTTAATCGATTTAATATTCTTGATGAAATCCTCCTCTTCCGGGCAAATGGTGACCACATCCCTGTAAGATCCTAACTCTTCAACTAATCGTTTTTCTTGGAAAACGCCGGTGAATAAAGTATTTTTTACCATTTGCTTCACAAACGTCTTGGTGTATTCAATACCAGTACAAACGTTATTGGTATTACTCGTATTCGCCGCGATTGTCATTGCTTTTAATTGTTGTGATACTGTTGAGAAAAATTTATTATTTTTAATATTAATAGGTCACTTCAATAACCATTGTAACGTAAGAATACTTACTGTAATTAATCGGTCAAAGTAACAACTGTTACCTTCAAATTGATCCTTTCTTTATGTATTTTGATTCTCGGTACTTTTTATTTTTTAATCTGACAGTTGACAGAAATTTTTTGACATTCTTCTTTTCTTTTAAAAAATTAGCTTTACTTCCTTTTATTTTTTGGTTTTTCTTTAATGAAACGAAGAGATTTTCAATAGTTTCTCAATAAATTAAATTGTATTGTAAATAATAAATATTAGGTTATCATATATTACTAATTTACGCAACATTTGCAACTCTTGTTATTTGCTTGACTTACATAATGAAAGACCACAAATGAACACATCATGACATAAGTCAACCAAACCACAATAATAACATAACCTCAACATCACAACTTATATTCCGGGTTCGAGTACATGTATTTATTTCAAATTTTTAACAATTCCAGTAGTTATTCGACATTATTGATAGTCGTAACTGCCATAGTCGGAGACTATGTAGTAGCATACAGTAAATTGCACGTCTTCCAAGCGCTGTTCGACAATGCAACTCATTTCACGATCGGCGGATTGTGTTGGTTTATTGTTTGTTTGCATTCTAATTCCAGAGGAGTCGGTTCTACGAGAAAAATTGTAGAGATTGCATGTTGTAGTTTATTGTCCTCTTTGATTGACGTTGATCACTTCGTGGAAGCCAAATCGATAAGCTTGAAGGTAATTATTCTATTATAACTTATAATTGAGTACATAGTTCGTTTGTATCGTAGAATGCAACGAACCTTAAACGTAGACCGTTTCTACACTGTTCCACGATTCCAATTTTATTATGTTCCATCTTGTTACTTATTTCATATGCTTCGGATAATGGTACGATGAAAAGGGTTAGTTTAATTATCTGGACAGCTTTTGCCAGTCATCATACAAGAGATGCTACTAGGAGGGGTTACTGGTTTTATCCTTTTGGTTCCAGTCCAGCCATTCCTTACGCATTTTATATTGCATTGACCTGCATTTTACCTTATTCTGTCGTCTTTCTTGATAGGTATATTAGCATATCTAGTCATTATGATGCTTTAGATACTATTATAATATAGTTATAGTATTTTATTGTAAGTTAAATTTGTTAATAAAACACAAAGTTATATTTTTATATTACTGTTTGTTTATTTGGTAAAAGACCACACACCTTGTATAAGAAGATTGACATTGGGGTATCACAAAAATGTAGTTGTTTGAGACACAAATTACAATTGACAGGATTATCCCACAAGTCAATCAAATATGATGAATAAACTGTTGGGTAGACCTCAAGATCTCACCAAAATGTCGCCCGATGACGTGAAATTGATCATCAACAAATTCGACACGATCATAACCGATTGCGATGGAGTCCTCTGGATAGAAAACAAACCCATCACGGGATCGATAGAGGCCTACGAGCGTCTGGTATCCATAGGCAAAAAAGTGATACTAATCAGCAACACTTCGATACTATCCAGAAAAGAACTGAGGAAAAAGGCCAGCGACATGGGATTCCCCGAAGTACCGCTGGACAACATCATCACCACCTCGTATTTGGTGGCGGATTATTTGCATTTGAAAAATTTCAGGTACTTTGGAACCGGGAATTCAAGAGTAATAATTTGAAATCAGTCTCTGGAAATGTTTCCAGTAAAAAAGCCTACGTAATAGGCTCCCAAGGCATCGCCGACGAAATGGCGGCCAAAGGGATCCGCCACGCGGGCGTCGGTCCCGACGCGCTGCAATTCAACCTGGTGCAAGCCATCGAGAGATTCGCGCCCGACGCCCAAGTGGGCGCCGTCGTGGTCGGCTTCGACGAGCATTTCTGCTACAACAAGCTCCTCAAGGCGGCTTCCTACCTCAGCGAGCCGTCTTGCCTCTTCCTGGGTAGGTAAACGCTTCCTCCAAAGAGACACGTTCTAACGATGTCCTCGATCAGGAACGAACAAGGAGGAACGGTTCAAGATCCACGCGTCGCTGGTTATTCCGGGCACCGGATCCATTCTGGCGGCGCTGGAATCGACGGTTCAACGGCAGGCGACGATCGTGGGCAAGCCGTACCCGTTCCTGCGCGAGGCGTTGAAGAGCAAGCACCGCATCGTGCCCGAGCGGACGTTGGTAATCGGCGATCGGACCAATACCGATGTGAAATTGAGCAAGGAGTGCAAATTTGAGAGTTTGCTGGTGAAGTCGGGCGCTCCCAATTACCTGTCGTTGAACCAGCAGCCCGAAAACGGGGACCACGTGCCGGATTTCCACATTGATAAGTTGGGCGATTTGGTTGATTGTTTAGATTAATTTAGGAACTAGCACTATTACTATAATTCCGTGGATTGGTGCCATAATTTGATGTGGAATTTTTGTCAAAATCGAGTTATCAGTACCACCAGGTTCCTCTCGTTGAGATGGCAGAACATAAAAGTAGAAGATAAAGCTATCGAAGAAACTACTTACTGAAGATATTTAAACCAATTTGGGACAGTAATCCAATCTTAAAATAGCTCCCTTGAAATTTAGTAAACTCGACATCAATTTCAGGCATCTACCCACAGAATTATACCAACAAGCAGGCATAAAATGGTTGATTAATTTAACATTATTCTTTAATAAACTTTAACTCTACATTTTCTTTATTTTTAACAACGAATTTGAAATATCTTCGGATCAATAATCCATTTTTGTTGTGGTTCAGCTATATTGATTATAAAGTTTATGCAAGAAATCTACCCTTTCTTTTTCAACGTTTTTAGTAACTTCCAAAGTATTTCCGATTTCGAATACATTCTCCAAACTCTCGTCTAACGGAGGCCATTTGGCATCGCCAAGAATTTCAACCGATTCCTGCGTGGGATCGCCGTATTTGGCGAAATTCGTCCACAATTTAACGAACCTCCTTATGTGCAACTCCTCTTCGCTACCTTTCTCTGCACCAGGCGATAGCATGCCTTTGAACAGGTAGAACATTTCATCGCCGTGCGTAACTCCATCTACCTTCTTATTTATTAGCTTCATCTTCAGATAAGATACGAGTTTATTGAACATTGAAAAGTTCAAGAAGTACGCAGAGCCCGTCAAGATCAATAGTAAGTTGTGGTAAGTAGATTGACACCAATTCGTTAGCAGATTCAATGAACTATTTATATTTACTCTGTATAGGTAGACTGGTGATTTTTGGTGGGATCTGATGAGGCTAGCAGTCTTCTGAATGCCCTCTACGAATACCGTATCACCAAATAACTAAAAAAGAAGTAGAGTACGTTAAATGTTAGGTCAGTAATTGAACAATAGAAATTCTACTTACTACATAATAATTATCAATATGTTCTTCGGTAATGTCTTTATCTTTATAATAGAAGTTCTTCAATTCCTTAGCAAAATCTGTAGCTTCTTGGCTTCCTTTTTGGACATTTAAGCTGAATGGAATGTCCCTTTCTAAATTTGTAGGTAAACTTACGTCACTGCGAGTCTTTCTGAGCATTTCGAACATTAAACCTTCCTTTGACGTGTAACCGAGGATAATTGGTATGTGGTTGAAGTTGCCAGTTTTCATTAGGACTTCGGGTGGTTCTGTGATCAAAGCTCCTTCGTGGGGATATTCCACTACGGGTCCGAATGGACGAATTACACTCGCGTAGAACGGCTTAAAGTACATTAAAAAATATATACGGTGTTTTTAATTATTTAAGGATTTGCTTACGTCTTCCATTTCAGTTTGGGCGTGAATGATCGATTTAACGCTGGCCTGTTGGAGCTTTTCCAGCAAAGATTTTTCGTCTATGTTCTCATCGTAACCCATTAACTTGGCTATTTCTTTGGCGTTTCGTTTTCCATTCGCCCAGTAATTCAAAGCGCAGCCGCTTTGCATTATCGCTTTGTGGAAGAGGCCTGGATTGCATCAAAAAAAGCAAAGATTAATTTGTATTCGGTTGGCTGATGTATCTATAGTTATACCTTTACAAAGTGGTGATAAAACTAAATAATGCACCGAAGCGCTGCCGGAGCTTTGTCCAACAATCGTCACATTATTCGCATCCCCGCCGAAATTGTGTATGTTGCTTTGAACCCATTTAAGAGCCAAAATTTGGTCCTTTAAACCAGCGTTACCGGGAACTTCTAAGGAGGGATCGTCCAAGCTGAGGAAACCTACAAAAAATTGCAATTTTTAAAAATATCACGCGAAAGAATTAAGTTGTATGGAGTAAAAAAATCGTACCTAAAACTCCTAATCTGAAGTTCAACACCACTAGTACTACATCTTGTGTCATTAAATATTCAGGTCCGTATATGTAGCTTCTATTACTTCCATAATAGAAACTTCCACCGTGGATGTAAACGATTACAGGTCTTTTAATGTCTTCATTCTCGCGAGGTAGCTGAAAAATAACGAACGATTAAGTATTTTTGATACTGTATGGTTTATTTTTGTATCACCTTTTGTGTGTAAATGTTCAAGTGCAGGCAATTATCCTCTCGGCCAGTTTGGAATTTATACGGAATGAAGACGGAAGGAGATTCGCAACCTTCTTTAGTACCGTCCCAGATTTCTTGCCAAGGTTCCGCCGGTTGTGGCGCCTGAAATTTGAATAAAATTACCAAAACGAAATTCCTCTTGCGTACAATCACCGCTTGAATTAGAGAAAGTTATCTCTACTTAATTAAAAAATGCTGACAATTTTTAAATTTTTTTGAAACTATATAAGTATTTTAAAATATTTTTGAGAAATATTATCTGGGATTGGGATACTTACATAAATATTCAACAGACAATCTAATTATTTCATTTATTATGTAGGGTCGTAAGAAAGCGCCTTACTAAAAATAATCCACTGGATGATACTCACACTGAGATTTTGGATGATAATAATGCAAGAAATTTGTAAGTATTTTTAAATAAATTAAATCAATATGATTCTGTTTTCATAATACGTAAATAGTTCATATTTTTAAAAAACAAACGTTTTTAGAAGTCCTGAAAGTCCCGTAGCCAGTACAAGTACTCTTCAAATTAATAAAAAAACTTGAGACGTTGGAAACAGCATTAATTTACCCACAGAATTAACTTTAAATGAAGATGATATTGACCAGAAAGAGAAAAAGTTAGTACCTATTTATTTTTGTATACCAGTAATATGTTATGTAATATTATTAAAATAACTACAAATCTATAGGTAGATATTACAATTTGTTATGTTCTTTATTTAGATATGAAACAACAAAATTTATGGTCGAAGGTCGAAGAATTGTAGATGCTCAATTAAAATGTTCGCGAGAAAAATAAAACCGAGTCCGTCCACAGTTATCATTTTAGAAGAGTATGCAAGAGAGACAACGTAACGTCTGATATTTTTAAACCATATTTAAAAGCGCTTTCGTATTTCCCATTTTCTATCGAAACTAATTGATATTTTTAAAATCGGTTTTTTTCTTTAATTAATTTAATTCATGAACTAGAGAGGAAAGTTATTTAGATCAACGAAAAGAAGCCCTAAATTGCCAATTTTTTTGAATTAAAATATGTCGTCTAATTTACTATTTTCAGTCGCTCCCCAAATTGACTGGGAATTTATTTATTTTTTGACAGATACTTTTCTGCTTAGATTTCGACCTATTCTTTAAGAGGGTTTTTGAATTTTTCAAAAATATTCAGTAGTTTTCCCAGGATTTGGGAAATGCTTTTACATTGAAAGTCCTATACCCAAAAAAATTGGAGGTACGCTCTTAAATAATATTTACCTTAAATCGAAGCTCGCCTACAGGAGCTTTGGCGTACGGGATTCCGTAAAAAGCACAGTAATTTTCCCCGTCGAAATTCTTTTGGGTTTTACCTCGAATTCGACCGTTTGAAGTAGAAACCACTATGTCTTCAACCATGTTCACGATTTCACTGCTCAGCCGGTGATGGTTAAATTATCGACTAAAATTTTGTATCACGCACGTTATGGGAGGATAAATTAGTGGTTATTGGAGAATGTTCCTTCACAAACGCTCAGTTAATTGATGTGTAATAAATTGCTTTATGCTGTAAACCGGTAAGATACGGTAATTTAAAAGTCATCGTTCTTTTCTTTATTAGAATATCAATTATGAAATATTTTATATACATATATTTACATGTAACGTTTTGATAACCACGAAATTCTATGGTTCATAGATAATATGTGAAAAATTAAAGGACAAAGGTTGAGGCGTGTTATCAATATAATTAATTTGGTTGTAACGGTGCATTTGCTTATCAGGATTACGCTTTATTTGAGATAAATTATGTATTAAATAAATATGTTAAATAAATTTAATGAAAATGGAATACCTATACTGTATAGGTGGGCATTATAATGGGTTTATGAAAACACTTTTCTTCTGTTAAAGTATCATTCTTTTTATTAAACTGTGAATTCTAAAATTTCTATCGTTTGTCTCCCTACCAATAACTATCAAATGGCGGAAGAATGTATTTTTCCAATTCCTGCTTTATTTCTTTATATTTTTTAGGATGCTGGAGCATTTCGAACGTAGAATTGATATTCATGTACCTGAGGGTGTTTGGTTCTGATGGTAACCAGGTGAAGTTCTGCAGAAGAGGATCTTTTTCGGGTGTAGGGTTGCTATAAAAATCAATATTATTCAGAATTACTCGAATTAATGTATCTATCTTACGAATATTTTATGAAATTGGTCCACATCTTTGTATATCTGTGTAACATTAATTGGTCTTCTAGTGGAAATTTGGAGAGGTCTTCATTGGTTGTATCATCCCAGAAGTAGTGTAAATCTTCTGCGTGAGCAACTCTTTCAGCTCCTACATTAAATTCAATTTTATTAAATGCCAATTTAAATATTTTGTTCTTACAATACCTGGTGGTGGTATCAAATCGATTGATCCTCCTAATTTTCCTTTATACGCGAATTGATACAAATAATATGGCGTATCCTCGCAACTCAATTCGACTTGTTTACATGTCCCCATAATAAACAGCTCATCAGTTGAGTACTGAAATAGTGTAGAAAATGAAGAGTTGTGTAGAAACGTTTTTTTATCGCATTTACCCTTATATAACCTCCATAATAATTTTCGAAGGATTGATTATTAGTGTAAATTTCCTTAATAAATTCTCCAAGTTTAGGTTTCATATCGTTGTGTATATTAACTCTACTTGGTATGAGTAAAGTAGGGTCATTATCGATACTCTTCATTAGAGTTTTGTTTTCATACTCAGCTAAAATGTCGAGAAATAAATTGTAAAGAATGATTGTTAATAGTTGTGTAAAGTTTATTACCTAAAAAGAGCCATTCTTCTGAATTAAATCCAATCAATACTGGAATTTTCTTGTATTTCTTATCTATAAATGCTTGGTAACCGAGATGAGAGAATAAGCCTTCTTTCTCGACAGAAACTGCTCCAGTAATGCTTGTCTGAAATATTAAATTCATACCCGTAAATGATATTAGTCTTTAATATTCTCCTAAATGCTTTAAATTTGATTCAACTCACGGCTAAAATATCTTCAGCTTTAGCGTTTTGGAGCAATTGCAGCAATTCAGTCGTGTTATCTGATGTAAATCCTTTATTAATTTTACGCCCCAGCTTGAAGGCATTTTCAGTGGAATCGCTTTGCTTTAAGAGTGCCGAAGCGGGCGTACCGCTTTGCATTATTGCAGCTCGAAACAGATCTGTAAATTTAAAACACCCATTCTTCAAATAATTTTCGAAGATACATTTTAATCAACCATACCTTCTTCTGGTTTCTGGCTTATCATGTGGTACCCCACAGCTACCGATCCAGCGCTTTCCCCGACCAAAGTCACTTGCTTGGGGTCACCACCGAACAAATGTACATTTTTACTGACCCATTCAATCGCGAATCTTTGGTCTTTTAATCCGAGATTAAGCGGAATGACTCCATCGTCGGTTCCAATGAAACCTGCGTCAGACAATACAGGTAAAAAATATTCGCCATTAACAGCGGGAAATTCTTACCGAAAGGACCCAAACGGTAATTAAATGTAACCACTACTACCCCGTGATCCATGATGTATTTCGGGCCGCTGTATTCGAAAGTGGAAGATTCTGCTGTGAAACCACCGCCGTGGACCCACAATAGTACCGGTAGGAGTTTTTTGCCGGAAATCTGCGCAGGAAATATTTAACAATTTCTTAAGAATTTTATTTTTTAAGTAGAAACATTCTTACGTCGGGTGAATAAATATTCATGTACAAGCAGTCTTCGCTTATTTCGAGATCTTTATGTCTTGAAGTTACTTGATAACAAATTTTGGTATTTTTTTTGGTAGGTAGTATCCCTTCCCATGGCTCTGGTTCTTTAATGAGCTGTAATGAAATAGGCAGTAGGTTTAATAGAAAATATTCTATATCTAACGAGGCGATATTAAAGAAAATCTTTCTGTTCAAACCTGATATCGATTGGCTCCTACGGGAGGAGCAGCGTAAGGAATCTCCTGAAAAGCGTAATAGTTATTTCCGCTTTCGCTCTTCCGAATAATCCCTTGAATTTTACCCTTTTCTAGTTGAATAATCGGACCATCATCGTCTAGGCAAAAAATTACGTTAAAGTGGAAAAGTAGAACGAACAGAACACTATAACGACTCATTTTGAAATCGTGCGGTTTGCACATAAATAATTTTATATATATACCTATATATTTCTTTAAGTGCTATATAATTATTCGAATAAAACGTTATCGATATGATTATCTAAAATTAAAAATAAAGTGAATATATTATAATCACTTTATATTAGGACGATTCCCCTTATGGGATCAACAATGAAACTATGAAAAGTTCCTATTGGATGATAGGCTCAGTAAATTATGTTTCCTTGAACCTTTATTATGAGCCTTTTTACAGCATATTTTGGTACCATATTTTTAATTGGTCCCAAGCATTTAATAAATTCAGAAATTAAAGAAACTCACTCTACCTAAAAAAATTAAGTAAGTAGAGGATTGCAGTTTGAAGTACCTAATATGTTTAAATTGATAAGATAAACTTCTAAAAAAATTCTAAATATGTTAGAATGTTATTGCATATTTGAATAACCGCACCATTCAATTTTAGAGTGCATATTATATTATTTACTAGATACGATTGATTAATAGAAATCAATTTATTTATCAAAATAAACACTCAAGTTAAAACAAAATAGCAAAAAAGTATGAAATTTATTGAATTTTTAATTTTCCACATTCGCCCTGCATAAAAGTAGAGAGAAAATTTTGTGTATTAAAGTAGAGGAAAAATTTTTTGCATGAAAATAGAGAGAAATTTTTTTGCTGGCAACGTGAGAGCTTGGCGAGTACTAATATGTAAAAAAGGTTTAATTTGCTAACGATGAGACAATTTTTACCCTTATAATTTTTACCCATACACTTCTCATGAGTGCAGAGAAAGTAAGGTATGTGTGTCTGCAATTCTAAAGAGTTTAGATAAAATGTTATTTCAGTCGTATAAAAGAGTAATAGTTGAATTGAAATATTTATAAAGGATCTATTTGTTCTGATTTAGGAAGTAAATTTCGCAGATAAATGAACATTTTAGTGACTGATTACTCCAAATAGTATAGAATAGAAATAAGAAGAATACTATCAAAGTCAAACCTGTCAAGTCAAAATATAAAGTTTGGTTATGTTTATGATCCAAAAATGTAAACAAATAGTTTGTGAGTTGTGAGTGCACACATAAAGTGAAAGAATAGTAGAGGAATCAAAATAAATATTCTGTCATAGTTTTAGCTACAAATAATATTGAACCAATATCGTCTAGAGTTCATCATTCTACATGTACTTCCTTATCGTTCGAATTATGTAGAATACTTTACAATTTTGTGTAAAGACTCTCGAAAGAATTGTTTAAATGTACTTAAAGAATCGTACTTCAGAATACCCAATTAAACAATGAAGTAAATATTATAAATAACATATTACTTAATGAAATCTAGTTTTCTTATTTGTACTTATGTTTCAGGATTAGCAAACGCTCTATTGCAAAGTAGGCTGCGAATTGTCATTAGTCAATTCAATGAACTCATGAAAAATAAAGATGGCAGACCGAATGGACTCTCCTACGCCCCCCAAATCCAAATCAAAACGATTTTTTCGAAACTTCGAGTTGGTCTCGACATTCCCTCGAAAAATCCCGGCCTTCTTCGATGGCTTTACAGTGCGCGTTGACGACAAAATGGCCGTTTACCGTGCTGGATGCTTCGGTAAAGGCTCTCTTTCGCGAAGCTTGCCAACCTCCTTCGACGCCATTTTGCGAAAAAGGCAGTTCGAGGCTCGCCGGAAATGGCGTAGAATCAAAAAGCCAGACGAAAAAACCAAAGAAAGCCGATGTATTAGGAAGATTGTCGTTATATCCGATTCCGACGATGATAACGACTTGTCAAACGTCAATGACATGTCAAATGTAAATGACGATGTCTCGATTTCGATTTTATCGCCAGAATACCATTTGGACGAGTCAGGATCGCGGGAGGCGCTCTGTCTCGGTTTGGAAGAGGCGTTTTTCCTCAAACACCACTTGGACGTCATCGATGTGACAGCTGTCAACGGCGATGACGTTTCCGAATGCGATCGGTTATGGTCGGCTTTTTCCGCCACTGATTCGCGATTCGTGGGAAATTACGTGAGTTACGTTCATTTCCGCTCGAAGAATTGGATCGTGAAACCGGGCATCAAATTCGGAGGGGATTTCCGTAAGTATATCGAAATTTTAGATAGACATGTCAATATATGTCAAATTGTCATCTGTCTATTTCAGTGTTGTACAAAGAAGGCCCTGCGCATTTCCACGCCTCCTATGTGGTGATAGTGGAGACTTTGGACGAGTCGCTGGGGCGAGTTGAAACGGGTCGATCGATGGACAACCTCTCTTTGGCCTGTTTGAACAGGTCTTGCGAATCTACAGGTAAGGAACTCTTGATATGCCAAGTAACTTTACCTAAATCAGTGGATTACAAGGACTTGAGTAACGTTGTGGTAAAGGAGATAGTCGTGAAGAGGTGTGAACATGTTTGATATGTTTGTACTGGTTTCTACATGTAGATTCAATTTGTAAATAGGTAATTTGTTTTTATAAAAACATGTTTTAAATAAAAATCAAATTTACGATTGTAAATTTGCTCTATTATAGATTTTATTGTATTCGTAAAATAACTTACTTTATAACTAATTACACCAGAAATTCAGTGGAATAAATTCTTTACACCAGACGATAATTTCGAGACACCGTTTTTAATCTTTTTTGAGACTTCATCGGCTTCGTTTTTCACTCCCCTACCGACCGATTCCACTGCGTCAATGAAGCCCCTAGGTTGCCCCAGGTGGTTGATGTTGAAAGGGAAATTCCTGTTGGTATTGAAATAGAATTCACCCGTTTTAGTGGTCGTTAAATCGCCCAAAGCCACCGTATTGTTCAAATCGCACGTTTTCCTCAGCACGTTCCACTCGGAGCATTCCACGGCCACCAAGTAGTCCTTCGGGTGGGGCACTGCCTCGATGAAGTAGTGGTAGGATCGCCTGTGATCGCATAAAACTGAAAAAAGTACCTTCGTTAATCGAGAACAGCCAATTTTCCGTGAATCTTACCGGGTTCTTTAACACCCGGTAAACTCGAAATGTCCACCCTGTAGCATCCGGGCTGCATGTTGCCTCCGTTGGGGTAGAAGTCTATCGTGCCGCAGCTGTCCTTGAAGCCGAAGGTGCCGGCGTCGGAGTGAATCACCTCGACGACGTCGGCGTCGCTGGGGTTCAGACGCTTGTCCGCCGGGCGGATGTCGAACAGGGGCCCGGCGGGATCCAAGGCGACGATCCGGGGCAGCTTCCTGCCGCTCTTTTGCAGGCGCTTCCCGACGAATCCCATCGTTTGCCCGCCCAGCGAGTGGCCTATCAGAAGCAGTTGGGATGGTTTGATATCGTGCTCGTCGAGCAGTTTCTCGATCGTCTCCGCCAGGAAGTTTCCTGAAAATACGCGTTAACCACTACTAAAAACATCTTCTAATTTCTTACCGATGTCATAAACATTTATCGACGATATGTAATAGAGCTTCCCTGCGGGTTCTCTCCAATCAACGAGGATAACAACATCGTCGGGGTATTTGGTCAGGAAGGCTTCTTTTAGATTCAACATCCAGTCGGAATCCGAGCTGTCTGTCCAGCCGTGCGTGATGAACACCAGCCGGCCTTTGGTGTTGCGCAAAAGGTGCAAATCGGTGTCGTTTAGGACGAGTTTGGTTGGTTCCGGGCGGTTCCGGAACATGCGCAGCTTCATCTGGTCCTTGGTGACATTGTTGCCGGTGATCTCTTTGGTTTTAATGGCGACGCCTCGGTATATGTCGAAGATGTCCTCGCGGATTTCTTGTTCGACGTCTCGTAATACGTTGCAGGAAATATCTGGTAAATAGATTGAAGCATATTCGAATTCTAGAAGTATAAAATTGTTATTTACTTACTTGTGGTTAAAGATGTTATAAGAAGAATAGTTGGTGTTAAAATTCGATACATCTTTAGATTCTTGCGACTGATTTTATTGTGTTTATTGGATTTGCATCGCTTTACGAACGTTGAGTACTGACCTTTGCCATTGCATTGAATTGAATAATAACTTAATGTATGGAGATTATCGTTATGAAATTGTTATTGTTCAGAATGTCCGATTTTTCGCGAGATTCGATAATTAGTAAAAAACAGTTTGTAAACTAAGGGTTGGTTTGTTATTAATCACATTTTTTCAAGATTAACTGCGTAAAAACTTGCGAAAAACTGCTCTTAAAACCGTGAGTTAAACTGATTTTTTTAACCAATTATGCGTTAAAAATTGTTATTTTAATTGCATATTGTCTTTGTCGATATAAAACGAACAACGCGAAAATGTATTGTATATTTATAATTATTACTAATTTATTATAGGTATGTTTAATTGCTCTTAAATTTATTGTTCCTAATAAATAGGTCGTAAAAAATTGTCCATCCGGAGATTGATTTTTAAAAATATTGTTATTTCAAATGACTTCTAGTCTGCAGATGTCCAGCAAATAATTGATAAAATAAACTACAGATTTATTTAAATAAAATATTTTACATATGCGTTGTTTCAATTATCGTAGATGCACCTTGTTGGTTCTCGACCGTTTCTAATTGACCTGGTTTGTTTTCAACGTACATCAAACTAAAAATAATAATAAAATGCAGGTAATTATTACAGATGCGACGTTATAAAAAATGCATAATAATTGTAGATATGTGTAATTATACATGTAATTATTTCACGTATAATTATTATAAATGTATCGTGCTTACGCTATTAAAACACAGCAAATGGAATAGATCGTGATACTGAAGAAGAATATTGCGGCCGGAAAGGCTTTCAGAGTGTACATGTATAAAAGATTGTATGCAGGCACTGATGCAGCCGGTGCAAGAGCTTCGGCTATGCCCAAAAGCGATTGGGTCTTGCCGATATCGCCCGTTGGGACGATTTTTGTCGCGTACGATCTCTTTACTATCCTGTACAATTTCGTCATGACGTTCGTTATGGTGCCTAAAAATATTAGTTCTCTATAATTTACTAGGTAGATGAGAAACACAAAGTTTACGAACGTACCGATGTAAAACATCACTGGGCTAGTCGCAAATCCGTAAATTAAATTCGATATAATCCTAGAAATTTCGGTTAGAAATAACAAGATTAAATCACCGGTGTCTAAAATTTTCACGAACACGTACAAACCTAAAATATTTCCTAAAAACCAGAAGAATAATCAGTTTAAATGTAAATTTGAATCAATTGACTCATATTACCAATCAATGATATGGATGAATTTATTGTCAAAAAGTATGTAAAGTCTACCGGAGTCCATTGAAATACCTTTTGAACGTAAAGGTAAAGGACACTTGTTTCACCTGGAAAAAACACACAATTAATTAACATTCACAAAGTTAGAGAATATTAATATACCGGAGATACAAAGGAATGGTGATTTTACTGCACACCTGAATTTGTCAATAAATAGAACATTTTTTCATTCTGAATGAATGTCTAGACAAACAATCAGGTACACAGTTATTGTTTATATTTTTTCTGTTGAACTGAAACTGTATCTTCATAATTAAGGGTACTTCAGCTTACTTGAAAGCCCATGTAATATGGTTAAACCAGCGGTGGTAAATTGGGTTAATTAATTTAATTCATAAGCCCAATTTTCCTACAGGATCAAAGTCAATAATCTCTTAATCTTGGCTCCAATTTACCTTCATCCGTTCGCTTAAACTAGTCTGTAGCAAAAGTAAAACACCATAGCACATACAGGCAATTCATATCTACTTATAATCTACCTGGAAAGAGGATTAGATTAAACCACTTACCATCGAAAGCAGATCGATGCAACACCACCATAACCAACAGCAACAGAACGCGCCGCCTTTCAGACGTCTTATAAGCCACATGGAACGTATCCAAAGCGTGCTTGGGACTGAACACATCGGCGCACAAACCCAACTTTCGACCCTCCCCATCACCCTGCGTCTCTTCGATCCACACGATCCCGTACACGATCGCCGACACCAGCATGCCCGAAGACAGCACCAGCACCCCCTGGTAGCCCATCCGCACGAACAGCACGCCCGATATCGCGTTTGAAACCGGCGCCACCAAACTGATCACGAGCGTCGTCAGTCCGATCCGGAACGTCCTCGACTCCACGCTGCTTATATCGGCGACGTACGCCGTCGTCGCCACCGTCAGCAAGCTCTGCGTGCCGAACAACGAGGGCACTATCTTCTGGAAGACGCCCTGAACTTCCACCGGCCAGGATCTCATGTTCCACGCGCACAGCACGCACCCCACGTTGCCGAGCAAATCGCCCATCAGCGGTATCACGAAGAACGGCTTGCGCAGCTTGTGCCTGTCGCTGTACGAGCCCAGGAACAGGATCAGGACCAGCGGCATGAAGCTCTGGATTGGCTGTTGCCACGAATGGAGTTTGCTTATCGTCACCTACAACAACACTTTATTGTTGCCCGAGAAATAAAGGAGTTGTTGCTCACCTGGATGTTGTTGTTTTCATCGGAATACCTCCTGTGGTCTCCTGCGAGGATTGCATTGCAGATGGTGTCGTTGTAGCCTAAATTCACGCGACAGGTCTTCTCCAGCTCCAAGTTGTCCAATGCCGGTTTGGATAGGGATATGGCGAATTGGTAGACGCCTACCAGCGGTTCTACGGTGAGTGTTTCTCGAATTTTCTTGATGGTTTTCATGGCGTTCCATCCGCCTGCGGGGTTTTCCGGGCCGTCTTTGACGATCATCGTGGATTGGACTAAACTTGTCTGGGCCGCGGATTCTGATTTATACGACGCGTTTACGCTTCGCTAGGGAGAATCCTCCGGTTATCGATAAAAGAAAATAGCTCGACGTGATAGTCATTCGTGTTGTTGTTTAATGTTTTAAATTGTTTACTTCACGCGGCTGGTTGTTGGAATAAAATTGATGTCTCGAGTGTCTCGTCTTGCTTCTGGGTATTTCTGTTTTTACTCCGATTCTCCCGAAGTTGCATAAGAGTCGTATAATCGAGGATTTAATTGCTAAGAGTTGAGTTAATGGTACGCATTACCTTTAAAAATGTATTCCAATGAACCTTGTTAATGCTGCTCACTGCCAATTATAAGCTGTTCGCGCGAATTGTACGGGAAAAAATTTATGAATTATTTATAGTACTGCCAGCACAGATTCACAAAATCCTCGAATTCCACGTATTAAGGTCGAAACACACCTGACCGCACCGACTCTGTTACGACATTCCACAGTGTGATAGAGGAGAATTTACGAAATGATAATCTAACGGTAAGTTTATACTTATCCGCAAATGACACCGTTACCGATAAGTTTACATTTAGTTTTTAACTAGCATGGTACGGTGCTGGTCAGCTCTTCTGCAATAAAAATAGAAAATAAAAAAAATAAGGAAATACCCTGTTATATACGATGAATCCGATGATGAAAAATATCGAAATACTTTTTAATTAATTATATTTTCAATTCAACGTCGGTTTATTTTCATTTTTATTGATTAAATAAATTAAAATATAGGAACAATTTTTTTATTAAATAAATATGTACATCTGTACCTACATTGTAAAAGTATGTGATTGTGTAAAACATCATACAGGGTGTCGCAATAAAATTGGCACATAAATTACAGACTTCTGAGGTGAAAAGATTAACCTAACTTTTACCTACATCCTAAAGTGTATAATTTTTTTATCGGTTTATGTTTAATGATTTTTTAACCTTTGTAATTTTCTAATAAAAAACATAATTTTGTCCGAGCGTCGTGACGGCGTCGGTGCGGACACGTGTGACCCGACCTTAAGGTGTTCGCTGAAATAATTTTCATTAATCGCAAAAACGTATCGGAATCCCTAGTCATGTAATTTGCATTAATTACATAACATTAATAACCGCCATTAAAGAAACCAATTCAATTGTTTTTTTTGTTGTTGTTCGGCAAATCATATGGAGATATTGCTAATTTACCTGTAATATTCTAGATGATCGTAAATACGGTGTTTACTCCGCAATGGGTTTCCAATACAGGACCGGATCGATTTCAAGAGATTACACGTCATTATTTTACCGAAGATTAAGATATGAATTATTGATAATGTTATATAATTGGTAATTATCTATGATTTAATTGGTGATATTTCCTACATTTTATGCATATCTTATTCTCTATTAATTTTTTTAATTACCCAAGACATAAATTTAATCTTCTGCAATACGCACGTTCGTAAAAATATAATGAATTAAATTTATTGTTTCTTCAACTTTTTCGATCTTTTGCCACAACACGATCGAAATATCAATACTAAAATTTTCTTAAAAATATAAAATACAACAACGGCTGCCACAATAAAAGTGGCAAATACGTCGAGTAAATAATACTCGTACCAACGTAAATTCAAATAATCCACCCTTAAATGCGGAGCTCCCTTGTGTCTTACGATATATTCCACCCAATAAATAGCCTCTTCGAGGGGCTTCATGGGTCTGTCGTGGAATATTTCCGATCTGTACTTCGCATTATTCTTATACCTACATAAAAATAACAATTATTAATCTATTTTCTATTGACTTTTACACGTCAACTTACTTGTCGTTTGTCAGTACCTCTTCGATGGCATGGGAAATGGATTCTTCGTTGAGTGCTTGAAAATCGAGCACGAAAGCGTACCCGTCAGCTTGGGCAACTCGGGCGTTCATCAATTGATCGCCCATTACAGGAATCGCCACCGTCGGGACGCCGTGATAGACTGTTTCAATAGTGCTCAAAAATCCACCGTGCGTTATGAATAGCTTCACGTTGGGATGAGCTTAAAATTTACAATTGCAAATGAGTCGGTTCGAAGTTGTGCCTTAACATACCTAATATATCTGATTGCGGCAACCATTTCTCGATCCTCACGTTCTCAGGTTTACCAGGCAAATCATCCTCCTCGAACTTCCATAGAATCCTCTCTTTCCTCTTCGCGAACGCGTTCATCAAACCCTGCTTGATAGCCATCGGTAAATCTGCTCCTCTGATATTCGAACCCATGCTGAAGTAGATTGCGCCATTTTCGGCTTCGTCCAAATATTTTTTAATACCGTCCGGCAATTTCTTAGGTGGTTTAACGTGGAAACCGGCTATATCTTTAATCACCGGCACGGAGCTTTGCGCTCTATTTAAGCTAGAATGCGAATTGGATAGTACCAAAGCCACGTTGTACTGAGTTTCAACCAAATCCACGTCTTTAGAGATGTACTTGCGCGCCAAATCCACCTGCACTCCATCGTATAAATAATTAATACCGGAAAACAGCATCCTGACTACCGTGTTTAACAACCTCTGTCGGTAGTTCATTTGACCAGTGTACCCTATCACCAAAAATACAAACATTGCTATCACGCTTTTCTATATAGAAACTAAAATCCATACCCATGATAATTTCTGGATTGATGGACGGCAGGACGGGGATTCCGACGAAGTGGCCCATCCAGGAGTGCATGGCGTTGTTGTTGAACAACACCAAGTGCGCCCCCATGAGGGGCGCTAGAGCCTTCACCGCCTCGAGGTTGAATTGGGTGACTATCAGCACGTCGAATCGTTCACCGGAGGTGACTAGTCGCTGGAACTTGGGGTGGCTGATGGTGGACTCGGTGATGTTGATGGTAATCCTCGGGAATGTGGTGGCCATTTTAAAAGGATTTTGCATTGAAACCGACGAGCCCGAGCTCACATTCGCAATCGGTTCGAATAATGCTTGAATAGATAATGTTGTTGAAGAACAATGGTGTGTATCAAGTGAATTGTGGAAGATAAGAATTCTAAAGGAGAAATACCTTTTTGTAGTGTTAATAAATCATCCATGACGATTTGTCTGTATTTCCCATTAGATGGTGGTGATTTTTCGTGAAAAACTGTAGCAATGGTGACATCGTGTCTGGCCTCTGCTAAACCTTTCATCAATTCATTCCCCAAGAAATAATGGCTAGGCGATGCGAATGGAAACACCCCTAATATTCGATAACAATCGCAATTTGCTATCAATATACCGGCAAAAAGCAGCGTAATTGGCTTTAAATTCACCAACATCTTATAAACTAACCTTTAAAAATGACGCGATGGTGTATACATATGAAAATTAAATAATATTCCTTTTTTCGATAAGAATGTTATCGCAAAATGTTTTAATATAACATTCTTATCGCATTTGTTTTGATAAACAATAATACTAGACATTCTACGGGTTGTTATACTAGAGTAAATGGGAAGAATCTCCAGTTATAGTGAAAATAAAGGGTAATTTAAACGGTAAAGCAATATCTATGGGCACAACAAAGACAATTTCCATTACCCTCATGTAAAGGAAAAAATATGATATTGTGGGATTGCAACTTTCTTATTTTAACCACTGTTATTTCATTAATCTTTCTTTGTTCAACTCATAGAATTGGCAATATTGCAAACAAATTTGCACCTACCCATATACTTACTACGTAAACATTCTTTTCTACATACCATTTTATTTGCTATTACATCATAATGCTTAACAAATATAAGTACTCAAATAAAAATTATCTTTAAGTGCAAATTATCAAATTTAATTGCGATTTAATCATAAGAAAATTTCGATGGAATTTTTCCATCATTAATGCGTATTTCCCTCTTCCAAATACATGCTAACGGGATAATTCTTCTCCCAAAATGAAAATCGGTTCTCTAATAGTTTTTGTTTCATTGTCAATGTCTTCCCGATGTCCAAGTACTTCTTGTCCTTCGGTGTGTAAGGTTCCCATGTGGTGTTTTCGAGAATTTCCGAGCTGACTGGTGTTGGATTTCTGTACAAAATATTTTTTTTAAATTAAGGCATATCACCAGAATGAGTTTATTTACCCGGTTTTGGCGAAATTAGCATAAAGGGTGGTTAGCTTCGTCACCATTTCCACTTCTTTTGGCGAACACTCCTTGAATCGAGGAAACAATACTGATATATAAAACAAGTATATCAAATCGTCGTGATGAACAACACCTGAAAAATGGAAGAATTGTTAGGTTTGAAGAGCGATTTTAAACTCGTTTTTTACCATAAGGTATTGTATTGTTCGAGCCACTTTTATACAAATGACTGTAACGGCCTGGATAACTGAATTTGTAATAATACACCGGACTTTCATTGAATTCTGATATGAGTCTTGCTGCTCTGTGCATTTGGAAACCAACAATCGCATCTTCATATACCTGAAAATCAATAACAGGATTCAGTTTGCTGTGAAGGAAAACTTTATCTAAATGTTGAATGAATTAAATGTGTTGTTTGATTAACTTACATTTTTCAGAGCCTGCTCTTGACTCCAATCAATCGGCCTGTCGTTGAAATAGAATTTCTTGATCGCTCTGCTGATGTTTTTTGAAAATTCTGTATTTCTTTCGTAAACGAACGAAATCGGTGCTACCCTTTCGAAATCATCGTTCATTTCTTTGGTTAGCGTTTTATTTTTAAGAATATCTGAAAGAGTTAATAATGCAAATATTTAGCAAAAATAATGAAATTTTCATTTATCCAATTTATTATTACTCTTTGAAAAGTCTTACTTAACGCGAAATAATTAAATTCTTCGGTAGTTCTTCCGCAAATAAACGGTACTTGCTGAAACTTTTTTGTTGCAATTAGACGAATCGGATGGTCTTCCAGAAATCTTGTTTGACCAAGATCGGGTTCTATAACAGGTGACCATATCAGCACTGGATCAGTTCCAAATTCCTGTAATTAATAGAAGAATAATTCCTTGCCTAATTGCTAAATGCTGCACTTTATAACACCTTAACTTACAGCGAATTTTAGCAGAGAATCTCCAAGTTCTTCGGCCGATTTCGTTTTAAGGCATTTAATAATATTTTCCGACGTATCATCAGGACAACCCATAATTCTCGCCTGCTTTTTAGCGATGTTGGTCTGATTATGCGGTATTTGCCAAGCACCAACAGCAGAGCCGCTCATCGATATGGCTCTATGGAACAAACCTGCATAGAGAAACCCACATTCGAAGACTCTATATACAACGTTTTTATGGAAACTTCCAAATACCTCGAGACATGGGAGACACCATGTGCAAAACAACGCTCCAGGCGCCAGCGCTGTAGCCGAGAATGGTGATCGAATCCGGATCGCCGCCGAAATGCTCGATGTTCCTGCGGACCCACTTCAAAGCGGCCACTTGATCTCTCATTCCGTTATTACCGGGGGCTTCTTTATCGCCGGTGCTGATAAAACCTTCGGCGAACGATACAATTTACGAGAGTCGCTTAAATCGTCGGAAACAGACGCGATTAACTTACCTAAAGATCCGATACGGTAATTAAATGTCACCAAAACAATGTCCTGGTCCGTGAAATATTGCGGACCGGCCCAGTAACTCACGGACGTTGAGCTGTAAAAAGCGCCTGGGTAAATGTGCACGATGACGGGTCGTTTCGGGTTCAGTTTACCAGCAGGGAGCTGGATTAAATTTTATAAATAAGTTTACAGTATATCCAAACGAGTTAAAAGTAAGTAACTCAATAATTATCTAGAAAAAACCAACTTTTGTTGAGTAGACGTTCAGGATTAAACAATCCTCGGATATTGGTCGTAAGACTGGTTGTGGACAAGACGGTCCATCATTGGTGGCATCGTAAACTCCTTCTACTCTATCTATTGGCACTGGTGGCTAAAATCAACAAAAAATATTTTATCACCCAGAAATATGAAAGTACAAAAATACTTGCTTTAAACCTTAGCTCGTCAATAGGGGCTTTGGCGTAGCGGATACCTCGAAATGCATATATTGTCCTTCCTAGTCTACTTGTGAGTAGAGCACCTTTGATATCCCCATAAGGAGCCGATACTAAAGGAGCATCTTGGGAATCCGCGTACAGGGTAGTTAAAAGACCGGATAAAAATAGTACGATTGGTAATTTATAACTCATCGTTCTGAAAATAAAATAATACTAATGAATATTTCTGGAAACGTAAAATGTTGCTCCCAATAATCTAAATACTTCGTATTTAAAAATAATTAAGTGTGAATATACATACGCACAATAAACTTACCTCTGTTGATGTTTAAACACTATTGATATAAACCTTCCAATAATGCAAAATTGGAGTTTATCTTCAAGAAATGTTGCAGTTTATATAGTTTTAAATTTAGTTACTTATCTATATAAGTACCATTGTTTATATGTATAATGTGGGAAATCCAAAAGTGCATAACAATTTTAATGTTTTCGCTGAATCTAATCGCGAAAGTTTCACGAAAGTACACATTTTAATTACTAATTTAAAAAAATGCACAAGGTTATTTTCTATATTGGTCAAATAAACCACAAGAAAGAGATTCGATCTCGATTTTTATAATTGCTGTAGGTGATGAGTATAATTTTTAAGTGACTGTAAGAACAATCTAGTTGCGTATTGCATAAAAAATATTAAAAACAACAATTTCATCTGGGTTTTCCATACATAAAGAGCTGTCTACTTGCTTATAACAGTGGTTAAAAATGTGTAAAATGAAAACGAAAGTCTTATTATCTGCAATAGAAAATACAAGTTAGGTGTTGAGAAAATTAATGTTTTTTGTACTTTACCTTTAAATAAGACGTCATATTTACTTCGTAAAGGCTCATAACCGTCATTTGGAGTGGCCTTTGAGAGTGCATTAAAAGAAACATGACATCTCTTCTCGTTTCTTTATTTTCTAAACTTTTCCAGTTCGATCGGTAAATAAACTCTGGCAACAATTCCGCCTAAAAAAATTGTAATCCATATTTTGTTATGAGCTTTATTAAATTACTAAATTACTTAATTGCTAGATTAGACGTACCTCATAACTTAACATGTTGCTGGTAAAGCAATAAATTAGCAATTCGTTCAGATAAGACACCATGAATACGAATGGCGTGTACAACTGATTCCCAGTTGACTAAAATATAAGTCAAATTTATTTTTTGCATTTTTTTATTTTTGCAAAACACTTACTTGCACTAGCATCATGTTTGCTATGCAAATGCATACTATGCTCGCGCTAAATTGAATCACGAAAGCTATATTAAATATTTTATTCGTCTTCTTGACAAACCTTGAAGAATATGTATATTAGTAGTTTGTGTTATAAAACGTGTTTGTGTTAGACAAACCTTAAAAGAAATTGGTGTTGTTCAACGCATTTAACAAAATAGGATTTTCTTTGGTCATGATCTAGTCTCTCATTTTCAAAATGTTTTAACCTCTCGTTAATAACGAGCATATCTGAGGTATTGTACTTAAGCAAGCACTTTTGAAGTAGACGGTATTGCATAACTGTGCTCATTACAACGCTTATAAATAACATATCAACTCCCATTACGCTGAGCACCAATATTGCTAAAGAGATGGTGTGTGATATGAACATTATTTCATACACAGGAGACACGCTCCAGTCAAAAGAGTACTAAAATACGCATCATTATTTATACCAGCAGATATTCAATCGATTTCCGTACCTTCACATGGAATGGTAATAATCTTTCCTGATGTAATAGAGGCGGTACAATAAATATAATGCAGACTAAAAGACTGGCGAAGTGTAATGGAATCATGAAGAGGGTGATGAAAGAGCTAAATTGTTTCAAATTTTCTTTCGTCTTTCCGTCTATCAAATCGTACGGCCAAAATCTCGTCATTATTTCGTCCAAAATAAATTTTAAATCATCTAAATGGTACCAGATGGTGAACAGTTTAAATATGGTCTAAAATGATGCATGGAAAGTTTGAATATATTAGTCTTATAAAATAATTAAATTTATGGCGATATGTCGAGAACTGTTCCGGATGCAAGGGCATTAATTTATTAGATAGATATTAGTTTTTGAATGAGAATACTTACTTGAATAAATCCGATTATCAATACTAAACTTATAATTAAATCGTTCATTGAATCCAGTGAAGTTAAATTTTGTATTGCACCGATCATGGTGAAGGTTTGTATTGAAACTGCAAATAGGAATGAAATCGTACCTTTTACTTTATAATTATTAATTCTAGGCCATAAGAAAATCAGGCTAAGTAAAATTTTCGGTATCCAGAGGGATACTTTCGAATAGTCTTTAGTCTTTATAACTCTAAAGGCGATATCTGTAATATTAGGAATAAATTTTAAGGGTTTTTTTAAGCATCGTTCCACTCACCCTCGAAAATCATGATGTCAATCTTCTATATCTTTATAGGCAATGGAGGAATCATCGCATTACTTATCTTTTATATAAATAGTTATTTCATTATTTAAAGTATTAAATGTAATTTAACACAATTATGTAAGTATATCAAAAGAATAATTAATCATTATAAATTTCTAATATCGACTAACTGCTATTAAATTCCTTTGTGTCACTGAATTCTTGAACGGTTCGATACGAAGTCGATTTTTAATTAAAAAACCTTGCAAAAGGTAATTATAAAGGGAAGACTGACTATATGAATTAAAAATATGTAAAGGAATTTCGTCCTCAAATTTACTTAATAGATTCCAATTAACCTCCTCTACGTTTAAGTGCTTGTACCTAGTTGCTAATTTTACTTCTTCTAATATATTTCTTTTACAAATTCCTTCAAAGTTTCGTTCTCAATGATAGGATTAATTTTGTTAAATGTGTTGCGTCTCAAATGTTTTTAATAATTGCCTTCATCATGTGTTGAACGCAGCCATCTAATTCATAAAAATATTCATTATACAAATTTATAAAAAAAATTATTTTGCATATGAAATATAAACGAATTTGTATTTTTATTTATCATTTGTTATAATTTATTTTATATATTGAACACAAAAATTCGAAAAATATTAGCAAAATATTACCTGTCAAATTATATATAAAAGAAAGAAGAAATATGTAACTCTAACCTAACATTATTATTTGGTAATAAATAGTTGTATTACTTGTTTTGTTTTTATTTACGAATTATTTATATTTAATTTAAATGAAAACGGTAAAACGTTTGCAAACTACTAATACAACATGAACAAAGAAAATCTCGATATAATTATAAAAACCGAAGGTGATATAACGATCGATCCAGTGGAAATCGTCGATTCCAAGGAGCACGTCCAAGGCTTACTGACAGAAATTAAAGAAGAAACTCACAGCCAACTAGATCCCGGTTCACCGAACGTTCCCGAATTGATCCAGGAAAATTACGGCACAGAATTGGCCTTGGTTTGCTTAGAAAAAAAGTTCAAATGCACCTTTTGCGAGAGAGCCTTTACTCGGAAGTACTTGTTGAACAAGCACATTCAGTCCCACTTCGACGAGAAGGACTACAAATGCCATCTTTGCGAACGGCAGGTAGTTTCTCAAAATATTTTAAACGTTTATTTGTCCACAACTTTCCAATATTCTATCTTCGGTAACCGTTGACTCAAGAATACTTCCATTAACAATTTGGGAATTTTATACGGTTGACGAATTTTAAGATGCTTACTTGATGAGATAGGCATATGAAAACCAGTTGTCATTATTGCAGTTTACAACCAGATACAAATTGAAGACACACCTAGTCGTCCACAGTGGCGAAAAAAACTTCAAGTGCGACCTTTGTGAACAAGCCTTCTTCTTACAAACCGAACTCAACCGTCACCTGTTGAAACACAACCAAAACTTGCCCCACCCTTGCGATTTATGCAAGAAATCGTTCGGCTCGCAGGGCGGCCTCGCCGTCCACTACAACAGCCACAAAATGAAGCAATCATCGCTCGACGAACACGCCCCTCCCTCGAGCGATTTCTGCCACAGGTACCGCAAGATCTTCACTTGCACTCTTTGCGGAAAGACCCTATCAAGCAATGCGAGCCTCGAGCAACACATCAGATCGCACAAGGGCGAGAAGAAGTTCAAATGCAGCGTTTGCCAGAACCTGTTCAGCACCAAGGCCAACCTGCAATCGCACATCTTGTCGCAGCACAGCGAAGAGAGGCCCTTTACGTGCGACGTGTGCGGGAAATCCTTCGCTGCGGGGTCGACTATTCGGGACCACATGAAGATCCACACGGGCCAGAAAGACTTCAAATGCGACGCGTGCGGGCGCTGCTTTCGATCGAAGAACAAGCTGATCAGTCACAAGGATTCGAAGCATTCGGAGGAGAGGAACCACACGTGCCACGTGTGCCAGAAGAGCTTTAAATCGAGAGAGACTTTGCGGAGTCACTATCGTATTCACGCCGAAAAGAAGCCCCTGAAATGCCACATTTGCGAGAAGGAGTTCCGTTATAGGCACAATTTGAAGAGGCACATCGAAGTCGTGCATCAGGGATTGAGGAATTCCGCTTGTGGAATATGCGAACAGACGTTTTCCTGCCAAACTAATTTGCTTAAGCATTGTAGAGTTCATCATAAGGTCACTACGTCTTAGCTGAATGTTTGTAAAAAAATATAGTAGATAAAATGAAGCAAATTCGATATATTGGCTTATTGGACCAGGAGACTGAATTTCCAAAAATAATGTTAATAATTTAAATACATTATAAAGTTTATGTAGTTTTTACATATTGTAAATGATGGCTGTTGGTACGAAAATATAGGTAAGCAAGTAAAATGAAGAAGGCAGCTAATTTTTAATACATTTATGCAGTCAAATAAAATCAAATTATAATATATTTTCTACTCTTTTTTTTCATTCTCACTATTTTTCTCATCGGGAACAACAGGATTTGAAGTATGCTCTTCGATTCCGTGGGTACTTGTTTCGTTTGATTCTGGTTGTTGAGTAGAAGAAGTAGAATCATCTTCTACTTTTTGGGTGCTTGATGAATTTTCTACAACAAAAACGATTATTAGCAATTCATTAACAACTCTTAATGAGAATCACCTTCGTTCGTGGAAAATGCGCTTCTTTCTTCAATGTGGCCATCGACAGTGGATTCTTTGAATTGAGTCAACAGTTTCTTAGGGGTTAAATCGTGCTGTTTCAAATATTCGAAGTAGGTCGGAATGTTTTGTTGGACTTGGTGTTGTTCAAAAGTACGTCCAATTTGTCCAGAATTCACGCCTTGCTCAACTACTTCAGTTCCAAAGGTGTTTCCTATTTGTCCAAAAGTACGTCCAGAAGTTTCTCCATGACCAACAACTTCTGAGGTTACTGCTTGTCCGATATCTCCATAAGTTTCTCCTTGACCAACCACTTCTGATCTTACTGCATATCTGACTGTGGGTCCAACTACTCCGAATTGTTGCCCGTTAGTAGAGAAAGATCTGCCGATTTCTCCAGAAGTTACTCCATGTCCTACCAAATCAGAAGATACTTCCTGTCCGAACGTTCGTCCAGTTCCTCCATATGTTACTCCTTGCTCAACCACTCCTGAATTCAGATTTTGGCCGAAAACGTTTAGAAGTTCTCCTGAGGTTACCCCCTGTTCAACCACCCCAGTTTTAACTTCATCGAATCCATTTCCAAGTTGACTGGAGGTGACTTCATCTCCGAATACTCCAGACCTTCCTTCTTGTCCGAAATTAGTTTCAACTTGTCCAAAAGTGCGTCCAAAGTTAAGTCCATCGACATTCGAGGATACTTCTTGGCTAAAAGTATTTCCAATTTCCCGAGAACTTACGTCTTGTCCAAGCTGTACTCCAGAATAATCTAACGTTCTTCCAATCAAATTGTTTTGGGCTTTCGTATGAACAGTGGTTTCGACCAGTCTGGGTTCTTTCAGAACAATTTGCTGGGGAACCTTAACCGGCACGGCTGTCGGTACTTCAACGTAGTACGGTTTCGGTACGGGTACTTTGACTTCGTATTTTTCCTTGATGAATACAGGTTTTTCCACTTCTACCTTGACGTGTTTAATTTTGTAAACCGGGTAAGGTTTAGGGATTTCTATGCGAACGTTTTCAGGCACAGCGACCGGTACTCTATGCGGCACTTTGACTTCGTAGGGTCTCGGTACTTCTACCGGAACTTCCACTTTGACAGGGACGGCGTAAGGTTTTGGTACGTGGACATGGTATGGTGTTGGTACAGCGATTTTTCTGATCACCTCCACGGGTACAGGTTGCGGTACTGCTACAGGTACTTTCTGAGTAATGTATCTGTATTGATGAGTACTGGGTGCATGATGCGCTGTAATTATTAGTTAATATGGAATAGTTTATTGTAATTACGAAAATATAATAGGTAGTACCTTGTGAGTATACTTGGGCTCCTTGTAGTTGCGAGAAGCTGTCGTGATAGGAAGTTCTGGGGAATTCGTTAGTATATTGATTAAATTCTGGGTATTGAGCAAATAGATTAGGCGATCCTTTCTGGATAAATGCAGCGACTGAATCCAGAGAAATGGCCGGTACTATCTGTGGTTGAAAAGAGCGCTTTTCTTTATTCGTTTTCTCTTCTATTTTTTCATCTTTCGCAGTTGCGAAAGCAATTAGTAGTAGCGAAAAAATCTATAAATAAATTAACTTTTAAATAATCATATAACATTCACGCTTATTTATTATTTTTAATTTTTATTTCTTTTAGTAAATTAATGCTTCGAACACCCTCTGCAATTGTATTAAGATTGTGTTAGTATTAAAATGATACAAGTTATTTTATTTGAATTTAATTTTTTAATATTTATTTTAAAATATAAATGCAAATCGGACTTACCAGGACTCCTTTCATTTTGGCATAGATTCTCTAGAACAAATACCGGTCGTATTGAAAAAATATCCTCTTTTATAACGTAGGCCAGTCGAAGGTTGACTTCTAAATTAGAATATACTGGTTAAATTTTGCCGCAAAAATTTATACTTATTAATTTATTGAGTCAAAATGATTTACTTATTTGTAACTTCTACACTAGTTTAAATTAAAAAAGCCACTATAGAGGATTACTTGAATTTAACCCTTGCGGAAGAGCTATCTTTTTAAACTTTATTACCCCCTTTAGGATACATTTTTTGAAAAGGTAATTTATATTTAATGAATATATAGGTACAGCTTTTATGCAAAATATACTTACAGCTTTTTTTTGTAAAAAAGACACCTTGTATAATAAAGCTGCAGAGGACATGAGTGATTGAAGAATTCGCTTAAAATAATTTACTTTTATAACCTATAGTCTTTTGTCTTCAGTCTGTTTATGATTTAGGGCCAAAAAATGTAATAGAATGATAAAAAAAAATCTTATATTTTTGGATTACAAATTTTGCTGAAATTTTGGGTGCAAAATTTGGATTTTTGTAGTTTTCCATTCAGTGATGTAACTAAATAACATAAAATTAAAAAAAAAGGCATAAAATATATCGACATAATTCACTTTCGACATTATCATCCTTCTAACAGCATCCGGATGCAAATCAGGTGATTTACAACTAAATAGTTTCATTTTTATGGTTTATAGTCATTAGTAGTTTTCCATGTTCGGTCGGTTTGAAAATATTTTGGGACACCCTGTATTGTTTGTCGATTATAGATTAGCTAAATTACCGGCCGGTGGATGTGTTGATTTTAAAAGGAATCTAAATTGTAAATTACCTCTGTAAGGCGTAGAAATAACATTTCAAAAAAAAGTCCATTAGAAATTAAGTCCGGTTCCAATACTTATGTCTTTCTATTTTTTATTCGTTTTAAATTTATGGGAAATGTTGCGTTACATAATAGGTTATTAGGTTAAATCGATTTTTTTAAATAATTTACATAAAAATGTCAATTTCGTTATTTTTATTAATTCTATATTTTTATTTTTATGGTGGAATATTTTCTATTAATCCTCTTCTATTAATAAATAGCACGAATATTATTTTACTAATATTTTTAGACTAAAAATGGTATGATAATCCAATACTGAATGTTTTAATTCTTTCATTGTACAGGGTGTTTAAGTAATCGTTAATCGTAAGATGTAAGAAATATTTTATTTACAAAAATGCATTTATTTATTCTATCGAGAGAAAAATATTTTTCTTATAGTGTATCTTAATTAAAGACGTAATTTTAAATTTCCTATTTTCCTTAATGATAAAAATTTTTAATGGGACTATTTCTTACCAAAATTTACTAAATTTTCTATCACGAGTTGCTGGTAATAAAAATACTGCTTCATCAAAAAATTTTATTCAAGAAAAATTTGTAAATATTTTTCATTATTCTTCTTTCTTTGTTTCTCTGGATTTGTTGTAACTTGAACCATCAAAAGCTGTGGCATCTTGTGCTTGATGGTGAGTGGTTTGGGATTTTTCCGAATATTGCGGTATTCGGAAGTCTCCGGAATCTGCAAAAGGCTGTTTTGCGACCAGACTTTTATCATCTTCATTTGAATTTTCACTTCCAACTGAAGATAATTCCCCTTGGTTGGTTCCTTGCATGGTGGAAAAGCTATCAGAAGTTGATACTCCAGATGTCACTACCCCTCTTTGTATCACTCCAGACGAAGATTCATTTTGTACTAAACCTGCAGAAGAAAATTCTTCAAGATTAGACTCTTCGCCGGGTTGGCCAGAAGAAATTGTTTGTACACCTTCTTGTAAGCGAGCGGAAGATGCTATTTTCTGATTAGTATCTACATTATTTTGTAGAGCATCAGAGAAAGAGACTCCAGAAGAAATTACATCGCCAGAAGATCCTAAATTATATTGTCCATCAGTTAAACCTAATTGTTCCAAAGGGATTGATTCCCTTGACTGCGCTTGGTTGGAAAAAATGTTACTTTGTATACCAGCAAAAGAAGCATCTCTTAATCCAAAAGTACTAACACCTCTACCTAACATATTTTGGTTGGAAAAAATATTTTTTTGCGCACCAACAGAAGCTACATTTTCTCCAGGATATCCCAAGGAAGCAACCAAGTTAGTGTTTGGTGCATTTTGGTAAGTTTCGTATTGTACTTGATGTTTAACATTGACAATTTCCGGTACTTTAACGATTTCTGGCTCGGCAAATTTGACGGAAACCGTTTTTTTAATCGGTACTGGATAAGATTCTGGAACTGGCACTTGAACGACATCGGGTACTTTAACGTAGACGGGTTTCTCAACTGGAACGGTAACCGTTTTGAAAATGGTAACGGGATAAGGTTTCTCAACAGTGTAAGGTACTTTAACTTTGACTGGATACGGTACTACTTGCGGGACGTGAACGGGATAGGGTTTTTCAACGGGCACAGCGACCTTTACTTTTACACTTACAGGTACCGGTTTGTGTACAGGTACAGGATAGGGCTGGGCAACTTTGACATTCTTAATTACAGGTACTGGATATGGTTGCGGTACAGGTACTGGTACTTTGTTGATAACGTCGTGGATTGTGTGTTGAGATACTTCTTGACTTGATATCGTTTTTCCGTAAGTTTGTAATCCAGAATCGATTCCATATGATTGTACGTTAGCACCAATTCCATAAGCTTGTCCACCTGTTCTGTATAATGAACCGATGTTATTTAACACCCCTTCAGATCCGAGTGATCTAAACTGACTACCATATGATAATCCACTGTTTATATTAGTGGAATCGACTCCCTGGGATTGAACCTTTGTTCCTACGTATTTGTAGGAAACAGTTTCTGGAACAGTCGCGCTGTAACGTGAAATTTGCGGCAAAGACTTTTGATTGTAGTAGTAGTAGGTTTGTGGTGATAATCTGAAGAAATTGGTGTATGGGGAAACGTTTTGGTGGTGTTTTAAGAAGATGTTTTCCGTTGGTAGTTGGTACTCTTCAGAAATCCCTTGAGTTTCCGAAAAAGCTGCCACTACCCCCAAAAACGTCACGATCTGTAAAGAAGAATATTTGATTGTAGTAGATTATCGCAAGCTAGGATTATCATTCATCTAATGGTGAATCGTTCTCAATTGTTGTTTTTTGCAGTAAAGTTCAGCATGTAGAAACTTTTTTCCAACAAACCATATTTTCATAAAAAAAGCAAAATTTATTTAAATAGTTTATTGATAAACAATTTACATTATTGGCCAAATATCAACGTACATATGAAAAATAAAATCTGCGGTCTTTCAATCTTTCTTCTCCGTTTTTTCGGTTTTCTCAGTTTCTCTTACGAAGACTTTGTGGGCATTATTCCATCCGTGATCCAATGGACACGGAGGAATTTGTCCGTGACTAGAAACTTCATGTCCGGAGGTGAATCCAGAAGAACCGCCTGTGAATCCGGAAGAACCTGAGGAAAATCCAGAAGAACCAGATGAGAATCCAGAGGAACCGGAGGAGAATCCTGAAGAACCGGTTACTCCGGAAGAAACGAACTCGCCTTGTCCAGCAGACAGTGAACCCTCAACGACATTTTGTAAACCTCCGGAGGGAATTGCACCTGTGTAATATAGATTTTCTTGCCCAGATACTACTCCAGAAGATACTCCTCCTGATGGATAGAAACCTTCTTGACCGGAAACTACTCCAGACGATGAATGGAATCCTTCTTGACCAGAAACTCCTCCTGTGGATACTCCTGAAGAATGGAATACTTCTTGACCCGAAACTGCTCCAGTCGATACTCCCGAAGAAAGGACACGATTCTGGCCAGAAACAACTCCAGAAGATACTCCGGAGGAATGTAAGCCTCCTTGGCTAGTTACTACTCCACCAGATAGTCCTGATGTAAAGAATCCTTCTTGACCAGACACGACTCCTGAAGACTGAAGACCTTCTTGACCGGATACTACTCCACCAGATACTCCCGACGAATGAAATTCTTGGCCAGAAACAACTCCAGAATATAAATCACCGTTTTGAAGACCTTCTTGTCCAGAAACATGGAAACTTTCTCGTCCAGGAGACAGATTCGCGAATCGGAGATCCTCTACTTGTAGGTTTTGATTTCCTCCTTGCTGGACAGTTTGCTGGACATGATGTTTAACGTTGACGATTTCCGGTACTTTGACTATTACAGGTTCGGGTACTTTCACGGTAACTTTCCTGTGAACGTGTACAGGGTAAGGCTGAGGTACTGGTACTTTAACGACGTGCGGCACTCTGATGTACACAGGCTTTTCAACCGGTACTTGCACGGTCTTCGTAACAGTAACTGGATAAGGTTTCTCCACAGGATAAGGCACCTTAACCTTTACCGGGTACGGTTGCGGCTCGGGAACATGTACCGGATAAGGTTTCTCCACCGGTACCGGCACGTTGACTCTCACTTTAACGGGCACCGGTTTGTCGACATGCACCGGATACGGTCGCGGTACTTTGACCGTCTTCGTCACCGGTACTGGGTAAGGTTGCGGTACTGGTACTTGAACTTTGTTGATTACATTGTGGATCGTGTGGCGGGACACTTCTTCGCTCGATACAACTTTTCCCTTGGAGTTGTAGTATTGATTTTCGTAGGTGTTTCCGGTAGTACCGTACGTTTGTTGATTTCCGTAAGTTTGACCAGATCCGTATAATTGGTTGGTTTTGTACAATTTTCCTCCTAACGCTCCATAGCCTTGTAAATATCCACCATAGGAGTTAGTTCCTGTGACATGCGATTGGACTCCGTTACCGAACTGGGTTCCGGTACCGTACGATTGATACCCGAAAGTTTGCGGTAGGGAATTGTATGAGGATGAGTAGTAAGTGCGAGGCGGCGAGTTATGTTTGTAGTAGTAATAGGACACTTGAGGGCCCGATTGGTATGAATAGTAGCCGTTGTTAAGGTTCTGGTAGGGCGATGATGAAAAGTAGCCTGGGTGGCGTTTCGATCTGGCCGAATCGGATGATGATTTCGCATCGGATTCCGCGGCTTTGACTTCCGGCTTGTCAGAAAGCGCGGTCGCCCAGCCTAAAAAGGCGACGATCTGCAAAGAAAAATCCCAAGATATTGTAAGATTCTCGATGGGAAATCACAGATATTATAATTGATTCGGTATTGGCTAAATTGGATTATTAATTTACGATTATAGGATAACATTTACGATAACATAGAGTCACTATTTTTTTTTGAAACTGGAATTATTTGGCAAGACTTCAAATTTTCAAAAATTTTCAAGTATGTTCTAAAATTTAGATTATTAAATAATCTATGTTAATAGATAAGCGTAAATTCAACTTCAAAATTAAATTTATAGGTATTAAAAAAAATTTTAAAAGCTCTATTTTTCCAAACCAACGAGATGATTTGTTAAATGAAATGAAGTAGGTTAAACAAGCTTAATGAAAATAAACCAATCTGTATACACAAAACGTCGCGAATCTACACGCAATAAATTCTCATTCAATAATTTACACTAAATCGTATAAAACAGTAAAATATGTACTTACCAAGAATGCCTTCATTTTTTCTTGTCGACTTCCACTCGGACACTTTTTTTATACGAATGATCTCCGATGTGCGAGATTATCACCTATTTATACCGGGCTATATGTTTTGACCAATGCGAAGGCCGATTTTTAAACTTAACCTGTTTTTTGAAGAATTCCTCGATGGGTTCACTTTAGATGAATTAATAATTCCTGTATTTCTCGTAATAAATTTCATTCGATATTTTCGATATTGTACCGGTTAGAAAGGAATCACACGTGATGACACGATATATTCGGCGTGTTTCAAGCTGTGCTGGACCGTAGATTTTTTTTTATTTTTGACATTTTAACGCGGGAATAAGAATGAACTGGTTTTATGTTTATGCCCGAAATTTCCCAGTTAGGTAGGTTCTTGTAACATTTTAAATTAATTACCATTGTTATACTGATTAGAATTTATGGATTCAGACTCGCTTTCTCTTGCCTTTGATCCAATCGCCTAAAAACATTAATGATCTTTTCCATTCTCACTTGCTTTATAAACTCGTAAGTTAATTAGAATTTTAAGGGATGAGGGATTTATAAATTTAAGGAGTAAAAGTGATTATTTCAAATTTTTCTAAATTACACCATTGATTTTTATATTAATATATCTACAAAAAGTTGCGACATGTATAATAAGTTTTTTGAACTTTTAGGAAGATATATTATGTAGGTAAGTTTGAGATTTTCCTTGACCAAGACCGCGAGAATTATTTTTTTTGAACACCCACCGCTTTTGAGCAGATGCGTTCTTGTATAAATAATGTCGATCGTATCGGTAGTTTCATTTGCATTCGAGTTGGATTTTTCAAAATAATTTAGCCAGATATGGGTAATATTGTAATCCGGTTGTTATGTAACCTATCGATGCTTATGTTAATTATTTATGGAACTGTCGATTTGAAATAACATGCATATTCCTAATAAAAATTTAATGAGTGCTTAAAGAAGATCCGGATGAATTAGGAATTTGCATAAAGTTTTGTGATAACCTCGTATAATATAAAAGTTTATTAAGTGTTTTAATATTTGCGAAATTATATAGGTAGATATTATAAAAAAATAAGATAGATAAAAATGCCTAACATAGCTCTAAATACCTATGAGTATGTTCTAAACATTTTGGATTAAATATGAGAATTTCATTGATTTTATTCTGACGATTACAAATTAGTTATCGCTCGGGTAATTAGTAGGTAATTTGTTAATTCATCTTGTAAAAAAAGATACAAATTAAAAATGAGCCTTTATTAACAAAATATCTTAAAACTACAATCATCGTTCATACAATTTCTCAGTGTAAACCATTGTATCCTCCCAAAGAGCTGGGAATATACGAAGCCAAAAGTCCATTAGAATCATCGATTTTTCCGTCGAATCCATTACTATAAGATTGGTAATTGTGACTGTACTGGGCACCTTGGTCGTACCGTTTACCAGCTGTGTTAAAACTGTCAACATTAACCAGCGGTTTTTGGTAAGAGGTCGTTAAGTGGCTGTACTGGTTGCTCAAATCGGCCCCTCGGCCGTACTCGTAATGGTTGTGGTACTGGGGAACCTGGTGATGTTCGCACGGTACGCCCGATTGGTAGCTGTGAACGTACTGCCTCTCCTTCACGTACACCGGCGTGGGTACTTTCACTTCTTCCTTGGTGACTACATCCACGGGGTAAGGTTGCGGTACTGGTTCAGAGACGTGAACTGCTACGGGTACGTGGATTTGCTTTTCGACCGGTACTTCCACGCGTTTGGTCACCACTACTGGGTAGGGCTTCGGTACGTCGACGGGAACGTGCTCTTTGACCTGGTACGGTACGGGTTTGGGCACTTTGACGTAGTACGGTTTGGGTACTTCGTAAGGGACGTTGACTTTGTAGTGTACTGGGTAGGGTTTAGGTACTTCTACGCGGTAGGGTTGGGGTACTTCTACTGTTTTGGTGACTTCCACGGGGTAAGGTTGGGGTACCGGTACCTGTACTTTTTTCGTGATGTGGTGGTACTCGTGCGTGTTGCTTTGTAGGTTCGATGTGGTGGGAACTATGAAATAAAAGATTATGATTATTGTGTAAAAAATAATAAATGTAACGGTAGTACCTGAATATTCTTGATGTTCTTCAGAGAATGAGCTGTGTGAACCAGATTGGTCGAAATTGTTGTAACCACCAACGGAACTTGGAATGTACGAATTCAAAAGACCTTCATCATTATATTGGTTGTTGTATAAAGTTGGATAAATGTGACGTTTCTCTTTGGAGCTTTTAACCTTTCCTTTACTTTCTTCTGCGCAAGCTAGCCCGAGCAACAGAAGTACCACGACCTTAGAAGAAGATATTACAAATTATTTTAAAAATATTAAAATAAAGCATTAAATAAAAAAATCCTTAAGGAATGAATATACCAATGGTCCTATTTTTTGTGTCAAATTCACCCACAATTGACTTTTTTTTTCTTATAAAAAGTATGATTTTTTTGCAACGACTCACCAGTTTCGTTTTCATGGCGGATACCGTCAGTTTCTCAACCACTTCGATTTATTTGCAATCGCCGAATAAAATCCGTCCGGCGAAAAATCCCTATTTATATAAATAACCCAAATTGTAATGAATTTGATTACCAAGGTCGGTCACTGGCAGGTCAAGTTTTCGCCAAAAAAATATATTCAATCGACATCGACTCAATATTTGGCCATTTTTCATTTCGCTAAAGCCTGCAATTAAAATCTCATTACCAGCTTTAAATTAATTACATGTTACTCGAAGAAGTGTAAAGTTATGTAATTTTTACAGGTACAGCATCTGTTTGAATTGTTTGAGGTAAGAAGAACAAGATTAAAAAAATCGAATCGTCTTTGATTTATCTTATATATTAAAAACTAGTAGAAAACAAGTTTTTTCCTAATATACCAGGGGCACTTAAAGTTATTTCATTTTTGGTATTCTTTATAAATTTACCGAGCGTCCCAAATTATGGTTTTATGAAAATGAGAATTGTATACACCTACAGAAGTTTTTTGGTTATCATTATTAATTTATTTTTGTTCCAAAATAAAATTTTTGAGTTTCTAGGAAAAACAGCTGTGAGTTTTTCTATTACTATAATAAATTGTCATTTATTCGTTATTTAATATTCTAGCTATATTTGGTAATTTGTAATCACTTTAGGTGTCATCCGTATATAAAAAAAAGAATTAATTACGAAGGTCCGAGCTCCTAATGCTTGATTAATGTAGACGTTCAGTCTGGCGAAACCTACTAATTAAATTTATTTAAAACATCCAGACTGTACAATTAAAGTAATACATCAGTCACGTTAAGAACGTATGTATGTAAAATACAATTATAATTTTAATTTTCACGGCTATCAATATGCTATTTTTAGATCTCGAAGACAATATTTTGTTCTATTTTTTCACCTTTGCTGTTGTTTTGCGTAAAATCTAATTGGTAGTATCCTCTAACTATTATTATTATTATTGTTTATGTAAACAGATTTATTGACGTATTTGTATTTACGCAGACGAAAATCACAGAGTGTAACGAGAAGTACCCTCTTTTTCTTCTTCTTTTTAGATACATCAAAATCCTTTATTTTATAATGATTACTGCACCGAATTTAATGCGAAATGTCGGTCGGAAGAATTTTCGATACAAAAAACTTATACCTACTCATCCTTCGTAAATTAGAATACTCGTTTTTCGCGCATCCTGTTGAGTTTAAAAATAATTTTTCCATAAAATTACCATGATTTTTAAATGATAAATTGGTCTTTAATAAAATAAAGGAAAGCCGCCTGAAGATGTTTCTAAACAGGGTGTTCTGTAAAAAAGTTTGAAGGAGTATAAAATTATTTGGAACTAAGAAAAATGTTAGTAGACATTCTTAAACATTTATTCATTCTTATTTATAAATTTATTACAAAATAATAAACATTATCACGAATACCCTCGATCACTTTTATGTGTAACTTTTTTATGTAATTTATAAAATTTACTCTTATCTATACACATCAAATGCATGTTCAATGATTCTGAATTAAATTAATTCATTAGCTCATTAAATATTCCCACTTATAAACTATAAAAACAGTCAACATTGTACATAATTTTTACATTTCTTGCAGGGAAAAAATTAAACATAAAAAATATGACTGCAGATTTACACAATTCTATTTAATTGGCACGCATTTTACTAATTATGTACAAGCCCATAGTCTATTACACATATCTGAAACATGTACGTACAATAATTTCACACTGATACATTTTTGGTTTATAAAAAATGATTCAATTTACACGGCTGTGGATCGTTTGCAGCTCGTTTTGCTACCAGTCAAACTACTAGTCTGCGTTCCCTTAAAACAAACAAATTTTAATTACAAGCACATTATATTATTGCAATTACACTATTTTCTATACATACCCTATAACCTAATATCCTTTTCGTGCTTCCTCTAATAGGAAAAACCCCGAAACTGAGGCTAAAGCCCGAGTCCGTTGCCGTATGCTGCTGATCAGCGCCCTTTCTGCAGCAGGAATTCATCATTTTTCTAATCTGCAAATTCTTCGCTTTAAAAAAATCACACCCAACATTTTATTTACATACTTGTTTTTTGAAAATCGTCGTCGTCAACGTGTATAAAACAGGATTCAGAGCGGAATTGATAGGAAGCACGAAGATCGCCAACCAGGCGTAGAGGTCTTGATGTATCGATATTCCTTAAATTAACACACGTTGTAAAAAAAATAATAAACAACATACTCATTGTAAGCTTTAAATACGAAACATTTTACCTGAAAGTGCGACTATTTTGACGAGAATAACAGGCACCCAGCAGAGACAGTCGGTGATAACAATAATACCGAATCTCTGGGCCACCTTGTCAGTATCTTGGCTCTGCCTGGTGGATCTGCAGGCGACGCCGCTGGATTTGATTTCGTTGATCATGCGAAAGTACGCGTAGCAAATGAACACGAGCGCGAACGCGTTGATCAGGATGAACATCGCCGCGGAATACTGCCAACCCTATCAACTCCAGATCCATCAAAATTCTTTTACCAACATACCGGTTTCCGACGGATACCTTGGCGTAGGGTTCGTGAATGTGCAGCGATAGACACACCCCGTTGTTCCCGTAGAACTCCTCGCCGAAGTACTCTTTGGTGAAATCGACGAGCGGAGCCAGGGCGATGATGGTGGAGAAGCACCAGAGGGTGATGAGCGTCACCAGGGCCATCTTCATCGAGGGCTGCTTGCGGGCCAGCGGTTGCGTCACCGATATGAACCGGTCCCAGGTGACCAGCGTTAGGATCAGAACGGAGGATTCGCAGGACAAGGTGCTCAAAAAACCTGCGCAATTGTTAACAGTAAATCCCTTAAGAGCGGCATTAAATCGTGGTTCTGTTTTTGAAGTTTTCACTATCGCGTTTAAAATAATATTCTCTCTTAACTTGCTGTTTTCGGGTACTCACCGCATAATTTGCACGTGTAGCTGTGCCTCCAATTGTACTCGAATTTCAAGTAGACTCCCCTGTAGTGGGAGTCTCCGGCTGCGATGATGAAGAGGTAGATTCCCATGAGCAGATCGGATAGGGCGAGATTTCTGAGGTACAGGGAATGCACTATGTTGGTTTTGGGCGCGAAACGGCGGCAGAGAAGTACTATCAGGTTTCCGGTGCAGCCTATTGCACCCATCACCCATACGCTGAAAGAATATATACAACTCTGATGAATCACAGGATGTTAGATTTTGGTATTAGGTTAAGTACAATGAGAATAGCAGGACCTACCAGGTCCTGAGGACTGGATTGGCCAGCATGTGCTCCTGATCCGATATTCCATCGCCTTTTGGGTAACAATTTCTGACGTGTTGAGCACCAGAACACATCTCAAATCGATCGAAATATCTAAAAATATATATCGGAGAGTTTCTTCTAATTTTAATGATCATTCTGGATCAATAATAACAAAAGTTTGAAATAAAATTCAATAAAAAAGGTAGTCAATTTAGAAAAGTATCAAGTATATCCTTTAGAAATCCTGACCACTTCCTTTTATTTCATTTACTGATATTAGTCCTTACAATTGTAGCTCTGAGATTACGCAGTTGAAAAACAAGTCGAAAGAAGAATCTCGGATATTTTTTTTCATTCTCTTATATCCGGGTTTTTATTGTTATTAAACCACTTGTTCAGATTGCCAAATCGTTTTTTTTTTTCCGTAGGTATGCATTGAATTTGTAATAGAAAATAATGTAGTGAATGGAATCTTATTTGGAAGCGGAATTGAAACTAGGAATGAATGAAGAGTAAAATGAAAAGTCCATAATGATGGCGCACGAAGAGCAAACGGGAAAAACCCGCATTTACTTAAAAATTTTATTCCTGACAGATTAAGGAAGGTGGAAGGACTGAGCAAACAAAATACAATATTTTAACACTCTAATACTCAGGATTTCTCTTTGGACAGTTCTCGCAGCTTTATTTTTGACAAAAAGTAAATATTTTACCATTACGTTTTAGGTTGTTTTTCCATTTTCAATGGTGTTTTTTTTAGGAATAAAATTTGTATTTAATCCGTACATGTAATATTTTATTTAATTTTGAACTTACATCGTTTCCAAATTAAGTGATGATTCCAGTATTCTCTTATCCAACGATCTGAATTGATTACCATCGAGTTTCCTGCAATAAGGACATTTATCGGCGGGTTTCAAATTTCGAATCGAGTTATGACAACCGTATTGGAAATGTTACTTACAGAGATTGTAAATTTGGAACATCTTCGAATACCCCCAGTTCTATTGATTTAATAAAATTGTTATTTAATGTCCTAAAAACCAATACAATTTAATTAAGCACTTTTCTTTTTATTGTTAATTAATTTCAATCCCACAGTTAACTTACAATGCTTCCAAGGAAGATAAATTGGCGAATGTTCCGTTTTTCAGTTCAGTTAAGCGATTTGTCGATAAAAATCTGAAAAAATAATCTTTAAGGAAATCTGTCCTTCAGGTAATCATTCTCCAAACTCGCGCAAAAGAACATTTAATTTACAGTCTGAGCAAAAATCACCTTATTTCTATAAAAAAAAAACCTCAAAGAACAATCTTCGATACTTCCACCAAATTTTCCTAATTCGTTTGCAACGCTACTGAAAACGTCTGGAAATAATGTCGAAGCGCTTTTAGGGGACGCTAAAGCTCTGTATTCATGCTTTATATCCTACATATACACATCGCCTCTTTTTCGTTGAAAGCAATTTATTTTGAAATCGACTTAAAAATGACTTGCAGGTATTTTTATATAAGCTTTATATATCTGTTCCTGACTGAAGTTTATTGCTTTGCATTATTTAGAATATGATTTGAATATTTGCTTTGATATCATTTGATTTTTTATTATATCTATAGATAGGTAATTGAGAGTGGAAGCTCGAAAACAGTGTTAAATTTAACACGATTTACTGGAATTTCAAACCAAATGAAAGGGTGAAAAGTGACCTAATTGGAAAATTACAATACTCACAAACTTTTCAAACTCGTTAAATTCGAAAAACATCCCGGATCCATCTCGTTGATTTTGTTCTCCATTAGGGATAATTGCACCAATGGCAAATTGGGAAAACTATTAACTTTCACGTGCGATATTGCATTCTTTTGTAAATAACTGTAATAAATAAATGAAGGGTTAAAATTACAACGACAAAAAACCTGAATTTTTGTATATTTGATTATTCTCAAACTTTTCCAAAATAAAAAAGTAAATTAAAAATTTAATGAAGTTTCAAAATATCAATCGTAAAATTAAATAAATAGTACTCACAGAATTTTGAGGTTTACTAAAGGTTCAAATACTTCTGAATCTATTTCTGATATCTTGTTTGATCTCAAATCTCTGAAATAAAATCGGTTACATTGGGTAAAATATAGAGGTGCAATTTATATTTTCCTGAAGCTCTATTAACCATTTATCAAATTGGAGTCCATTCAGTTAAAGCACAAACTATCACTAGCAGGATTCTGGGGATGCAAGAGGTTCAACTTTTTATGGAATATTATATTAGGCCTACGTATTATGTATAAACTTCTTCCAAGGGCAAAATTTCTTTAAGTTACAGAAGAATCACCCTGTATATAATGTTATTTTTGAAGTTTAGAGTCACAGACAAGTTTAAAAAAGAAAATGATTAATAGGTATAAATTACAAGTTCGAATCGATAGGGGCGAGTTTTAGAAACTACTTCAACATTGTTGATTAATACATCTCCTGTAAATATGAACTTTTGAAAGGTTATCGATTTCTGATGGAATATAGTTTCATAAGTTGCACATAAATCATACTTTGAGTTTCGCGAATAGAACCTTCAGGTGATTTAAATTATTTCCCAGTAGGAAGTAGAGAGTATAATATACGATACTTTGATAAAAAAATTGCAAACTTACAATTCTATGAGGTGCTTGAGATTGGCAAATGCATCTGTGCTAATCTTCGTTATGTGGTTGAACATAAAAGACCTAAAAAATTATATACTCTTTTGAATATGTTCCTTAAGAAACTTGTGAGGAATTCTAATAACGTACAGAAATAATTTCTTTATATTTTGTAGAGCTAAAAAATTTTTGTTATATTGCACTTACAGAAGCTGTAATTTATTTCGGATCGGAAAAATGTTCTTCGGGATAAATTTGATGTAGTTGTTATCTAAATATCTATAATAAAAATTGCAATAAGTTTTATAACGAGAGAAACAAACTAAATTTTTAACCAAACTTTATGAATTAGTTAAGTAATTAAATAAGGCTTACAAGCTTGTAGTATCCTGTAATTGGAAGAATGCCCTTTCATGAATTTCTTCTATGTTACAATATCTCAACATCCTAAAACACATTAAATTAGTTCGAGGAAATAATTTCCTTCAACTTACATTTTTTCCACCGGCTCGGAAAGGTATTTCATGGATTCTGGAGTTAAATTTTTGAAGTTATTTCCAGTCAAGTCCCTGAAACCATAGGCGTATTTCCTCGAATAATAAAAACGTTTCAACAATACTTACAATAAATAAATCTTCGCAGAAGGAAGATCATCCGGAACACTATCCAAGTTTTGGTGTGTGCAATATAAATCTTCATTCCGGCATTGGCATGTACCATTGTACACAAATGCTACAAGAGAAGAAACAAATTTAGATAAATTATAAGTATTTTATGGTTCCTTTACTTTTTTTTTATTATAGAACCTAGCTTTACTCGTGTATGAACTAAAGGTATTATTAAAAAAATCATTTTAAAGTTCTTACAGCAAATATTTCCGCTCCAGTCGTCTTGTTCTGCTGCTGGATTCTTCCGGAATAAATGATCATAATATTCGTCGTCATGCTGATCATCTGTAAAATAACTTTTATACATCTAGATGATCCAAAATAAGTAACATAAGAATCAGCAATTTAAATTTTGTGTTACTTCCAAGTTAGAAGATGTATCATTTAAAGTTATACATGCAAATATATCAAAAAATAACAAACCGCAAGCTTGTTCATCACTTCCATTGGGACAATCATCCTTTCCATCGCAGTTTTGGTGCTGAGGAACGCAGATTGTATGATTAGCGCATTGGAAATATCCATCTGTGCAAATTCCTTTCGGAATTGTCTTCATAAACTCTGAAAAAAACATCAGGAAATAAATTTTGAAGTATTGATTTTAAATTGTAAAATCAAATTATGCATATAAAAGTATTTGATGATATTTTGTGTACATTTTCCTACAACTTTTTTAAATGATCTTGCATGAATTGAGCAATTAATTTAAATTTTATTCGACATATTCCCATGTAAATATTGTAGTGTTAATGGTAAATAATAATAAATCGAATAGGAATTTTTGATTCTACACAATGCCCTAATTTGGATAATCTCCAGCTATGCATATGCTTACGCGGTTTATCAAATCAGGTCACTCCAGCACCAGCACCAGCATGTAATAGGTAATCTATAATAGATAAACCGCTAAGTCCAATGTAAAATCAACCGATTTTAATTGTCCTGACGATCCGGATTTAATGCAGCAATTTAACATTTTTATTGCCAAACACTAACCGCCATCGATTACCGAATCGTAAAATGAATCTGGTTTTAATGGCAGTCGTCAAATCGATCGTAATGCGTGTATGAACTTACCGTGCGAAAAAACGTGCAATAAAATTGTATCTAAAGCCAATAAAATTGCGCTCGAACGCTATCGTTTGGAAAACTAAAATTTTGAATTATCAGATGTATAAAGTGTGTGAGAGCTGTTCTGCAGAAAATCTCTCTATCGTGCATTTTTATTATGCCATCGAGTAAACGTGCTACCAGGTTTTAGTTTTTAATGGCACGAATTTGACTAAAACGAAATGCATGTTTGACGATGTCTAATTTTCAAAATTCTCACTCAGAACTTTGTGAATATTTAACGTTATGTTCACATTACCTTGCGACAAGTAAGGTTGTTTGGTCGAACTTAAAAAGCATTTTCGTCCCATGGATGCTTCCCGAACTGAAAATGCCTATAGAACATGACAGCGCTATATTAATAAATAAGCGAACAGATTACGCCTTATGGGGTATTTTCCTGGTGGAAAACAAGCAAAATTTTCGATTAAAAGCATTGAAAATTTACCTGAAAAGAGTCGCATAAAATTACTAACACAGCTTGTGTTGTATGAAAATTTTACAAAAAACTTTTCCCAAAGTTTTCCGATCCTTTAAAGCAAGTATAAATTTCGCGTTTTAAAAAATATATCCTGAATAAAATTCGATTTCGTCATCTTTTCATCATATTTTCCATTAACTTGCTGTTAGTTTCGACTTTCGGAGCAGGTATACCCACTCAACTTCAGCTATTAACGCTTTATTGAATTTTGCTTTAATGAGCAATAAATTAAAAGTTTTAGTTAATATCGGAGCTAATAATCAATTTGGGAAAAACTGGAAAAACCTCTTTGAAGCGGCGACCCGAGCACACGTGGAAACTTTATATAATATTTATGAAACGTTAGTAATTACACTTGAATCATTTAAGTGTAAACATTTTCAGGCGATCAAAGAAAAATTATTCTTTGCACAGGTTTATGTAAATTCAGTTAAAATTCAGTTTCTACGGAAATTTGTATCTACTGTACAGTGTGTTTTATTTCACTTACAATTTACCTCAAGATGTTTCTCTGAGTATTAGGCGCAGGGGCAAAAAAATAATGACCCTGTACAGGGGATAATTTCCTGCTCTTACGCGTACCCGTACTTGGGCATTGTTAACAATACCAACAACCGGAATTAAGGTGTTCGAAGTAAATGCGACCAAATCCCATCCATCATCACCGTGCCTAATCCCTCGTCTCCATCGCTATCGGTGAGTTACCAGTTGCAAGTAAACCCTCGTTATATCGAATTTGCAACTTAACTGGGTTCATGACAGACGCCATGGTTGCTCTGGAGAACACCGGGGATTTCGACGAAATTCTATCCGAAACGCGCCTGCATGTCACTGTTGGTAAAGGGGAATTCAAACTAATTCTTTTCTGATGCTTCAGCAGTGGGTGGAAAGATGTGTGTGATCGAGGCGATTATTAGTGTCGAAACAACACAAGAAATAATTAAAAATGCTTATTAGTTAATGGATAAGGTGGTAAATATTCCTCGGTGATCCCCGGTGATTCCTGTCCCTTTTAGGGACACCGTGTATAATATTGCAGAGGAGTGTTCGATGTATTTAGCTGTGTTTATTCAATATATTTGGAACTATTTCATTATGATGAGAAGCATCCCTCGAGACCGTACGAAAATAGGAAAATTCCAATGTGAATTGGGTGTTTTCGTATAAATAGCGCGAACACTAGCGCTATTAAAGATTAAAAAAATTCCGGAATAAAATTGAATAAGTACCAGTGTAATTAATTTACTACTTAAACTTGTCTGGGTAAATTGGATTTTTTGCAAATGTACTTTCGTTTACAGAGTTAACAATGTTACATCTAAAGTGGCTCGAAAATAAGCATTTTCTCTGTCCAAATATATTATTGATTTACTGCACTGATGCGAATCGAAGTAATTCCTAAGATATATTAGAGGTTTTCGTCACGCGAAAACAATTAACTCTTCGGAAATCGTCCTCTTGGGATATATACTCCCTGCAGATAGAGAGTGTTTCATAAAAATATAGATTATTATTGGAAATTAAATGAGGTGTGTTCGAAAAAAAAATAAGACATCCTGTACATGAATAAAATTTATTGCGTAACGACCTTGTTTTGTCTGTTAAATTGCTTCTAGAATATTGATACAAAACAAAAAATAGGCTATAGTTCATGTAAGTTAAACAGCATCCTTGCATAAAGTAAACAAGTCAATAAAGGCTGCTAGCCATAAAGCCGAAGGATCCTCCTCGGCTTCCGAAGCTATTTCCATATCAAAGATTTTCTCATATAAATATTCAGGCCTTTCGTTTAGAAATTGTCATCTTGGCCATCCGTTGATAAATGAAAAGTCCCTTAAAATGCTAATGAATTAAGTATGAAACAGGGCATTGATTTATGTTGCTTCCGAAAGGAATTTCGGATACAATAGGGCAATCGAAAAAATAATCAGCCTATATATTCTTGTGTATAGTTAATGAGGGGTTTATCACAGTTTTCACATAGTATAAATAAAAAGAGGATAAACTGTACAAAAGTACCTCCCTTATTAAAGTTTTAAGCCGATTATTTTAGGAATGTCATCAAGTGCAGAACAGTCTGAATTCAGATTACCCATTTTCCATAAATTCGTTTTGAATGCGGGTAAATGTATCGAGTTGGAAAAGTATTCCCCGAATTTAAGTTTTAATCCTAAGCCAGGGAACTTCTACGGTCTACTAGAAAACCGAATGATATGAAAATCTTCTAAGAAACGAAATTACAATAAAATTAAGTTACCTATTTCATCGTTAAATCCATTTAAAACAAATCAATGTTTGCTTTTACTGGAATTTTCTCTCACGAATCGGAAAAATCTCGAATAACCGAGCTCTTTATTTTCAATTAATATTCTAATTATTTCTTTTCGTTTATTTTTCCTGAGCGAGTGTTGGTTGATTAAAAATATCATTTTTTCCCTTATATTTACTTACAATGACTGTTATTCTTAGCCAAGCAAAAACCGTTGGCGTAATTAACATAATTAAATTTCATTCATTTCTGATTCCGCACGAGTAAGGCCTGCACCACCAGGCGTGAATATTAATGGGATCAAATTAGAGGTGTACTCAATATTTAAGCCCAAATAATGGCCACCATGAAAAGGGTTTCATCTTGAATTTTCTACTTGATTGCACAACGTATTCCAGTTGAGCAATTTGCCTAACGTATTTTTCAATAAATTCAACAAAATAGATATTTGGCTAGTATAATTAAAAATCATTTTGGTGTTACTGGTAAACTTTTTTAATTGCATTTTTTGTTATCGTTTATAATTCAATTCTAGCGACTTTCTTCAAAGTTTTTAATATGTTCGTATAATAAATTTCCCGGTATCTCGAATTGTAGACAGCTTTTTTACATATTTTCGGGGGTATATATTTGAATAAACTTCTTGCATATCACCCTGTAGTAGAAGCGCAGAAGACAATCTACAAAAGTCAATATCCCGAAAGCTGTTCACCCCAAAAACGAAAAAAAAAGCGTCTGCTCAGAACTTAGCAGATCATTTTCCAGCGAGGCAAAGCTGTAAAAAACTTGCATGAAGGAAAACGAAACAACAACAGATTAGGTGAAAGGAAATTGTGTATGTCGAATCGACACTTCGCGAGAGTACAAAAAACATCACTGTCGTGTTAAAGCCGGATCAAAGGCGTGCACAAACTCCTAAATAGATTGATCTGACGTCCTCTATAATTGGAATTCCAAAATTTCAATATTTACTACGACTAATTACTTGTTTAAATTTATGTTTGATAACGAACAGGAGCCTTTGTAAAGCATTCGTTGCCTTATTAAAGTTACTTTAAAGCAACGAAATTGTAAATTATTTAATATTCGTGCATTATTTTCATCAATTCATAGCTGCGAGTTTCTAAAGTGGTTGATCCAAAAATCGCACGTTTGTGATTACTTGAATGGAAGGAATAAAATCGTTTTCCCCAAAAAATTCCTACCCATTCAACGTCTGAACGTTGATTGGAATATTGAAAAGCCGGAAAGTTAGATTCTGCTTGAACATCGAGTGAGATATGCCTTTGACAACGCAGGAGCGATTTTATTTCGTGCTCGCAATTTCATGAAAAATTTTTGCAGACGGAGTTTTTTTCTGGTCTAGCTGAAAAATCCGCGATCGCCGGGATTGCGGCTAGATAGTCGACGATATGAAAATTTTGCCATGTTTATTAGCGCAAACCGCAAAAGATGCTAACACATTAAATAGACCGAAAACGTGAGCGTCTGGAAAAATACGACCTTGGCTCGGCATCCTTGAATTTTCGTTTAATATGGCGAAAGCCTGGTAAATATGATAGCTGTTAAATTATAACTTTAGTAGATGTAATTTACTTCCAAGATCGTAAAAAAAAGGAAGTAGGGTTTTATATTTGAGGTCAGCATTACGCTCCGTGGGCGTTACTTACAACAAATAAAAATAACCCTCTATTCATACACTATAAAAGTCGCCTTCCTCTAAAAAAATATAATATTCAATCAGTACTTACTATCGCATATTACCTATTTGTTCGCCGCAAATTCGGATTTTCCGAGCATTGTTTTCCTATCATACGTTTGAATTATCTAGATGTAGACTACCGAGCTAACGCTGTTACTTTTAGTATGATAAATATTTTTGTTGTTTCAACGTCGAGTAGCGATCGGAATGAAACTGGAGAATTCGATTACTGCATTTCCGTGGAAATGCTCGGCACGATATTGGTCAGAAGATGATAAAGAAAATATTATATCACAGTTACAATTTGCGGTTTGATTTTCTGTCAGGCGTGATTTGTATTTATTGCTCAAAGATGAGAAAAGGATTTTTGAAAGACATGCTAGAGGATTAGAGGCTAAAGGAAAGAGCAAGTGATAGGATAGGAGGCCTTAGCAAAAAACTACTACTTTTCATTTTATTATTCCAGGAGAGCGTAGATTTATGAATTCGATTAAATGTTTCCTATTTAGATATTCCGAGTAGACCCTCGTTCACTTAGATATTTGCTGTGGAAGTTTTCTTTTAAATCTCATCCTATAAATTTTAAATCAGCAATAAAAGTGGAGCAAATCAGTATCTTATGCAAATGGTATTTTTATTCCCCGCGTTTTATTCCTCAATAAAAATTGGTTTAAAATAGGACAATCAACAGTAATTGTATAAGTGAAGAAACTTCGAATTAGTTTAATATTGATTCAGTTCTTTTGTAGAAGCCTATCAGTACCTAATGTATTTTATTTAGGCAATATTATTCCGAGTGGAAATGAACACGACAAGCCGGGGATACAAAAGAAACACATTTTACATTTATATTTAAATATTAAATTGATGTCAATCACATTGAGGGTCTTCAATTAATTAATTTCCCTTCGGGTTTCATTATTAAAATACGAGCGACTAACGCCAAATGGTAGTAAGAATAAAGAGACACTTAATGTAGGTATGTATAGTACGGGTCCATATCGAATAACTTTTTAAAGTCTTATAAGCGCAAATAAATTTACTTCCACAAACAAGCCACTCTAGAAGCGAATCGCAAAGGTAAATATTCCAAGAAATCAGCAAGAAAATGCCTTAAAGGACATTGGAAAGAGATTAATAATAGGTTCATTTTGAGAGAAAATCTCGGGGAATTCATTTATTAAATATAGTATTTACCACTGCTACGATTTATTAATTAATTTCACGGAAAACAATAAACCAAAAAAAAAAAAACTCTGGAATCATTAGGTCAAAATTGCAACCGAAAGATAAACTAGCTAAGTACAAATTTCAACAGTGTTTAATGATGTCTAAATACTAACTAACAGTTTTCCGGGAAACCAGTTGGACTAAATTGAATCTAAATCGCTTCGTTAAAATTGTTGAGCGTTAGTAGGTGATTGGAGCTGTCCATTTCTCTAATTAGTTTCACAAACTAGCTCAATAGGAGGTAACATATCGTATTGCCTCGACTGCAATGTTTGTAAAATCAGTAGGTAATTAAAACACTTATATGAGCAGAAGTTAAATTCGATATTTCATAAAGCATTTGTTGATACGTTAGGATAGTGCATAATTTAATCAATTTTTTGTGGGATGTTTTTCGTTATGCGTTGTAAAATATGTTATAGATGATTAAAACGGGTGAATTGCACTGCAATTTATTTGATTTAATAGTGGATAGTTTATTAAATTAGAGGGAAGCAAAGCAAATGATTCCAAATTTGCCCTATGAGTGTCTTCTAGCGGGGTAATATTTCATTGTGTCAGCGCCGCTGATAAACTCTCTACAATGGTACCAACTCCACCATTTTTCTTCTTTGGAGTAATTGCGGAGAGTAAATTGAATCATAGTATGGGGCGCAATGGAGTTTTTCGAACTATACATAGAAAGATATAATGTCGTTCGAGGGACATTAAAAATAAAATGCATTCCTCTACGCGTATACTCTATCCAGCGATGTTGTCGCTGTAAAATTAATTAAACTTTTCGAAGCGTATTTTCGTTAGAGCGGGTGCCGTCCAACTCCTAAAATTTGCTCTAATTTTATTCGAATTAAACAGTTAAGGAAGTTAATGAAATTCTTCGATTGCTAAAACAAACATCGTCGACCATTGAAATAGTATAGCGTCGAACAATTACGTACTCAACTTTCATTTTGACTCGATGCTGAAGTCAGTTAAAGCGCGAAAAGCATAGTTTCCAAAGCGTCTTTCTTGTAAAGAGTTTCCCTATTTTCATTTGGACCCCTGACAGTATACTCAAACATTTTTACAATGTACCTAAATAATCACTTAAAATGTTCTCGTTTTTATACTTCGATTGACCTCTGTTTGAATGTTACATTACAGTGATTTTTTTGGGAAGAACATATTACTGCAGTAAAATTCACACAATGCAATTCCCTCGAACTCGTATATTATGGGAATGAGAGAAAATTGCCAATAAATCCCATTTTATTGTTACTACTTAACAGTAACTTCCTTAAAAGTGCCACAATCATGTGTAACATGAACCAGACAATTTATTTGTGGAAATATTGAATTTGTTATCCTTTCATGTTTATTATTGCCCGTTATTTTCATTCACTTAATTTAATAGAAAGCACGATAATAGATGATAAAAATCATGATAAAATGTTTGTTTATAATAAAAATTAACAAATCTGTGTATACGTACCTGCCGCTTTGATGCAATCGATACTGAAAGCGAGTGAAAGTCCAATGAGAATAAACATTTTTAGGGATTTATTCTCTATTATTCCACGCTATTTTTCAATCGCACGCTCAACAGTTTTCTGGCTGTCACTGTTGTCCCATTTTATGGTCGCTTTTATATCTACAAAAAGAAAACAATACAAAATATTTCTGCATATTACCTAAAAAATGCACAAGTACATGTAAACAATATATGGCAAGGATAGCTCCTTATTTTTTATTATAAAACAAAATTTATAATAACTTTAAATTTTTAATTATTTAAACCTTGGTTAATTTAATATCCAAACATCTTCAGGCAAATTTTGTAGTTACATGAATAATTAATTTGTTAACATCGCAGGAGATTTGTTTTAATTACCCTGTTTTAGTGGACAATAAAAAAGTGTTAATGGAACTACCTACACGCTTTTACATTGCGGTTTATGGACAATTATTGTGACCTAATGCATTAGGCATGTGTAAAGTTTCCGATACAGAGGATTTCTACAAAAGAAACAATGATTTACATTTCTGAAGTTAAATAATAAAAGTCGACTTTTTTTATTGCTCGACTCCTATTCGAATCGAATCTATTTTCGAGGATTCGACAGAACATTTCAGCGTTTTCGTTTACGTTTCGGAGGCAAGAAACAAATGCGTGCAATTAATTATTCAAACGCGCACTTCAATAGCATTATTTCGAATATTTTAGTTTACTACTCGTATTTTTATTTTCCGCTAGACTACTGCATGTTTAATTTTAAATGAATCCTTAGGAATTTAAAAGCGTGTAGCACCCAGTATAATAAAGATCGCAACATTCTCCAATGGAATAAACGCTAGTTATTCGAACCGAAATTTCTTTCCAAAGCACCGATGAGGCGCTTTGCTTGGGTTATGCGAGATTAACTTCCACTTCGAAATACGAGATCCTTTCGGGTCCACTCTTCCCGGTTTTTCAAAGGGACGAGGGCGGAAGGCAGGAAGGAAGGAAAAGCTTTCTCGGGGGATTCGGCTGTGGCACGAAACGCACTAGACCAGAATTCCTCTATTTCCAAGGTTAACAAATGAGGATTCGGGCAATTTCATGATCATCTCATTAAGGTTTTTGCGGGACGGTCTAAGATTATCGCCTAAGACCAGAAACTTCCCTTTTAACTTATTGATTGAAAAATATATCGGGGCAACTTTGATGAAGATTTACCATACTTTATCTACTTAATTTATTAATAGAAATATGTAGTGAATGAGGAAATTTCATTAAAAAAATATACCTAATGAGTTTAACTTATGCAAGTCTCTATTCGTTATTTTCATTCGGATTACTGGCGTTTACTTAAGTATTTTACAAACGCTTTTGATGTACTGTAAAAATAGAACGCTACCAAATAAAATTAAGCTTTTAATTAAGGTTTATTCTACCGTTAATGGTTCTGTCAATACGAGTTATTATGTAGTTTCGTTGAGTGAATGGGACACTTCGTCTGTTATAGCAATTACAAGTTATTTCAAGTTATTGCAAGTTAGTATAGGTTATTATAAGTTTTGAAGGGCAGGTGTTATGAAAATGTGAAATGTCGTCTTCTAGTTATTAGTTAGGTTATTGTGATATAAATATTATGTTATTTATTATTGAACATGCATAACATCAAAAACTATTAAATGCATTAATTATGTAGAAAAAATAAACTTTCGCATTGGGAGTAAAAACTTACCTAAAACACACACCATATCATTGAAATATTTATAGCTCACTAGTTAATTACGTTAAAATATAAATTTTTCTTTTAACGTGTTAAATGAATGTGTATATCTAATTACAAACATTCTAATCAGCTACTTATCTAAGAATTTGTTATTATTCTGGAAAACCCGTATCAATAATTTTATTTCATTAATGTAATTAAGTACATATCGCGAAATCGGTAGTTTATAGAAGAAACACATTACGAAAATAATTCCCGTAACTACACAAGTCTCATCATTTTTATTGCGTACATAAACCAATTTAATAGCCATAAACAAAATACACCAACGGCGTTCGGTTTTAGTATCACAGTGACAATGGGATGTATCACATCAGAAAGATGGAATTTTATTGCTCTCGTCTTATTTTCGCCCGGCGAATGTTGGGAAAATTTTTGTTTTTCGCGCATTTGCCAAAGTTTCTCTATAAAAAAAGTACTTTAAAAAAGTTATCCCAGCAGTGTGGGTTTATAAAAACCTCGATAAGGAAATGAATAATTTGTTTTTAACGAAATCATCTCATCAGGAGACAATTTTAGAATCTTCATTTGGTAGAAAATTGTATTAGGTTAATTATAGAGTACACTCAAGAAGTAGGCTTAATTATAATTAAAATTGTAATTATTCAAGTAATAAAGTTAGTAAACAACAATCTATCAGACAAGTGCATAAAAATGGCGGCGAAATACCTCAAGTAGGTAATCATTCACCACTTATTAGAATGAATTACAAAGTTTCCTCCGTCAGAAACTTACAAAATTAAGAAGAGCCATTAAACCGTTCCTCGTAACAATTCTCAACTTCGTTGGCCACCCGACGTCGGGAAACTCGCGAAAACCGCGGAGTTTTCCGTTCCAGCACTCCCGTTTATCCCGACACACGTGCTATTCGCAGGAAGGAAGCGCGCTTACTGAAACTACTGGATGTCTTTGGGCAACATCCCGCACAAAGCGACAGACGACAACTTACACAGCAACATATGTCGCCGCAACCATGCATTATTCGATGCACTGGAATCTCGCTCCAATGAAATAATCCCTTTTATATAGAGAATAGAGCCTACAGTGATAAAATTTCATTAAATGATTGTGGATTATGAGCAACAATTATCTCTGTCGCCTGGCAATAATTAACTTCCAAGTCCTCTATATCTTAACAATTAATCATTAAAATGTATCGAACAAACCTTGATATAATCAATCAATCTAGTAAATTAAAATAACGATCAATCTCTTTTAGAACTTACTTCGTAAGAAAATAGCAAGTGCATGGTTATTAATAAATTTAATCAATAAAATATAGGGACTGTTTTAATCGGATCCACTTATGTTGCGTTGTCCGGGATCAAGGAAAGAATTTCTCTATCGGAGCAATCTGGAAGAAAGGGAATTCGCTGGGGATTATTTTACACAAACTGCAACAGAATGCCACATAACGTCGTTACGGCTCGAAATTGGATTAAATCCCGCAATCTTCGTATACAAGAGTTGTTAAGAAATTCAGTCGAGAAGTTAACGATCCGTGCATAGAAGTTTTTGGAATTTTCGCGCTTTTCTTGCCGATGTTGTTTGGAATTTATCTAATTACTGTAAATATGATAGGATGTGAAAAATTAATACGAAAATCTAATCCTCGGTCAAATAATAAAAATGCCTCATTTTTTGACTATTCCAAGCTTTTAAACTTAGATTAGCTTTACTCTGCGAAAACAATTTAATTGATTAAAAAGATAATTAGCTGAAGGAAATTTCCAGACTTCTAAAATATTCGGTAATGAAATCAACTTCGAAATTCATTGAAATTGGAGCATTGTAATAGAGCTATGTAATTATTGATTAATTCAAAAATTAATGTACATCTAATTAATCAAAATTTTAAAACGATTTCATTTAAACTTTGTTTGATGTACAGCTTTGTTATAATTAGTTTCCACAACTTCTAAATGCATACATAAAATATCTACGTGTATTGAATAAAACATTTTCAAATGGTTCAAATTATAAGTTCATCCTACCTATATCATACCTACCTATATTTTTCGTACCTATTTTGTATAAGTTATCAAAAATTCAAATTCTTTCGAGAGTTCAAACTTGTTCAAGTTCTATGAAAAATTATTTCATTACTGGATTATAAAAATTCTTCACTATTTGTATTAAATATGTTAATAAGTCACTAAATTTGGGGCAGTTCACATACTCACATACACCATGTCAACTACACTCACTCAGTAATATTAGGATTTTGGTAAAATAATAAAAACCAAGTTTGCTTGATCGGTGTTCATTTATTGTGCAAATTCAAACATTAAATATAGTATTGCTAATTGTGCATACATAAAGTGAAATTTCGAATTTAATATATTTGTTGCTAGCTTAAGTAAATGAATGTACCAAAGCCACGAATGAGTAGGTCGATCTGATTAACTAAAACATTATTATTTTATTTAACTTTACACGTTTTAAAATGTAGATATTTAAAAAGTTTATACCATTAAATAGACCCTCATCGACATTATTCCGAGAGGACCAATGCTTAATCCAGTCATTTTCATGGATCTCATCATAACCAATATGAACATATATTTAATTTTTTGTGGTTTTTCGGTCCAATTGCTGTTGTATATAGAATCAGTTACATCATTGGCCTTAAATTGAATAAAATAGTACTAGTAACCGAACACACAGCTTAAGTATTTTAAAAATTAACCTACTGCAGAAGTTATTTCTTCAGCGAACCAATAATAGATAAAAAACTTGGATGAAATAATGCCTCCCAATAACAAGAAGAGCACTCCTATAGTAGGCGATAAACCCTAAAAATATAACAATATTTGTAGATCAATATTACAAAAATGCAATGTTTTCGAATATTGAATATTTGGAACTAACTCACTAGTATTTGCGGTAAAACACAAGCAGCTAATTGCATAGAAAGAAGTATGAATTCTGTAAGAGCTACAACATCCATGGTACTATTATAATCATCAATATATCTGCAAATAAAGAAGTTTATAATCGGCTTTCGAAATTCGCATTTGAGGTTTTTGTGGAGTCATCGACTAGTTTTGTGTTCTGTTCAAATGCTCATTGCGAAGAATTTTTTATAATAAACGTCAAATTTATTTGCTTTAAATAATTGAGGTAGTTCTCACCTTAAAATATATTGATGAAATATAATGCTCTCCCTTAAAACCAGGAACTTAGCTTCATTCTCATCACATCCAAGCTGGGTTTTGACTCTCAACTCAAACTTTTCCAAGTTTTCGAAAATGTGATTAAGCATTTTCAGTTGGGATACAATATATGTTTGTATACTGGAATTAAAATACTAACAATTATAAACGATGTTGCATGGCTATTATTTTAGTTTTAAGTTGTATGTTAACATTTTGCCTGTTACAAGAATGAGCTCCTTTTAAAGTCGTGATAAACAAAAAAATTAACAAGGGAAGAAAAAGAGAAAGTTAATGATGAAAATAAAATCTATACAAATATTAAAAATTACGTTACCTGAATGAATAACAGTCCGCACCCATAACCAGAAAAGTAACGGTGGTCGATACAGTTCCTTCAATGAATATTGTTGTTGCATAGTATTTGTCTCTGTCGATTGGGAACCACATTTCAATAATATGTGGTTTCTTGATTACATCAGTTTGTAATAATGCCGGGTCCGACATTTTGTAAGTCACGAAATAGAATGTTAAAAAGTAAAAGACCAAATCTAAAATTAGAAAACCGTTAATAAAAGCTTCTGAAGCTATTAAAATTGTTTTACTGATTCATTGTTTTGTTTACCAATATATCTACTACTCGTATATGTTAAATAAATACCTACATATACTTAAAAAGGTACTGTAGGCAAAGCAAATGGTATTATTTTTAGATATATAGGTGTTCTGGATATCAATAAAATCCTTATCGTCACCAATATAAATTCGTTTTTCGCTGTCTATAACACCCTTAAGTAGTTTCTTTATTATTGGTTTTCTTATACCATAAGCTCTTACTGATGCCATTGACCATAAGTTAGCAAGTGAAAAACTCGTTAATAATTCCGCTGTGATTAATAATGGTCTGTCTTGTAATAAAATGTAAAATTGGGCAAAACTACACAAAGTGACGCCAACAGACGAGTAAAATATTAATAGAGAAAACATTTTATAAACGATCTTCCAAAAGAGTGATAAGTTGTTGAATATATCTGGCCATACACCACCAAGTATTATGTACGGCAGAGCACTTTTCAGGTGTTTACATTTGGGCAAAATCTAAAAAGAATTAGAGGATAGTATGCATGATACTCTGTACATATAGTAATTAATAAATTATTTTCAAAATATATGCACTTCTATTGTTATTCATAAGTATGGTCTTACCCCTTCGGACGTCATCTTGGTGATAACTAACACGTAAGTAGTTTTAGCCTTATTTATAAGAAAAGGTAAAGTATGAAAAATTAATTACCTAAACCGATTCTTCTAATTAATGATTAAAAAGGAAAACCTACTGGAATCAGGTATCTAATGAAATAATAATTTGAATTGTATTTTATTTATACTACCTTTTGCAGGATAGAGAATTTTGCCACATGTTTGCTTGGATATTTGCTCTATGTTCTTTTTTAATTAAAAAATTCAAACCTTTTTGTTATTAGGTCATTAACAAGTTGAAAAGAAGTCGGTTTTTGAGAGAAAATTGAACTTCCATATGCAATATCAACAAATCTTACTGGCCACTCAGTAGGTACATTAGGAATTTGGTAAAATAATAATAAATAAATTTGCTTGCTCGGTGTTTGTTTATTGTGCAAATTAAAACATTAAAAATACTATTGCTTATGGTACATACAGTGGAATTTCAAAAATATATTTTGCTTAAAACAATGAATTAACTAATGTCACGAATGAATACGTCGATCTTATTAACTGAAACATTACTATTTTATTAAATGGTTAAAATGCATTTACCTAAATAGCCTTTACCATTAAATATACCCTCATCGACATTATACCGAGAGGACCAATACTTAATCCAGTCATTTTCAGGGATCTCATCATTACAAATTTATACATGTATTTAATTTTCAACGGTTTTTCGGTCCAATTGCTATTGTAAATAGAATCCATTACTTTCTGAGCCTTAAATTAAAAAATATGTACTTTTTACACTGCTTAGGTCACTTAAAAATTAACTAAAGTACTTCAGTAGTTATTTCTTCAGCGAGCCAATAATATATAAAAAACTTTGCTGAAATAATGATTCCCAAAGATATGAAGAATATCCCTATGACAGTTGGCAAACCCTAAAAATATTACAATACGTATAGATTAATAATAATACGGTAAAGCAATAATTTTCATAAGAAATGTCCGCACTATCCGAATATTATATGTATTTAAACTAACTTACTACCACTTTCGGTACAACACAAGTAGCTAATTGCAAGGAAAGAACTATGAATTCTGTAAGAGCAACAATATCCATCGTACTGTTATAATCATCAATGTATCTACAAATAAAGTAATTTAAAATCGCTTTTTTCACAATGTGCATTTGAGCAGTTCTACCCTCTGATCAAATGCTCATTGAAAACCCACTTACATTGAGTTGCACCCACTTACCCTAAAATATATTGATGAAATATAACGCTCTCCCTTAAAACTAGGAACATAGCTTCTTCTTCATCACATCCGAGCTGGTTTTTAACTCTCATCTCAAACTTTTCAACGTTTTCGAAAATGTGATTAAGCATTTTTAGTTGGGATATAATGTATGTTTGTATACTGGAATATAAATACTAATAATTATTCATATACAAGGTGTTAAGTTGATTATTAAAAATTATTTCACCTGTATGAAAGACAATCTGACCCCATCACTAAATAGGTAACAATTACTGTAAAAGCTCCTTCAAGGAATCTTGCTGTTGTATAATACTCGTCTCTGTCAAATGGTAGCCATACTTCAAGAGTATGTGGTTTCCTGATTACAGTTTCTTTTGTTAATGGGTCAATCACTTCAGTATTTATAATCAAGAATCTCGCAAGGCAAAACAACACATCTAAAATTAATAAGACAACGCCAAATGTCTCAAATATATCACATGAAGACATACAGTGTTAAAATTATTCTAATGATCCTTTTTTTTTGTTTAAAACAATGTATGTGCAAAATAAATACCTACACACAATCACAGAGCTACCGTAGATCAAACAAATAGCATTATTTTTAGATATATGGGAGTTCTGGATATCAATGAAATCCTTATCGCCACCAATAAAAATTCGTATTTCGCCATCTATAATATTCTGAATTAGTTTTTTCATTATTGGTTTCTTCAGTGCATTAGCTCTTGCTATTGTCATTAACCATACGACTGCATAACTTAGAGTCCATAGAAATTCACCGATTTTTGTTTGTATGTCTTGTATAAAAACGAAACATTGGACGATTAACCCAAAAGTCAAGCAAATAAAGAAGTAAAATACGAAATGAGAATATAATTTATAAATGACCCTCCAAAAAAATGATAAGTTGAATATAGTATCTGGCCATACACCACCAAGTATTATGGATGGCAGAGCAATTTTCAGGTGTTTACATTTAGGCAGAATCTAAAAATAATTATTTTTTATATAGTTAATAATAAAAATTATTAACAAAACACTAGCCCTTGTTTATTTATTGTTTATTAAAAATAGTATGATCTTACCCCTTCGAACGTCATCTTTGTGATAACTAACACGTAAGTAGTTTTTACCTTATTTATATGATATTACATTATGAAAAATTAATTACTTAAACCCGTGTTCTTATTAACGTTTAAAACGGAAATATCTACTAGAATCAGATTTTACCTATGCAGTAATGATTAGATTCGTTTACAGCAGGGCAGTGAAATTGAACAGGTGATGTAATGGTAATAATTATTTAATGTTTGTATATGTATAAGTAGGTATATAAACTCGTAGTATCTACACTTTTATTTATTAGACAATGCATAATATATGTCTGGAATAATTTTCTATCTTCTTTGAATTATCAATTAAAAACTTTTTGGTTATTACTTCAAATTTTATTCTCCCCATTATGATGAAATCCAATACTTTGGGGATGTCATAAATTAGCATAAGTTACTTAAAATTTTCTCGTCCCTAGCTGAAATACTGCGAATTTCAGAAATATTTCACTAAATTTGGAACAGTTTAAATACTTTTTATTTTATTTTCTGGTATAAAAAAAGATTTTTGGCGGAAAAACCTTAAAACCTACTGGAATCTATGCAATAATACTTTGTTATTATATAGATAGAAGTTCCGTAAAATAATGATAAATAAGTCTGCTTGCTCGGTGTTCATTTATTGTGCAATTTCAATCATCAAATACTACAGCTAATAGTGGCAGGTATTTCAAAAATATGCATTATTTAAAAGAATGAATGTACTAAAGCCACGAACGAATACGTCGATCTGATTATCTGAAACATTATTATTTTATTAAAATGGTTTTAAAACGTATTTAAATAGCTTTTACCATCAAATAAACCCTCATCGACATCACTCCAAGAGGACCAATACTTAATCCAGTCATTTTCATAGATCTCATCATTACAAATATAAACATATATTTAATTTTCAACGGCTTTTCAGTCCAATTGCTGTTGTATATAGATTCTGCCACTTTATCTGCCTTAAATATGAATGTAATATTTAATTGATTATTACCATACTAAATTTTCAAATGTACCTCAGACGTAATTTCTTCAGCATACCAGTAATATACAAAAAACTTGCTCAAAATAATTAGCCCCAAGAAAAGGTAAGATATGCCAATAACTGGTGGTAACCCCTAAAATTGGTACAATATCTTTAATAATTTGCTGAAATATTCATATTTGTATGAGAAAGTTTTGCACAGGTCATCTGATTGTTAATATTTTTACATGAAATTTACAGCCTTAAACTTACTATAACTTCTGGTAAAACACAAGCAGCTAATTGTGCAGAAAGAAGTATAAAGTCTATAAGTGCTACAATATCCATAGATTTGTTATAATCTTCAATATATCTACAAATAAGATCAAGTTTATATTATCAGCATATTTTACAATAATTATCATTTGACCAATTCTTGTTGACTAGTCTCCTTGAAGGTTATACTGGAGTAGTTCCTTACCCTAATAAAAATTGATGAAATAAAATGGTCTCTCTTAATACAATAAACATAGCTTCTTCTTCACCACATCCAATCTGTTTCATAACTCTCAGCTCAAACTTGTCCATATTCATTAAAATATGATTAAGCATTTTTAGTTGAGATACGACGTATGTTTGTATACTGGAACATGAATTTAATTATAATTATACAGCTTAAGAAGTCTGATAAAAATGCGATTTTTATGGGAATAATTTAGATGGATTTAATATAATATAATAATTTATTACCTGTATGAACAAACCTCTGAACCTATTAACAAGTAGGTAATCATGACTGTTAAAAATCCTTCAAGACTAATTGCTGATCTGTAGTGCAGGTCTTTGTCAAACGGTAGCCATATTTGGATAGTATGGGGTTGCCTGATTACAGTTTCTTTTAATAACGGGTCGACCACTTCGGAATTTATAAACATGAATTTCAAACTGAAAGCGTAAGTATCTAAAAATAAAAAATGCATCAATTAAAAGTTGTTACCGAGAGGTATGTCTTGCTTATAAAGCCATTAACATTGTTTTATTTACGCTATGTATGTATAATATAAACACCTACATAAGCTCAAAGTGGTAGAGTAGATGCCGCAAATGAAATTATTTTTGGATATATACGATTTTTGGATATTTATAAAATCCTTGTCGCCGCTAAAAAATATCCGTTTCTCGCTGTCTATGATACTCTGAATCAGTTTTTTGAACACGGGTTTTCTCAAACCGTTCGCCCTTGCTATGGCCATCGTCCATATGGTAGTAACAGAGAATCCCGACAGTAATTCTTCGATTTTCAATGGCCTGTCTTGTAGAAGAACGAAAAACTGGCCGGCGCAGCCCAAAACGATGCAAACAGAGGCGTAAAACATGAAATGAGAAAATGCTTTATAAACGATCTCCCAAAACTTAGACGAGTTGAATATATTTGGCCATACACCGCCAACGATTATATACGGAAGGGCGAATTTCAGGTGTTTACATTCTGGCACAATCTACAAAAGAATAAAATTATTAGCAACGAAACACCAGCCCTTGTGAAGGAACTCAAAGGAACCTTACCCCTTCGGACGTCATTTTGAGGATAACTAAGTACACGTAAACATTTCGCACCTCTTTTATATATGGACAATTTAATAATGAAAAATTTATCCCTTAACCCCCTCGCCTAATTACTGGTTGAGACGGAAATTCCGCTGGAAACAGCTACCTATGCAATTATAAGGATATAATAGGATAAATTGCTCTAGTTCGATCATGCTGATAATAAATTATTTAAACATGTGTGTATAATTATAACACATACCACTTTTAAATATGTATAAAACCGAAAAAAAACTTCTATGTATTATCTATTTCTTTGCTCTGTCTTAAGTTTTTTTCACCAGTGATTCAATAATTTTAACGAGCAGTTTATAATATTATGTATTAATTCATATAGTTTATTTACATCGTTTTAAGTTGTGCTGAAATATTACTTTTATATCATACAAAACTCTTAAATAATAATTATTATAACACATATCTACTATAACATTATAAATAACATAGTATTTTCGAAATAAATTGTACGAAAATTTTAAAATCGATAACTAATTTTGGTATAGAAAGCTATATCGTACAAATTGAGCACTTTGTATTATCGAGTCTTTGATATTGACTTAGTTTTTAATCACGCCTATTAATAAATTAAATAATAATATATCACTAGAATTGAAATCTTTAAACTAACGCAAAATCTTTACATTCCTCTTAATGGCAAATTTAACGTAGCCTTTGATGAATATTTTTCGTCTTTCGTCTGTTCTACTTCGTTTTCTTCAGTCTCCGTTGCATCATCATCAGAGTCACTAAAAACGCAAAAAATTAACCGACTTCTAAAGACTCGTTTCTGGTACTTACGTATAATAATTATGCCTATTTAAGAATAAGGATTTCGGACAATCTTTCATGTAAGGCCAACATTCGCCCAATCCTCCTTGCCGACCTGAACCAGAATACTCCGCTTCAACGTACTCATTTAATTTATCAGCGTACGGTGATTTACTTGCGCTAGAATACAAAAAAGTTCTTGTTTTTAACAAATCGTTTTCAAACAAATAAAGCGCAGGAAGAGAAAGATATGAATGAGAAGGTAGAGCAAATGAAAATACTGAAACACACTACAAAAGTGTCAAGAAAATTAAAGAAATGAAATTGTGTAATATGTCCAAAAGTTATAAAATCAATATTTTGGTTTGGTTAAAGTGTAGCTTTTTTTATAGGTATCTGTCAGAAGAAGATATTATTGTTGCATATATTTTGGGATTTTAACCAAAAATGACTGTTTTGCTTGTTCAATTCTGTTGACGATTGAAAACGAATAAAATGAAAATTAGAGATTTTACTGTTTTACAAATGTTAGTATTATTGCCCTATCTGTCAAAGATAGTTATTTATGTATTAAACCATATATTATTGTAGCAACTTGATTTAAACCAAATTAAGAATTAGTTCCTGCCAATATTTAATATAAACTTTACTCCAAAGTTTCAAGCATTAATATAAACCAAGTTGTTAAATTGGTCTAAGTCAAGAACGTACAAAAATGAACGTGAAAACGAAATTATTCAAACGTTACCGCTTATGAATATTTTACCTAAAAAACAACTTCAACATTTCACCCAACAAACCGAAATTTCTCATCGGATAGGCATGTACCTCGCAAATGGCCCTCAACAAGCACGCTTTGCCGTCCATACCGAACTGTTCGAGCAGCTCCTCGAGCATCACGTAGAGCAGCGCCCTTTCGCCGCCGTGGAAGGCGTGCGGCAGGGGCTCCGGTTCTTTGGCCGGCTTCCCCGTGGACCTCCGGGAGCGTCTTCTCTCCAGCATCGAGCTGATGTAGTCGGCGAGCGCCGATCCGGCCGCTCTGCCCATCGATCGAGCCAGCAGAGGCGGCAGCACCCCGTACGGATTTTCGTTGTCGGTAAGACCGAGCTTGTTGAAATCGACTAAAAATTAGCAATAAAACAATAACCAGATCAAGTATGTGTATAGTTACTTGTAAAGGGTAAGCTGATGGTCATGTTGGAGAAGAACCCTTCTGGAGGGTATCGAACCAAAGGCAGTGATAATGATGGTGCTATTACTAAGGTAGTACCGGGAGGTAAAGCCAATCGACCATCTTCTGTGATCCAAAGTATTCGCTTCTGGCGCGATTTGGCTGCATTTTTACTCGACGTACTCGTTATTGCTAATAAGACGATTGTTAAAATATTTACAGGTTTTATATACATCACCGATTCGTTCCTAAAAACAAGATATAATTAGTCAATTAGAAATCTCATTACAATAAATCACAAAATTGTCAAAGCGCTTCCAATGCGGAAATAATTTTCATGAAACAATTAAAGTTTATTATCGATTACAACTAAGCGAATCGAAAGTGTAACATTGTCACGTTTGCTAATTGGAAAACACTAACGATTTTGTATGTCCATCACGTAAGTGGAGCCGCACACCTCGACAATAATAATTATAATTTTGGTAAATCGAATGATCGATAAATGGAAGGTCCGTTATCGAATGTGTGTCGAATTTTCTTCAAAATAATGATCGGATTTTTGCATTCACGCCTTTAAAAAAACATGCATATGTATGAAAGAGGTATTGTTATAATAAAAATGTGGTTTGTGAACAATATTTTAATTATTTGGGATAGTACCTAATGGTGACAATATGAGCCTAATACGCATATGTTTGCATTTGTAAGCATATTTTCGTATTTTTTCACGTTTTCGACGTAATATATACCATTGTCTCCACTGATGCCGCTATAATGTCCATCCTAAAAAGGATACATGCAATGGGTTCTTGTCTTAAGCGGAAGAACAGTAATTCTTACAACCTTGGCCGAATAACACAGGAAAAACAAGTTTTGTTCGAATTATGAATTAAACTAATTTTTTGAATTTTTGGAATATATTATATTTCAATAGCACATCTGTTTGATCCCTAACACTTGATGCCTCAAATAAACAGTACACAAAATTAAGTTAAGAACTAAATATTTAAATTATTTCTTTCATAAAAAAAACACAAATAACACAAGAGTCGAGGAATTGACACCAGTTTGTAACGAGTGGTAATTATAACATTAAATCCAATCTGCATGCGCAATTAAAATACTAGATAGATAATAACCCCTGTTACCTGTAACTGTAATGCAAATTTAGAAAATTTAATGGATTTATGTTAATACAATGCCAATATTTTATTCACAAAATTGTTTTGAATTTTATCGAATTGAATAAAGCCGAAGAGTTTACCACAAACATGTTAGTATTAAACGAAGCTAGTGAATTCAGAATTCCAATGGTACTAATTTATGAGTCTCCAACGAGTCACACACGATCCTCAAGTATCATAAAAAACTAATTGTCATTCAGTAAACGACGTTTGAAAATAGAAAAAAACTTTCACTGTAAGTTATAATTTGTAATTATTTTGAGTAAGAAGTCATAATTTTGTAATATTTCGCTCTAAATATTTTAGTAAAACAATCAAAAATGCAATGACAGCATCGAATATTAGTTAACTTTAATTACTTGTAACTAATTAATTAAAGCAAATTAGTTATGTCAAGTAAATTGTAATGAAACGTTCATTGAATCTTGGTGGTCTAGGTTCTAGGTTTTAGGTTCTGGTTCTAGATTTTTATTGATTAGCCCAGGATTATCCATTAACTTCATCAATTTTTTATGTTATTGGGTACTGTGTCCTCGTTTCTTTTAATATTTTGCATGAACTTTTGCGGCCCAAATCCGGATTTTTATATACGAGTAGGTACTAACATTATGTATCAAAATACTTATACCTTACGGTACGTGATGAGAATTTATTATTTTTATAACACAACTTATGTATTTTAAGTGCCATTTTTGCACTGGCGGTCAGTCTCGTTGCGAATACTCATTTATTTTTCGCAAAATGGCACTTATATTACCATTCGCAAACAATTTAAATGCAAAATTTCATAGTTCACATAGAGTGTTGTTCTAAAGAATCCTCGAAATAGAAGAGTATAGAGAAAACTCGAAATAATTTGTTATTTTTAAACGTTTTTAGAATTAATTGAGAGCGTATTTTTAATCTAGTTAAAAGTAATTGTATAAGTCATACATTCGTGTTAAATCTACCAAGTAGGTATGTTAGCGAAACTAAAGTTTTTAGAGTGCACATTATTGTAACACAATTAAAATATAATGTATTTCCCAATGATAATTGTTTTACTCTAAATGATATTTTTACTATTAAAAGATAATTGGAGATTAGGCTTTATTTCTTAATAATTTTTTTAATTCAGTTATTTATTTTACAATTAAAATTGTGAACTCACCTTAAAATATCCAATAACAAGATAGTTAAACGAGAATTTTATCTCTCCCTTTTCGCCTTCAACTATTCACGTCTTGGAAGAATTTCCGCATTTTCACCAGAAGAAAAGGCATCGAGCGACTCGCGGAAACCACTTGCGGGCATGCTTCGAAGTACCGCGATTTACAAGAGAATAAAAAAAACCACCGTTTACGATTGATTTCGGCGCATTTAACGCGCCTTCGTCCGATTGCTGGTATAAGAATCGAGCGTCTGCCGGCTGGTGGCTGGTCCTCGTTCTTTCCTCTTTCCCACTGACCGAGTCGCGTGAAAAGAGGGCGAAGAGCCGCGACGTCGCTGCACAAACGACGTTCCTGCGGCCGTTCGCTCCCGATCGCTTTGCGCCTTTCCGTCGGAAAACCATTTTCCCATTTCCAAGCGCGTCCTAAGAAAAATGACGCATTCCTTCGCTCGATTACAACGAGCATTTTAAATTGTAATTTCGACCTCGTACGCGATCCGCATGAACCGTTTTTTTTTCGAACCTCGCAAGAAACTCGTACTATATAACTCACGATCCAGTTTCGATGGTGCCCGTAAGATTCGGAACCAGGTGACGTGCTTAAATGCATTCTTTTGCTTAAGTACCGGTCGTTGATTAAATGTAATATTACAAGGCGAATTTTAACAAGCGATTTCTCGGAGTGTTTTGGATGAATACTTTGATGGTTGAAGGGAATTCATTTTATGATGTTATTTTTCATATTTTTTGAGCTAGTTGAGCATAATTAGTTGGATGAATATTTTATTACTTGAACCCTCTACTAACTGTACTTATTGTTTAAAAATTAAGAAAAGCAATAAAGTAAAATCAATACACTTAAATGATGGGTTAACCGATAAACGTTTCTAAAACCAGATTTCAAATTAAAATTGACGGCTCGGTGAGGTCGGTGTGAGGCTGCGAACGAATTTCGGCCGAAAACGTTTAAATCGGAGAGAAATAATGAGTGCGTTTTGAAAACTAAGTGTCTCGAACGCCGTTAGATCCTGTGCATCGACCACAAACGGGACCGATTTGTAAAGAATATCTTGGGTACTTGGTCACTGGGGCTTGGGCGAACGCGCGCTCTTCGGTTTCCGGTTTTTCTTCTCGCGCCTATTCGCTTTGGTTTTCGAAGCACGCGCGTTATAATTACCCCCTTCGACGAACTAACTGCAGGACGATTCGATCATACAGATGAGCGAATTTGTTGAAATGAAAATTTTTAACGGCGCTAATTTTTTCGTAATTTCATACGAGCAACCTACTTTTAGTGGAAGAATTCCCGATGTATGTTACAATTTATCGAGCAACAAATCATTTCGAATTAAAAAAATAACCTCGCCTTATCTTATCATTTCGTAATGATTTATTTAAAAACAATAATAGATTAATCAATACAAGTTTAACGATATCTTAAAAGTGCACTTAAGAAACTGATTTCAATGAAGATAAATGATTGCTATATAAATTGATATAAAACTCAACGAATTTTTTCTAATATTAACAGAACTAACTACTCTATCGTTCTTAAAATGTCCCAAAAGAAATTAGTAAAACGCGTCAACAGCTCCAAAAATCAATACCCACCTGCATCGCATCCGAAAAATGATAACCAAAAAATAAAGTAAGTATATTGCATATAATAATAAATTCCCTTAACAAAAAAATATAATTTTTAGGGACAATTCATTGGTAGTTCTCGAAGAATTAGTCCAATGCAGCGTCTGCTTAGAAAAATTAAAGGACCCGCGCATTCTTCCTTGCCAACACTCGTTCTGTTTCGTATGTTTAAAATCACTCGTGACAGCTAAAAACCTCGTCAAAGTAGGAGCCCAGTTGGAAATGTCCCAGAATATCAAGGCTATGTCATGTCCTGTGTGTAAAAAGGAAGTTCCACTAACAAACGGCATCGATTCTCTAGCCGAATTACCCAAGAATTTGCAAGCAGAAGCCATATTGAAACTCCTCAACGGCGAAACGGCGAATTCTTCATCCAGAAACGACGATTTTCGATGCGTGAAATGCCAGACGGTTTCCGAAAGACAGAAAGGAGAGCACATTTGTCAGCATTGTTTACAGGTAAGAAAAACACGCATATTCTAAACATTATTATACTAACTCTTGCTGCAGATTTTCTGTTCGATATGCTGGATGGAGCACCTGTCGGAGCTGGACTCCAATCTCAACATGCTGATCAAGCAAATGGAAGAGGCCCGCTCCAGATTGGAGCACAAAGGCCAGAATTTCGCCGGCAGGTGCGATCAGGTCATCGACACGATCAAGCAGAACATTAAGGAGAAAATCGAGAAGATCAAACAGTCGGAGGAACGCGTTCTCCTCGAAATGGACTCCATCAAGCGGGAGAGCAACGTCCTGCGCGACATTATCTACACCAGAATGGATGAACTCAAAAACAAAATCGAAGTGGCTATTAAAGACGACAAGCAGAGCAAACACAAGGTAATTGTTTATGCATATATATGTTTTATTACAAAAATACTAGAGTGATATTTTATGATAAGTAGATCAGTAATTATATGAACGTGCATCGAGAAACAGCGAAGCTCTTCGAAGAAATCTACCAATACGGCGATGCTAGGATCGTGTTCGACTCGGACAAAATCAAAATCGATCAGGACAAAGAAGGAATTTACCAGGACATTAACGACAAGGATAACGCCGTCGAGGAGAGCGTCGAAAACCCGTTCAAAGATGTCGCTTCGATGGTCAAACATTACAAATCCCGGAGCTTCGTGCCGAAGTTCGTAGATCTCCTCTCGCAATTTATCTATTACTAATTTTTATACAAACTCAGATTGTTGTGGTCCAAGTGCCCGAGACCCGAAGGCGTCAACATACCCCCGTGGGACCCCACTAAAATCTACGTGGCCGCAACCGATACGAAAAACATCCTGGTTATCGACAAGCAGAAGTTTAAGTTGATCAAGAAGATCAACAACCCGGAGATGCTTTGTCCGACTAACATAGCTTTTTCCAAAAAGTACGAGGAAATGTTCGTTACCGACAGGTGGAAGAATTGCGTGCACGTTTTTTCGAGCGACGGCGAGTACTTGACGAATTTCAACGAATTCGGTTTGAAGAGGCCCGACGGGATAGCCGTTGGGCCCGATGACGAAATTATCGTCTGCGATACCGGCAACAACAGGATTTTGGCCATTAACAGCGAATCTGGAGAGGTGCTTTATTCCATTGGTGGGTAGTGAAAGGTTTATTCTTCTTCATCATCACACCATCCAGTTCTAGTTTACTTCATTCCACCAGGTTACTCCAATTTTAATCTTCAATCCGTTCCTACCTTCAATGCAGTTTTAGATCACACTTTAATATTCTAGGTAATGGAAAGCTCCATATACCTACGAGCGTAGCCGTGCACGGGGATAAATTAATAATCGCCGATACGGGCAACAACAGAGTTAAAATCTTCAACAGGGAAGGCGATTTGTTGCAGGAAATCGGCGCTTTCGGCAGGAACAAAGGCGAATTTCGATCCGCTGAAGTGGTGGCCGTAGATTGTTTCGGATTTATCCTGGTAGGAGACGCAGGAAATGCAAGGATTCAGGTTCGCTCGTTTCATTCCACTCGATGTTTATTTCATTCATTAATTCCTTTCAAGGTGTTTCAACCCGACGGGAAATTCGTTAGGATCTTCGGAGGCACTGAAGGATTTGAATGGATTTCTGGTATATACGTTACTCCGGAACTGGATATTATTTGCACGGATAAGAGAAAACGAACTTTAAGAATATTTTAAAATTCAAAACAAGTATAGAGATATCTCTGTGAGAGTATATTATATTAGCAATAATTTATAGGTATTAAGCAAGTAGTATAATTTTTCTTTAGCACAAACTATTGTGATCATATAAATAGCAGTTACTCAACATTGTTTTAATTACACAGAACGATTTAATATTGTCATATAAGAGTAAGAAGTTTTGATGATCTGAAAGAACATAAACGCACAGTATTAAACCCACCTAATCTCAAAAATATATCTTACCATAACGCAGAGTGAATAATTCATGGCGCCCAATGGGACAGCTTCCAAGCAAATGGGTTTCTGGCTCCTTAACAAAATTAACAGAACTTTTTTTTGGACGCTGAGGCTGCATAAGTACCAATCCGAGTCTCTAACGGCGTCGTGAACTGATAGAAACTACGAATTATGCCACACTAAATTAAACAAATCTGGTGGAAGCGAGAGGATTAATCGCTACTCACGGAATTCATCATGGTTTCTCCGGCGTGACAGAGAAGAAGAACTACTGCTAGCCAACCCAAGAAAAATATTAAAGCTCCGAACGGCTTAATTCCCTAGTGGAAATTTATTATAAATTCGGAGTGGAATGCGTAGATTAAACTTACATTGATTAATTGGGTTTCGGCGCAACCAAAAACCAGAGCCGATATCAAAACTACATGACCAACAGTTACCTTAACCAGGTGTCTAAATTCTTCGCCTAATCTGACAACAAAAATAATAAAATAGATTTATACAGCTCATATTCCCCATAAATATCATCCAATACAGTACACCTACAGTAGGAAACGTAAAATTTACACTAACTTCAACAAATGATTGTGATATCTGATCCAATAGCCGATTCCATCAGGCCGGTATTCGATATCCTTAGCGTTAATAATCTCGTTGAAATGTTTCTTTAGCGCTTCGATGTGGGACAAGAATAATTGCGTGCATTGATAGACTATGTAGCAGATCATTGCGGCAGGCTCGACGGACTTCATAGTCAAAAAAAATTGCGTCGTAAAGAGCATCACCACGTAAAATCTGTTCGTGATGTCGAATGGCAACCAAATCGGCACGAACGTGTAGCAAGCGATGTTGCGCAAATTGTACTTTTCCTTGATTTTGCTACAATTGCCGGCTTCTAAGAGCGATATAAGGGCGTAGGCGATGCAGCCTAAGAAGTAGTAACGAACTGAAATCAATCAAATTTGTATTATATATAACTGATTAAAAAGCTTGTGTGATCAACTTACGAAGCCAACTTCCCAAAAAATTAGTCTGTTTCAAATTTTCGTCAAAATCGTCGGGTTTTCCGTAAATGGAACTATCTAATATGCTTTCGAAAAACTCTTTCCATTTTTTATGCAAAATAGTGGCTATAACCAAAAGAAGAATGATTTCGAATCCTGCGCAAATTACGACAATGTCTTCGCTGGCGTTAAGTCCTTCCACATTTCCTGAAAATTACAGGATATTTCAATTCAAATAATGATATAATTATTACCAGTATAGAAACCTTTTGTGGCATCTTTCAAACAAGAGAATATTATAAATTAGACTCACTTTTAGCAATATAAATAAAATGACAAACAGCCCCGATGACTATTAAAACAAACGCGCTTAGTCTATAAGATGCGCCGATGAGAAAAAATTTACTCATGTTGAATTGATCCCTTTTGGATGGGAAAACATAATTCGTATACAAAGGTTTCAACACCACGAAAGGGAGATCGTTCTCGATGTCCATTTTTACAACGTTATCGAGAAAATGTTCTCTTTCTGTAGCATCGTCTAATATATATTTATGCGAGACAAATGTGCAAGGAGTATTCAAGACAGTTCAAATGAAATATTCATTTGTTGTGATCAGCATATGTTCAAGGCAAATAAGCAAGCTGCAATTTTGTAAATAATGATGTATAATTTCTATTCATGATTATTACTTATAAATAAAAGTTAAAAAACGCAGTATATTAAAAAAATTAATATAGCTCTCTGTATTTGGTTGATTTTTTTACTAGAAGGTCTTAGTGAATGCGTATGCATGTAGCAATCTTTTTAGAGGGTCAATGCACCCCTTCGTCAAGTGTAATTCGGCACACTTTCCTCTGCTGTGCAACCCTAATAGAAGAAGGGGTACATTCGAAAATGATTTATATGGTTTTGTCAGGCGCTTAGTTAAATAATATTTTACGCCACAATATCTTTAAAAATGATTATAGTACAAGCAATTTAGCCATGCCAAATTTTTGTAGCTCTAGAATAATTATTTTAGGGGTAATTGCAATCGAATCAAACATTTTTCAACCAACATTTATTATTCACCAGAACATACAAACGTAACAGTTTCATTATAGAACAGCATTCGACCCTCGCCTATCGCCCACATTAAATAATTCACGGCCGATGCAATTAAATATTCACCCTTCGCGATGCGCCCGTCTTATCTCGAACCGTCGCCACTACGGCGCTACCCCAACCCTCCGGAATTGCGCGCTCCGCTCGGCCCGCCGGGACGGAGGCCCTCACCCTCCATGCGCCGCGGCGCCTCCTCGAACTACACCGTCCGCCGACGCTCCATCGAACGTCGCAAAAACATTCCAGTTTTTCCGGCGACGTTGGCAATAAGTTCTTCGAAGTGCCCGCGACCCAGCGCGAAATGACCACCGTGGAGCCGGCCAAAAGCGCTGAAAAGGAGTTCATCATTCAACGGTGAGTACTGGGGTATTTCTATCGCTCGTCGTTCGTGGGTTTTTCCGGCATTTTCGACGGTCGGGCGGTATCGATTCGATTTTTCTAATGGACCCGGTTTATCTGCTTCGGGAATCGATATAACAACTACGTTCTATTAGAGCTAACACCTGGTCGCTGTGATAAGGATTTTTAATAATAAATAAAAACAACATATGCACTATAGAGTATATTCGATCGATCAATATGTTTATTACTACGAGTATAAAGAATACAACTAATTAATTACATATAATGTCTTTGAGAAGGTCCAATTTGTGCAAGATTCTATCTTTATTGAAACAAACTAAAATATTAATAACAAAAACATCAAACTGTTCTAAAGCAACATCATGCAATAAATGTCACATGTAACAACCAACTAATCCCCCATTATCAGAAAAACGCTCATTCGCCCCCCATAGGATAGATCAACTAGAGTGCTCAAACCCCATTGGAAATCTGTAATATCTTCTCGTTGCAGCGTGGAGGGTTTGCTGCAATCGTGGAACCCGTCGGAATAACATACGGGAGAGGTGTCCGCGGCGTCCGGAGGCGAAGATCCGGAGGAGATGACCTCGGCGGACACCAATCCCCTTCGCAACGGCTGCGACGACATCTGGACGTGGGACAGGAGAGAGAAGAGCCCGGAGGTGAGGCTGCACGGGCCCGGGCTGCGCATCGCTCACTTCCACCCGAATTGGAGCAGCGGCACGGCGGGAGTGCGAGGCACTAGGGTACTAAATAACGGCAGGTACTTTTGGGAGTTGCACCTGTCGCGGAGGATATTCGGCACTAGCATGATGTTCGGGATAGGTGAGTTGGTGGTGTGCGAAGTGGTTCGGGTGCGATTGATTGGGTTTGTAGGTACGAAGAAGGCCCGTCTGCACGCCGATTCCTTCACCAATCTGTTGGGTAAGGATAACCAGGGTTGGGGTTTGTCGCATAAAGGGTTGCTGTGGCATAGCGGGAGATGGACGCACTACACGAAGCCGTTCCGGGAAAACGTTCCTACGAAGATTGGTATACTTTTCGACGGAGTTGCGGGTACTCTGACGTACTACAAAGACGAAAAATGCCTGGGAATAGCCTTCAGAGGTTTGAATGAAATTAAAGAACCGTTGTATCCCATTATTTGTTCTACTGCTGCCAAGACTGAGATGCTCTTAGATTGCATGAAAAGGGATTTCGTTAATCTACAAGACAGGTACTTTTGCGAATCTCAATAATCCCTTGAATTTTTCTATACGTGTAATTTACAGGTGCCGAGCTGTTATAGTGAAAAAATTGAAGAACAAGGACGATTTAGAAAAATTATTTTTACCCCCAAAAATTAGGCAGTACTTGAGCGAAGCCATTCCAGATGTGATGCAGCCTTTCAAGCCGGTCAATCAAAATTTGGAAAACAACGTGGATACCGTCTAAATTTCTCAGAAGTCGGTAGGTAATGGGAAAACACGAATTGAAATACTTTTAACTTCGGAAACATATTGAGCTACTACCATAGAAAAGCCAGTAAGTTCTTCTACATCAGATAAAAATACATCTACTATTAACTTTCTATTATTAAAGGCTGTAGATTCGAACAATTTCGATTGTGGTTTTTGATGTAGATACAGAAACCTCCAACCTCACTAAAACAATTCTGCAGTAACCAATTTTATTAACTGTTAACTGTAATTCTGGAAATGGTGTTGAAGTAGTAAACAAGTACAGAGCGACAGGAATAGCTGAAGACTGAATATGTTGCGCAATGATTTATGCGCAAGTCACTTTGCAATTATACCTGCCTCACTGTACTAACCTACTTTACGACGTTCGAGTCAATATTATCATATAATTTATGTTGTACAGTGTGATTTTCGTATTTTAAATATTTGTGATTTTATTTAAACGTTTATGATAAATTACCCGGTCGATTCGCGTCGACTGTTGATGCTGGTGAAAAGTTACCATTGTAAAATAAAAAAATCGTATTCGTAGATAATCGTATAGATATAATAGATAAATTTTTTTATTACACCATTGAAGGTTTTATTTTTCGAATGTACGACTGAAAAAATATCGGTGTTCAACGGTGAATTCGAAATATTTCATACGAAAACATTCCGATTTATTTAATCGTATAATTTAAGGGTTTTAACGTGTAAAATTAGTTAGCAAATTAAACGGATTGATTTTAAACTAGTAATGAAATTTTTACATGTTAATTGGTAGGTTTAATTGTAAAATCCGATCATTAAGGTAATTTATTTAATTTTTCTTAATTGCAATGTTAATTTTTACGTTTATATTTTAGTTATTGTTCTTGTGATATATTTATTACGTGATTATTTGTTAATTCAGTTTACTTTTTATTGTGATATTTTTTTATTTGCATTTAAATTATTAAGGATTATGGATTAAACTAATGCATTTAGATAATACAGATTTGCACAAAGTTTGTATACGTTTGGCCAATTTGTGCAATATGAATTGTACATAAAAAACTATCACATACGTTTCCAAAAGAAATTATACTAAAAAAATCATTTAAGACTGTTTTCTTAGTAAATAAATTTTCCTTAAACTTTGTACAGATCTCGAGTTAATTTTATTAAAGATGTTAACCATTTGGAGTCTGCAACATGATAAAATAATGGTAATATTAGTAATAAAATTACAACGAGATCTTTTTGTGTAAGTAAATGGAATATATTATTGTATAATGATACTCTGAATATTTACAAGTTGTCTTATGAGAACATTGTGTGACGAGTATTAAATAAAATTGATAATTTTCTACAGATTTTTCTTTCATATGTTTCAGTGAATATCTAATAACCAAACAGAAACGTAATTAATTTATTTTGTATTTAATTTATTCACCTGAATACAAAGTTACAAAACCTTAACATTTTACAAATTAGAGTTAGCTTCTTTAGCATTCTGAAGAGCTTGGGTTATGTACAGTTTAGCCAACGACTGAGAACAGAACTGAGAAATGGCCTGACTGTACGTGTTAACCTGTCCAGCAATGATCATAGGATTTAACCTCGGTGGCACCGGGTGAGGTCTGAACAATTTATTAATATCTTCTTCAGGCAGTGGAGGCTCATCTTTAGCAGCTCTGGCAGCGTTTTCTTGCGCTCTCTTCTGCACATACCGGTGCTTATCTTGCTGTTGTCTGCTAACTAGCTGTTGGTATCTATTGAATTTAATAGCTTCTTGATTTAATTCATCGACCCTATCCATAAGGCAACGCAACTGGCCCTCCAGAACAGAGGCGGTGCCTAAATCTAAGAATTTGGAGCCCTCTTCCTCCGGCACCAGCTCAGCCAGTTCCGACATCATTATGTTCGATAAAAGGGAGTTTTTTATTAAGAACGGCACTTCGACAAACAAGTTTTCGAATCCGACTTTCAATTTCAGAAGAGCCTCCGGTGTCGATTCGCCTTCTTTGCACATTTCAATGGCCTGTGGAGTCAGCCGGTAGGCCTTGAGAGTAATGAAGCCCCTCGAGGACTTGTGTGTGTCGTAAATTACGACTACCGATTCCTCTATCGATGTCTGGTAGTGGAACTGGGATTCCAACAGAGGAAGACTCAGAAAGTTGCCGACGTCGGCGCTTTGATACCAGCCGACGTGAAAATGATCGACGTTGACTCTGCGAAGCCTTCGCATCATGGCCAATTGGTACTCATCTTCGTCCATGTTTTCGTCAGTTTGCTTCGGAAAGGGGAAACAGTTCGTTATTTCCAGGCAGTTGTCGACGACTAGCCCCAGTAAAGCCCCTTGCGCAATGTCCATGTTCGTAGTCGCCTCTTCATGGCAGTGCTTAACGATTTTCATAACAGCCTGAAAAAATTGAGGTTAGGATTCGAACGGCTTGAAATTTCCCATTTTATTATTATATGGGTTAAATTTGTACTTACCAATCCATCTGTTTGGACGTATGAAATGGTGGAATCAGTCTCGGGTAAACGTCGGGCGGCTGCAGCACGATTTGCCATTTTGCCAACAATTAACAATTCTTGTGGCTGGCTGGGAAAATTAATTTTATTATACGTCAAAGTTGTCAGTCAAGTAAACGTCAATGTCAAAAATTTTTCACTCTGGACTCTTTTTAGTAGGCAATATAGTAAGAAAAAAATCTGTAATAAAAATAAATGTGTATTAATTTAGTAAAATGAATTTTACTTTAAGATTTTAATAATGAAAATGGGTCTAGAAAGTATCGAGATTAGGGTTTGGTATATCTACATTGTTTCTAAAAACGACAATTGACAAACAAATGACACTATTGACAGTGACAGTTAACGTCACGTGAACGAATTGATTTGATTAATGTTCCACAAGAAAAAGTAACAAGTAATTGAGTTTAATCAAGATTTAATTTAAATTGTACAGGGTAATCATAACTGGACAACTAATAAACCGTTCCTAATTAATATCCAAACAATAATACGTGCGTTGTTTGTGGAAAAATTATTTGTTGCTTTTTTATATTTGAAGTGTTGTAATGAAAATGTCGACACTAGTTGGTGTAAAATGTTTTTGGAGCCTTGTGTTATTTTTAGGGCTCTTTGTAGTTACTTTCAAAGACAGCTATGCAAACGAAGATGTGCCATTATCCAAACTTAGCCAAAATATCGGAACACCGACACTTAGAATTTTATACTGGTAAGGAAGTGCTGATGCAGCTTTATGGTAGAGTCCTAATTCATTTAATATTTCCAGTTATTCTTGCGGTTATAAAAAAATGTTCGACCAATACTCAACAATAATAAACCAAAAGTATCCGTATATTCTAGTCGATGGTGGTAATTACGACCCTCCTGGATTCAATATGTTCATCGCTAAAGCAATAGTAAGTTGATAAGTGGTGTTTACGTATCATTTGACGTTTATTTAATGAATCAATATTTACTATAATCTTATTAAATATATTCTTTTTTATGTCTTCATACATATAAAACTTTATCTCTGTTCGAACAGTTTGGTTTATTTTTAGTATATTATTTTCTATTTTCTTTTTACAGGGTTGGATCAAAATGGCCATAATACTCTGCATCCTGGCCAAAATAAACGTGTTTGAATACATCAATCAACCAAGGCCGTCTTGGTGGGACTGGTGTACGGAGAACCGATTGTACGCATGCATGATGTTGTTCTTTCTCTGCAATATTTTAGAGGGGCAACTAATTCAATCTGGAGCATTCGAAATTTCGCTCAACGACGTTCCCCTGTGGTCGAAATTGGAAACTGGCCGAATTCCCCAGCCCGCGGAATTGTTTCAGATCATCGACAGCCACATGCAGTTCGACAGCAAAATAGAGTTGAACAATTTCGCAAAGTAAAATCACGATAATAAAGACCTGTAAATTGTAGATTAATAATAAGACACTTTTCCTTCTTTTTGTATATTTACATTCGAAGAGATATATGTAGACACGGTGAATACAATACGAGACTTGTAAAGTTACTATTATTATTATTGTTATTATTGGTTGATTGTGTTTAGTTTTAATCTCGAATGATTATATGGTAATGTTTGTCGTTCGATTGGTTATGAATTGTAATACAGGTTAAGACAGACGGTGATTTTGGTGTTGTAAAAAAATGAATTTTAAAAAAATTTTCAATTAAAACATTTTTTTATAAATTCGTGATTTATTCGAAATGAAATGCATGTACAGGAGCATTTATTTTATTTATAACAAACTACATACATTGGCAGTGCTTATAACTCTATACACACGCTTACTAATGAATCACATTGAGTTATAGAAAAATCTTATAGTAGTATACAATTTTAGCACCGAGTTTTGTTACTTTTTCCAACAAGCTTCAGAGCTCGCTACAAAATGTTCAATTAAACCTACAAAACGAACCAGCGAGAACTGGCGCTCGAGCAATGCATAATTCTATTATTTTTACAAACGTATAAATTTAAATAGGTATATACTGTACATTAATTACATTAGAATATGGCACTGAAAATTTACGGGGTCGGGTAGACGTGCGGCCTGCGCCTCCTGTGCCCGGGCCGCCGGTGTCTGTCGCCGGTCGCGAGATGTCTGTAGCTCGGGCTGGCCGAGTAGCCGCCGTTCCGCGGCTGGATCGTCGGCCTGCGGCCGGGATAAGACGGCTGGTAGGTCGGGCGGTACGTCGGCCGGTAGGGCTGCGGGTGCCTGTTGATTTCGCTGGGCACCTCGACGCGCCGGGCGAGCTGCACGCGCCTCCGCTGGCACACCGAGCACCGGCTGATCTTCTGCGTGAAGCCGGACTTGAGGGTCTCCGGGCGCGGCTTGCGGAACATGGCGTAGTCTTCGATGGTGGCCAGCCAGTAGGACACGGCGGTGGTGAAGTAGTTGCACCGGCCGTGCGCGTGGCACTCGATGAACGGCTTGGGGCGGAACTCCTCGAGGCAGGAGCCGGGCGAGACGAGCGACTGGCCGGAGCCGTCGGCGCCGGCGTCGGTGTGCTAAACATTTCATCGTTATTCGCACGAATTGGGCGATAAATAGCCGTTACTTACCATCAAAAAGCTGTAGCCCACCCAGACTTCTTCCCAGCCGTTGGGGCATTGCGGGATTTCGGCGGTTTGACTGTGAATTGCGATGACTCTAGTCGGGGCTTCGCATACGGAGCATCTGAAATATTATTATTACTACTGGTTTCTATCGGAAATCGTTGTTTTTTATTACCTCGATATGTATCGTTGGACGTTCTGAGCGTCGATTGGAGTCATGCTCATTGGGACAGCTTCGGTTGTAGATAACCAGTAACTGTATTCGTTGCTTTGAGCGTAATCGCAAACGTCGTTGATGTTACAGAATAAGAAAGGCATCGTGTTGAATTTTCGCAGACAACTTCCAGGAGCGCCTGTATAAAAACACATTACACAAAAATTTATACAACTAATTTCAATAGAAACTCACCCAAATCTTGTCCTAGCGCTTTTTCGTTGCCCATTATATGCAACAGTGAATAACCATCCCACATTTTGACCGTATTTCTGGGACACACCGGAACGATTTCCGATTGGGAATGCCTGGTGAAGTAGAAACCTCTACTTTGCGGGGCCGCGTATTGCGGAGCCGCTTCTCCTTTCACTCCGACAGATCCTCGATAACCCTTCGCGCCCATCCGTCCTGCGAATCCCGGCGCACCGCGCGCCCCTTTGGGCCCGTTTAAGCCGGGTATTCCTGCGAGACCGTGGTCGCCTTGTTCGCCTTTCCTGCCATGAGCCCCAGGCAATCCTCGGGCTCCCGGTAAGCCTTGCAAGCCGGGCGTTCCGTTGAAACCGGGCAAACCGATTTCGCCGGGTTCGCCGGGAAGGGCGCTTTCCGCCCAATCTCCTTGGTCTCCTTTGGTTCCTTTCAATCCCGGGAATCCTGGTAAACCGTCGAGTCCAAAGTTGCCAGGGAAACCTTTCAAACCGCCGGGACCCCGAGGTCCTGGTATACCGTTCAAGCCGGAGTCCCCGCGTTCTCCTTTTGTTCCGTTGAAGCCCGGAGGTCCTCTGAAACCTGGCTCTCCGTGCTCTCCCTTTGCACTGTAAGCGGAATAACCGTAATCACCGACTAATCCTTTTTGACCTTGGGGTCCTAATCTTCCTTGTACTCCTGGTCGTCCTTCTGATCCTGGTTTACCTTCTAATCCTGGTAAACCGTTTTCGCCGGGTTTACCCCTAACGCCTGGCATGCCTAATCCAGGAATTCCCGCTCGACCAGTCGGACCATCCGATCCGAAATCTCCAGGGGCTCCTTTTTGTCCCGGTCGTCCTGAGCGTCCAGGCAAGCCGTCATATCCCGGTATGCCTCTGTCACCAGGTTCTGGGTTTTGCCCTGGAATACCTGGCATTCCAACAAATCCTTCGTCACCTCTGATTCCCGATAGTCCTGGATAACCCGGTTCTCCTCTTAAGCCGGGGAGTCCATAGTCTCCTTGTTCTCCTTTTACACCCATAGGTCCGGGATATCCATCATCACCTCTGATACCTTTTATTCCTGTTGAAAAAAATATGTTGCGGTATTTGTTATAAAAATGCAAATTTAAATATATTACCTATCATGCCATCTCTACCATAATCTCCGATGTCTCCTTTCTCGGCGAAACCGTAAGGCGCGAATCCAGGCAAACCTTTGTTACCTTTGTGACCTTTCTGTCCAGTAAGTCCGGATAGACCGGGGAAACCCATATCTCCAGGCATACCAGGACGACCCATTAATCCTGGATCCCCGTCAATGCCTCTTTCTCCTTTGGTGCCGTTGAAACCTGCATATCCGGTGTCTCCTCTACCTCCTTTAAAACCTGGAATACCGTTAATACCCGGCACTCCTTCGTAGCCGTGTATTCCCTTGTCACCAATTTCTCCTGGGTAGCCTACTGAACCGTGATTTCCTTTCTCTCCTTTTGGTCCAGGTATACCATTATAAGCGTGTCTTCCAGGTTCTCCTGATTCTCCTTTAATTCCTACTGGGCCCTCCACGTCTATACCCGCATCTCCTGGTAAACCAGGCAATCCAGGTATTCCTGGTCGACCATCGAATCCTGCGGGGCCCGGAAGACCCGGTTCTCCGTAATCTCCTTTGGCACCGCTAATGGCATTTTCTCCTTTTTCTCCTGGCCAACCGGGAAGTCCGTCATCTCCACTTGGTCCAGGCAATCCAGGTTCCCCTTGGAAACCGATACTTCCCTGATAACCCATATCTCCTCTTTCTCCTTTGTTGCCAACGTATCCGTATAAACCTTTAATTCCTGTGGGACCTCTAGGACCGGGAAAACCGATGCTTCCTCTTTCTCCTGTGGCCCCTGGAATACCTGGTAATCCATCGGAACCTCTGTGTCCTGGATACCCTAATGGACCTTCGTCTCCTAAATCACGAAAAATAAAGAACCATTTAGTACAATCAAACAGAGGAATAGCAAACGTTACTAACCTTGAGGTCCTCGGAGTCCTTCGAATCCTGGTTCACCCCGAGCTCCCGGTAAACCCAAGGGTCCCGGAGGACCTTCTTCTCCTTTAAGTCCGACGTCGCCAAATTGACCAGGATAACCCGGTTGACCTGGTGCTCCTTCTTTTCCTGGATAACCTTGTAACATTACACCTCTTTGCCCTTTAGCTCCGGCCAAACCAGGGGCGCCATAATATCCTGGCGCTCCCTTTACTCCTTTATCTCCTTTGAAACCGGGCCTACCGGGCGTTCCCGGCCTTCCGTCAGGACCGAAATCTCCAGGTTCACCTTTCGTTCCCGCAGGACCGGGTAAACCGATTTCTCCGTTCAATATTGCCAATCCTCTATCACCACGATCTCCTTTGGGTCCTGGAATTCCGGGAGTTCCGTCCAGTCCTGGTTGACCTGGTTTTCCGCTCGGTCCGGTTAAACCTTGATCTCCTATTATTCCTGGGTAGCCCTTAAGTCCTACGGGTCCTTCGAAAGATGTACCTTGTTGACCGGGAAGACCCTGAAACCCGGGGAATCCTTGATCTCCTTTGAAACCCTTTTGACCTGGACGGCCGTCGAATCCTAAAAGTCATCAATTTTTTCGTTAAATATATTGATGTAATATTGAAAATCGAATCTTTTACCTATATCTCCCGATACACCTTTGTCTCCTCGTTCTCCTCTCCGGTCTGTGAGGGTTCCAAGCGTTCCTGGAAAACCTCTTTCTCCGGGTGCTCCTGGTTCACCAGCGTCCCCTCTAATAAATTAAAAGGGATATTATATTTGTAAATTGAATAATTGAACAATTTAATTACTTGTGTCCTGGTAAACCTCTATCACCAATAAGTAAAGCCTTCGGTATCGGTGCAGGTTCTCCTTTTGCACCCGGATATCCAGGTAACCCGTCATGTCCTTCCCTTCCCGGCATTCCAGGTTCGCCAATGTCTCCTATTATTCCCTTAAGACCGGTGGGCCCTACGTCTCCTTGCATGCCTTTCAAACCCGGTAAACCTTGTAACCCGATAGGGCCAGGATATCCTTCATCTCCAGGTTCGGCAGATTCCGGTTTAGTTTGGCTTCCTGGAGGATAAATCAATATTCCAGGGTATCCGTCCGGACCTGGAACCCCTTCTAATCCGTCAGTTCCTGGTGTCCCGTCTAATCCCATTCCACCCATAAGGCCTGGTTTTCCGTCCGGACCTTTTGGACCTCTAGGTCCGTGTAGACCCTGGTATCCTATTGTTCCTGGTCTACCGTGACGTCCGCCGTCACCATGTTCTCCTTTTGTCCCCGGTAAACCTACACAAATTCTGATTAGCAATTTGTGACTTACTATGTTTAGTTCTGAACATACCAGGTCTGCATACTCCGCAATCGTCTCCTCTTCGTCCTTTGAATCCCGGTAAACCATCCATACCTTGATATCCTGGATCTCCAGAAAATCCGGGTGAACCTCGTTGACCGGGTTCTCCTGGTGGTCCTCGAATCGGCTGTCCTTTGCCGGGGAAACCTTTGAATCCGGGATCTCCAGAATCTCCTCGGTCGCCCGGCGGTCCGTCGTAACCCGGAAGTCCTGGAATACCGGACCGACCCGGTAATCCAAACACCGTTTCACCGGCGTAACCCTTTTCTCCTATCGGCCCCATTTGTCCCACGGGTCCCGGAGGGCCGGTGTTGCCCGGTCTACCTGGCAAACCGTCAAGACCTCGTTCTCCTTTTATGGTCAAACCTTTTAAACCAGGCAAACCGGGATTGCCGTGGGGACCTGGTGGTCCAGGTTCGCCGATTGGTCCGGCTTCGCCGGGGTAACCGGGAACACCGGCGATTCCGCGCTGTCCCACGAATCCTTCGGGTCCTTGTCTTCCAACGCTGCCCATTTTGGCGGGTTCGTCGTACAGAGGATCGTACACTCCCTTCGGACCTTCTTTACCTTGGGTACCTGGAATACCCGGGTTACCGGACTCGCCGATTTCTCCTTTGAAACCGTCTCGACCGTATTCTCCTTCGTATCCTGGCGCGCCTTTGTCTCCTTTATCGCCGGGAGGACCGCGGGGACCCTGTCGTCCTTGTTTACCGAAAGGTCCGTCGTCGCCGAAGTCTCCTTTGAAACCAGTCCCTCCTTTTAAACCGGGTATTCCCTAAAATGTTATGAAATGTTGAAAGTTTGTACAACTCAAATATTTATCATTCTAATACTCACCGGTAAACCTCTGTCTCCTACGTATCCTTTTCTTCCATAATCTCCTTGGTCTCCCTTTTGGCCTACATCACCAGGTTCTCCTTTCGCGTTGATTACATTAATTAAACCAGTGTGCGACCGGTTGTTAAAACCTTCTCCCTTTTCTCCTTTAATACCCTGGTCTCCTTCGTCACCACGTTGTCCTGGAGCGCCGGGTTGCTGGTCTCCTGGATCTCCAGTAGGTCCTCTAAGACCAGCCTCTCCAGCAAGTCCCTGCGAAACCGGCTATGTTAGAACAGAAATCTTCCTCGTTTAATGAGAAGTTACCGGATATCCAGGCGATCCTCTGTACCCAGGCGGGCCGAGAGGTCCTTGTTGTCCCGGATAACCAGGCGGTCCGTCGATACCGAAAATTCCCATCTCTCCTTTCACTCCCATCGAGTTGCCTCCTCCGTCTCCGGCCTCTCCTCTGGGTCCTCTTAGACCTTCGGGACCCGGTAAACCTCTGGGGCCTTGTCGTCCTGGCGTGCCGCCGACTCCATGAGCTCCGTCTGTTCCATTGCATCCATCAAGACCTGCAGAACCTCGTACTCCTGATTCACCGGTCTCGCCCTGTAAGTTTTCCAGAATTAGAAACCGCGAGATGGTCGAATTAGTGTTGATTACTTACCGGCCTTCCTGGTAGACCTGTCATTCCTTGGTGTCCCGAGTCTCCCTGGAAATTATGATTGATTAGTATATTTTCTGGATAAATAATAATTAGTTCTTACCCTGTAGCCTTTGTCTCCGTTTCCTCCGTATTCACCGTCGGATCCTTTTTCGCCCTTTGGACCTGAAGGACCTGGGAAACCGACATCTCCGTAGTCCCCGCGCCTCGCTGGCATTCCTCTTATTCCTTCTGCTCCCTGAGCGCCTTTCAGGCCGGTGCAGTTGCATTTGTACTCTTTGAAGGCGTTGGGGCAACCCCCGCAAGCCTGAAAAACAAAAATAATTTATGTATTACGAATAACTAATAAGTAAATTCTCTAATAGAATGCTCATTAATGTGTAAACGAGTGTATTTGCGGATATTATTTGGGTTTTACGATGGAGCGTTTGGATATTGGATTACAGGACAAACGGTCGTTTAGTTCAAAAAGCCGAAGAATGGGCTTTATGGATTTTCCGAATAGCAAACAAGCCGGGCGTTAGTTTACATTTCCTGGACTATTAACCCACAAAAGCGCCCGGTTATGTAATTGGAGTTTGTATTTCGGGACGTAACATAAACGCGAAATCCAGTTGGTCGCCAAAACTATCAAATATTCTATTGTGAAATTTATGAAATTAATAAATTTTATTGGATGTTAATGTAATGATTAATGCAGGATATAATTAAAGGAAGCAATAAAGAGTTTGATGGGTAACTTAGTAACTATGCATATTTAATGTATTTCTTATTCCCTCATTTTTAGTAAATTGTTGTAACGAATTATATAATGTTTTTCGTAGATAACTAAATTGGGTTTATCAAATTGTTACAACATCAGGAGATACAGGACCCGTGCTTTCAATGACAACTTCCACTATCTGCGGAGATACTATTTTTCGGCCTCGAGCGTATTTTTAACTACGTGATATTTCATTTTAGGTAGATGAAATAAAATTTCCATCCATCCTCTCAGATCCTTGCGCTATCCTCTTAAGCAAATCCGAAACACGTAGGTTGAAATAAAAGGCGCTTTCTTTTAATTTCGTCCGAGCTCATATTTGATGTATTCGGTCGCATAATGTCATTAATAAATTGCATGCGACCCAATTACCAAATAAGGAGCGCAAGTGCAGCGAATCCGACCAGTTTTGCATATTGACCTTTAAAAAATCGAAAACTCGAAGAGGACCATTCGTTATTAATATCGATTTCTTAACCAGCGAGCCAGCTCCATGGAAATTTGAAATTTTCATCACTACAAAAATTTCAATATTAAAGTTGGTGCATGCAACTCGCAGCCCACCTAGTGTATTTATTTAAATAGCGAGCTAATTTAGTGCCGGTATCGATAGTTGTTTTCTTTATAATCATTTTTATACATCCACCTACTGCGGTTTGTTTATGGAATAGCGTGAAATATGTTGGAACAATAATAATTAGTTCAGTGATCTCTACAGTTTTCCTGCGAATTTTGATATTCGGCGCGTCTGGCTATCTAAATCCGTTGTATTTACATCGGTGCATCCTTTCCGAACACTGCATTGGCGGAGTCGTGTTACGAAATAAATTCGAAAAAAAAATCTTTGTGAATAAATTAATAAACGTATCCCTTTTTCAATCTCTATTCCTTCCAATTTCAATAATCGAATTGCGAAATTGGTTCAGATTCATTATTAATATGAACCGGGAAATTAAATTTTTACCAATTTAACGATTCGGCATTGTAAAAGCCATTATTTTAATTGGAAATCCACTAATAATTGATTGGATAACGTTTATTTTTAAAACGGGATCATGGGTTAGAGTGTAAATGTTTTCGTTTATTGAGACAATTGAGAATAATTTAATGGCTCCCGTTTATAATAATATACGGTTTCTGCTGAATACGCTAGGCGATTTATTTCAATTGTAGTTTTTATCGTCGAATCTCATATTTGAATAATAGTTTATTCGACAGATATATTTTGAGTTTAGTTTTTTTTAGCGCAAAAATGGAGTTTTTGGAACGTATCTGTACGAATTCCAGTTATCGTTTCCGCTCTAATCGAAGGTTACATTTTTTTTTTAATTTCGATCCTCTTCCATAGTGAGCCCACGTTAGTTTGATTGCATTTATTTATAAATCGTTTATCGAAGTTCTTCCTTTATATCTGTCGCTGAAATTTTCGGTCGCTTTTCGATAACCTACTTAAATAATTCGGTCGACCGATATTATTTATTTTTTACTAACGCACCTACTATATTTAAAAAAAATCGGTGTAAAAATAAGCTGATAGAAAATTAAAATAGAAGATATAGCACGCCAATAAAATAGGTGAAACTTCCAGCAAAGCTTGGAAACTGTAGCCAAACTGAAGAAGCATTTAATAACAAATTAACAATTTTACATCGAGTCCCATTCATTATTATTCAATTTCAAGATAAAATTGTGCATATTACGCTCGATAAGTGCGTCATTTTTCCTGCATCGTTGGAGGTTATTGAAACCGGAAGCGTTATCTGTGCAGTTTTATTTTTCAGAAACGAGATACACAGATTTTAATAAAGCTCGTGTACCCTTGATAATATAACCACTAATTGAAACAAAAAGGCCATTTATGTTTATAAAAATCATTCCATTCGAATAAATACAACAAATTCGCTAAGATGCTAAATTAAAAAAGAATGTATATAGATTGCATAAAGAAAGAACTAATAGCAATATTGCCTATTCCAAATAATTTGGGATTTAGAATTCCAACTAGTTTAGTAGAGCTTATTAAAAATTCAAAGAAAAGAATGAGGATAAAGTAGTTAATAAAAGGACACATACATTTGAGGAAATATATCTGAAATAATAAGCATATTCAAATAGATTTTGTGTCGAAAGACTAAACACATAGAGAAAGAATAACAATTAAATAAAACAACTTCTTCATTTTCCTCTCGCAAGAGTACTAAAATTCCTCCGAATTGCTTCCCCGAAATAGTAAAATTTCAAAAGCACCAGTTGCATCATGCATCGATAATTTATCGACACTTCAAAGGAAACGATTTCCACGCAATTAGACAGGCCCGATAGAATTAATATTAACGATATCGAGGCCTTATCAACGGACACACATCTGGGCATTTAGTTGTAAAACGAAAATCGACAGTCGGATATTCGTTTCGTTTTCGAAAAAGCCCATTCAAGAGCGCCGAGGGACCGCCGCGTGGGACGATATCTCCGGCGTACTTCCTACGGATCGCCCACGTTCCTCGCGCACAGTGGCACGTGACAGTGAACGATTGCCATGGACGTCTCCAGATATCGTTTTTAAAGGAACAGGGCTACTGCAAAGAGACAACGAGGAAAGCTGATTGATTTGGTCTTAAAACATCCCGCTCCCCAGGAGAAGATTCTAGAGAAATATGCACCAAGAGTTTGTGAGATTAACCGCAGGTAAATGAAGATCTGCTAAGGTAATCCAAAGGTACTACTTATATAGATTCAGCAACTTCATCAATCTGGTGAAATTGGGTGAAATTGGTTGAGTTTATATTGGTACTCTAATTTCCTGTATAAGTACAATTGGATACTAATTTAGTGATATGCAAGTAATCCTAAGCAAATAAAGATCATATCCAAACTGCTGTATTTCAAAACCAAGCATCAGATATAATCCCCATAATCATAAATAAAAAATACAATGCAGCTAATAGATGCAACACAATTTCTCCACCAAGCATAATAAATTATCAATATTACCAGGCACTACAAAATCTATTAATTAAGTAATAAATACCACAGTGTGTATACCTACAGGAAGGATTTCTCTATTCGTGCATGATGTACCGGCAATACATTCTCATTTAAATTATTTCTCAAAAGTAATAAATATTTAAAGGAAGTTGTATGATTTATTATCTAAAGTTATTAAACTGACACGCGCCACCCACTGGTAAAAATTTGTACGACCTCCTCTCGTCTTTCGCGCACACAAATATATCCTTCTGTATAATTTCTTTCTGATGGTTTGGCGAAAAAAAAGCGGACGAGACGCGATGAATAAATGCTAATCACGATCTTGGTAACCCTTCGGGAGTTACCGGCATGTAGGTAGCGCCGATTGAGCAGTACCTACTGAGATGCGATTGATTTCCTGGAGCTTTTTTCGCTGGAATATTGCTGTGTGTTTGTAGCAACCACCCATACAAAGATAGATCCGTTTAATATCAATAAAACATTTTTTATCATTTCGGTACGGAAACAAATTATGCGAAATTTATCGTTGTTTTTGGCGGTATTTGGAGGACGCTGTAGCTCTTCTTCGATTAGATACATCGGCTTATTATAGTTGACCTAGTAACAGCGATAAGAAGAGTGATCTATAGAAATTTTAACACACATTAATTCGAATTTTATTTAAAAAAATGTAATGATATTGCTTTTAATAGGGTTGCTTGAATTTATTTGAATTTTCTCGAATATTTTCGATGTATAAATGAAGTTGTTTTGAGAAGATTAACTAGAAAAAAAATGTCGCTTTTTTTGTTTTAAATTTAACGACAGCTTAAACTCTTATTGAATTTGAAACATATTAACATTTTACGCGAATCCTATACGTTAACGTAATTTATTTCTAAAAATAACAGCGTAAATATGAATTTAATGTGCATAGTTTTACAAGGCAAGACAAATATCAAATTTTAATGCACATGTCCTTACGCTACTATTATTTAAATTAAGTCTTGGAATCGTTTGGTAACAGAAATAAACGTTAAAAATAGAAACTGTAACGATAATCGAGGAAATTGCTTCGAATCATAATCAATTATACCAAAAAAATATAATCGTAACTGAACTTTGTAATTAACTTTTTGTTGTAAATTGGGATTCGCAATCCTATAGGCATATCAACATAACCGGTCATAAACCTGCGAAAAGTCTCCTGCAGAGTTCTTTCTTCGACAGAAAATTAGGTCACTCAACGCACGAGCTACATACACATGTTACTCGATTGTAAATCTAAATTTACATCGTGAAATAAACAGAGAAATCATCGCAGGAAATGAGACCGGTAATACACGGGTTGCTCAATTTTCCGGAACGGAAAATTCTTTTCCTTCTTTCAGCCCAGGAATTTGATTGATGAGAACAAGATGCTCAGCCCGACAAGCGAATAAATTACCGAGGATAAAATTCCAATTATCAGCGAGGTGATTTTGATCTTTAGGAACAAAGACGCCGACACGACAATGTGTTAAATAATATATCATTATACTTGTAGTACTAATTTAACGGTTGGTAAGAGATTTTTT